TTTAAAGTAAGTAAAAATCGGGCAGCCCGGGTGGCTCAGTGGTTTAGCGCCACCTTCGGCCCAGGACCTGATACTGGAGACCAGGGATAGAGTCTCGTGTTGGGCTCCCTGCATGGAGCCTGCTTCTCCCTCTGCCTGTGTCTCGGCCTCTCTCTCTGTGTGTCTCTCATGAATGGATAAATAAAATCTTTTTAAAAAATAAATAAATAAAAATAAAAATAAAATCAGTAAAAATCTTTAAAAAAAAAAAAAAAGAATGGCATGAGGCCCTAACCATTCTTTAGAAACAGCATTAAAACTTTTCTAGCAGCAAAGTCGGAGGAAATACAGTGAGCTATATCTACAGAAAAAAAAAAATCTGTTGCACAAAGAAACTAGGTAGTGAAAGCAGAGGAAAGAGGATGCTGCATAAAAGTCCCAGAAGACCAGCACAGAGCTTGGCTTATCTTTTTTTTTTTTTAATTCTTTATTTCAATTCAATTTAGTTAACATTTACTGTATTAGTTTCAGAGGTAGAATTTAGTGATTCATCATATACAACATCCACTGCTCATTGCATCACGTGTCCTCTGTCATGCCCATCACTCAGTTACCCCATCCTTCCTCACATCTCTCCTCCAGCAACCCTGTTTCTTTCCCATAGTTCAGAGTCTCTCATGGTTTATCTCCTCTGATTTTGTTATTTTATTTTTCCTTCCCTTCCCCTACGTTTATCTGTTTTGTTTCTTAAACTCCACGAGTGAGATCATATGATAATTGTCTTTCTCTGACTTATTTCACTTAGCATAATACCCCCTAGTTCCATTCACATTGTTGCAAATGCAAGATTTCATTCTTTTTTGATGGCTGAGTAACATTCCATTATTATACATACATACCACATCTTTATCCATTCATCTGTCCATGGACATCTGGGCTCTTTCAAATTTTGGTTGTTGTGGACACTGCTGCTATAAACATTGGGGTGTATGCTTGTATCCTTTAGATAATTATCTACTAGTGCAATTGCTGGGTCATGGGGTAGCTCTATTTTTAACTTTTTGAGGAACCTCCACACTGTTTTTCAGAGTGGCTGCTCCGGTTTGCATTCCCACCAACACGTAAGAGGGTTCCCCTTTCTCCTCATCCTCACCAACATTTGTTGTTTCCTGAGTTGTTCATTTTAGCCATTCTGATCGGTGTGGGGTGGTATCTCATTGATTTTGATTTGTACTTCCCTGACACCGAGTGACGTTGAACATTTTTTTCATGTGTCTGTTGGCCATTTGTATGTCTTCTTTGGAGGGAGCATCCAATAAATTTTGTCAAGTGAAATGAAATAATGGATAATATCCTCAACAACACACTAGCAAAAAATCAAGCAACAATCTTCACAGAATGTGCAGGCCTGATGTCCTCGGATGCAGGCGGACACAGAATGTGGTGACCACACATATGTGAGCAAGCACAGCCAAGAACAGAGCCCTATCTGATCCAAAGGGGAAACAGTCCAGCCAAGTCCAAGTGGGATAAGCTAACCCACAGGCTCACACACTGGATGTATACTATCCTCTGTCACTGAGGTTTTGTGGGTGGTTGTTACTCAGCATTACTGTATGGCATAAATTAACTGATACATCTATGCTGCTCATGAAGTGCTAAATGTTTTTTGTTTTTTGTTTTTTGTTTGTGCTAAATGTTTTTTAACTGTTTGAGGAATTGACATTCCCTTAAGGGAGGACAAAGGCAAGGGATCTAGAGCCTGACACTATCTGTTCTGCCGCTTAGTACTGGTGTGAGTGACTATGAGAAAGTTGCATTAGTGGCTCCTCCCTCCATTTCCTTAACAATAAGATGGAGACAATACTGGTGTACTATACTATAGCACTAGTATACTACAATTGAGATTAAATAAAACAATTAATGTAAAAAATTTACAACTGAGTATGGCACATAATGACTCCATAAATGTTAGATTTAAAAAGGCTGAGCTTGGCAAAGATTGTGATTGAATAGGATAACTCCACTTCTACAAAGATGTGGGGTAAGAAATTTTTGGCAGGCAGGGCCCAGGATTGTTTTAATACAAAAATAGGACAAATTTCCAAAATTCTACTCCATAAATTATTCTAGGCCAAAATTATTTTGACTATGTTTTAAGAGCCAAAGTCAACTTAAATACCCATCTTAGCTATAAGAAAATCTCATTAAAGCACCTTGAGAACACACATCCTAGGGGAGATGAGTGATTGCTTAGTGGGTACAGGGTTTCTTTTTGGCGCTATAATGGTTCTGGAACAAGACAGGGGTAATGGTCATACAACATTATGAGTCTACTGAAAACCACTGAATTACAGACTTTATAATGGTTCAAGTGATGAATTCTATCTTAATAAACTAAGAAGAACATATGCCCTCAAGCAATACTGCAATTACAAACTGACAGTTGCAAGTTAGAGGTACATTAAAAACAACAGGAGACTCTGGCTTTACAATAGGTACTCTCCTCTGACAATACATAACTGGCCCAATTATCTATTAAGGCCATTCCTAGCTCATGATAATAAAACCCCATTAGCTATATAAAATAGCTAGCTCAGATTTTTATTGATGCTTTTTAAGTGCTAAGCACTCTTTAACTGCTTTGTAAACAGTTTTTCTCAGTAGGGGCATGAGTGGCATTTTAAGTGGGACAATTCTTCCTTCTACTAGACTTAGTATCTCCAGGCAACCACCCCACCCCTGTCCAAATACCCTGTGAGAGTCCTCACAAACCTACAAAGTAGAGATTGTACTACTAATGAGGAAACTGAGGGTCGAAGAGATTGAGTGAACTAAGGTCACAAAGGTATGAGATGGGAGTGCTGAGTTCCACCCAGGTAGCCTGAAAGGTTGTTGCATCTAATACATCCATTACCTGGTATCAAGCAACTTTCAAGTAAAAGTATTAGCTGAAACCTCAGTGACTAGAAGGTCTAAGGCCATGGGAAAGATCAATAAAAGCCAAAAAAGTCTTTTTATGTTTATATAAAAGATTTCTCCATAAGCTAATTATGAACATAATCCTGACTAATAAAGAAATGGCCACAGCTACATCTTATCTGCTCCTGTGTGGACAACTATCTAAAAACTAAGACGAACAACTTATCCTGATAGGAAACAGGTCTACAATTGATATGGGAAGTCAGTCTAATAACCTACCAGACCTGAAATTTGGGGACTCAATAATGGCTCTTTTAACACAGACTGACTACATTCTTAAGAACCACAGAAAGCAGACCCAGAGCCTCAGTGAAGGTAAAAAAAAAAAAAAAAAAAAAAAGTGTATCAGGAACTCAGCCCCAGTCAGAGCTGCTGCTGTCTTGCAGCCCTCCTGCCTGTGGGCCAGATTAACTGCCCATTTCTTGGTCAAACTTACAAAGATGCCTTGATAAACAGCACAAATACAGAACCCAGTCAGACCAGCAGTTTATAAAGCTGGACAAGCCTGTCAGAACAAAACCTCACTCACCAGATGCCCACCTTAAGTGGCAGTCTGAAAATCTGCTCTCCTCATTTAATCGGGGGAGGGGGGGCACAAGCATTCTTATACAAACTTAGTAAAACTGAATTTTACTGAGGTAATACTTTATAAAAATATTTTATTTTGTTAAGCCCCCCCAAGCAGCTTATTCAAATTAGCGTTCTATGAGTCACCATGCAGAGTTTTATTTTTGCTCATTTCCTCCTCTCCCAACTAGGAAGATCTCATTCAACCAGACAACTGACCAGAAAGTGTAGTTCCTTCTAATTCTTCTCATTCTTCAAATTTCCTCAGTCCCATCCCAAGTGAAAACAAGTTGTAACAGGAATGTTATAACTGTTATAATAGGAATGTTGTAACAGTTACCTTTACAAACTGACTCTTTTCTGCCAAGTGTACTTGAATCTCAATAAATCAATTTGTGGGATTAAGGTCCCACAAAGCTAACTTTCTTCTGTTGAATATGGTACCTCAGTACTGATCCAGACTCCTGGAGCAAATTCTTCCTTTTTTATTTTTTTAACTGAAGTGTTGTTGACGCACAATGTTATATTAGTTTCAGGTGTGTAAGATAGTGAATCAATAATTCTACATGTTACATAATACTCGTAATACTCCCCCGTAAGTGTAAATCCTTCCTTTCTTAAATTAACTAATATCCCTTTGTTACACTTATACAGAAGACCTCAGTTTTAAAAAAGAAACAGACTATGATACCCTTACATCTACAATTCCATTTCCCCACCAATTCACATCTGGCCTTGCCAATAATTAGTGTTACTCTAATAACCAGTTACACATTACTATAATCTATCTTAGCTAATGGAATTCAAGATCAATAGACTCAAGATGTTCTAAGTCATGTTACAGATCTACTATGCCTAAGCTCCATGTGTTATTCTTATACTTTCTTAACAGTGAGATGAAGACAGTAGTAGGAGTGGCAGGCAATACTCACAGAGCCCTTGCTATGCACCAAGCAGTTTTAAGTACTTCACAAGTATTACTCTAACCCCAAGAAATGGGAGCTATTACCACCAAATTTTCCAGATCAGAAACAAGCACAAAGAAGTTAAATAACTTGCTCAAAATGAGAACTAGTATGGAGCCCAGCTTACATCTGAACCTAGTCGGTCTGACCCCAAGGCTCACACTGTGAACCGCTAATGCTACACTGCTTCTCACTATAAATAAGGATTAACTCAAAACTTAGTCATCAGAAAAGAAGTTTAGTTAATGAAATGAAGTAAGCTAGTTAAGGAAGTAAACTGAAGTATAAAAAATGAAAACCCAAATTCATAACCCTTTACTTAGATGGCAACATGTAGAGGTTCTAAAACATGTAAAAACACTGCCACTTTAGTATGTCACAGAGAAATTTAAGTAGGCATTATTTTAGAAATCCTTTGCTCAGCCAATGTGGTGTGGCTTAGCTGAGGTTACCAAAGTACAGACCTTCTGATCATAACATATGCTACTAACTTTCAGACAGGATTACCTTGTTTTCTTCTAAGTTCCTTTTCAATTTTTCTTCCAGATCCCTGGTCTCTTCTGAGCCCTTGAGTTTTCTCTGCTCATAATTTTCACATGCCTCGTTAAGCTGCTCTTGTAAAACCTGGAACTCCTTCTCAATCTGTGAAATATCTCCCTAAAGGCAAATTACAAAATTAACTATTAAAAATAGTTTAAAATGTCTATTTCTGATCTGGTTCTGAACAGTCTCTTAAAATAGAGAGGAATAAAAGCCAGATGAAAATTTACAAGGGAAATGTCATGATAATTCATTTTGACTTACCTGTTGTGCCTCAAAAGGATCATATGGCTCAGTATTGACTTCTTGATGTGTTATATTCCAAGACACCTTTGGGGCAAAACAAATACTCAAATTCAATTTACCTCAATTGCTCTAGTAAAATAAATAAATCCATCATATAATGACATTTTAAGACATGCCCACAATTTTTTCAAGTTTTTTTTTTTTTTACAATTTCAGTAATGCTGTATGCTCTCTACAAATACTTGTGTAACGAAAGAGCTATCACGTAGAATTTATTTTATTATCATGTAATAAAAATGACTTTGGTTCATTATTTTTAACACGTTCTTTCAAAGCTTTCTAGAAAACAGGAAATGTAGTAAGGAGGGGGATAAGTCAACAATGGTTTAATGAATTCATATTCTATAGCATAAACTATAGGAGAACATCAATTTATTTTATGCTTGTTAGGTAGGAACTTTCATTTGCAGCTCTCGTTTCTCTCCACCTGATTGTCTTTTAACTCCCCCATTCCTCCCGTTTTGGTAGGAAAACTGGTCACATACAGCCCAGACTCTGCTTTTTTGGGGCCATCTGAGCAAAAAGTACATTTCCCTTCGTTCTCCATGCACTGGGTCTTGTGGGGCAGCACTCCAAGTTGGGAGGCTTCCTAGTCCAGCACTGCTGTAACTAGGTGGGTAAGCTGGTGTGGCATAGGCTTCAAGTACAGAAATAAACCACATCATCTTTATGATGCCATTATTCATTGTTAAGGTAATGTTTTGGCTCCATCTGCTGATTCCTTGATCTTATTTTCCAATTGGTACAAAACTTGGTTAGGGAAGTAGTACATTATTTACTAGACCCCAGAATTCTTTCTGGGTTGCCTATCATGCCCTACAAAAGGGTTCATATATTTTTAAAACATTTTGGGACAAAAACTTCATAACCAATATTAAGCCAATAATTTAAAAGAATTTTAGTAAAACCTAAGGGCAATGAAAAGATGAGAGGGAAAATTTCAGTATTAGGATGACTTTTTTCTAATTCAAGTCTTACCTGTATGGCAACCATTTGTGTATGTGGAGTATTTGTTACTTCATCGGTTTTTTCTGGATTTACTTCCCACTTGTTGGCAGAATTTCCACAGTGACCATCGTATCTGTTAGACTCACTAAGGGCTGTATCAGCACCATCTGTGCTGCACTCTGTCTTTACTGACACTTCCATAGAGTTCTGAAGGATCTGTGTTTTAGGGACAATCTGGTTCCCAGGGGCATTCTCAGCATTCAAATGATGACCCTCAAAGTACACAGTAGCACTTTCATCTAGTCTTTCACTGGCTATAAAAGACGGCACCACTGGCACTGATCTTTGCAGCTGATATTCAGAAGAAACATTGGGCAGAGGTGTGTAAATGTTAGTGTACTGGGGCAAAGTCGGTAACACATTTATGTATGTTGGTGGTGTCTGGGTAATGTCAAATCCCCGAAAGGGGAGGTATGTACAGTATCCTGTGACCAAATGGGGCTGAGTCCAGTAGGCTGGTTTCACATCCTCAGAAGCTGGTTTGGGAGAATTAGAGGATACTCGCTTGTGACTTGCATCCTCAGATACAGGTTGGGCAGAATCAGAAGAGACTTCTTTGGGCTTCTCATCTTCAGAAACTGATCTAGAATTATCAGACACTGGTCTTGGCTTCGTAACTTCACAGGTTGATTTGGGAGAATTAGCAGCTACAGGTTTGGGCTTCACATTCTCAGAAGCTGTTGCTGAAGATAAATCAGACATTGGTTTGGACTTTACATCTGGTTTAAATTCCCTAGCAGTTGGATTCAGTGGTAGTTTAACTCGTAAATACTCCCCTGTTTTTGAAATTTCTTCCACTTTTGTCTTAATGTTTTTCTTCTTTCTCTTTTTCTTGAGCCGTAAAGCAACTTTCTTCAAAGCAATACAGTTGTCAATCACAACAAAACGAGGACATCCCAGGAGGAAAGATTTCAAACCTCCAGCTTTTTCTAGTATCTGTCTAGTTTCTTCTGGGAAGAATTCATATTCTTCAGAGAACATTTTATTACTCATGTCCAAGGGACCATGCTCCTCCAACAACTGAGAGAAATAACTTGAAAAAAAAATTATGTTCACATGTTATTATAAGGAAGTACTCTTATATGTTCATTTGAAAAAAATTATTTTCCCCACAATTCTCCCAAAGCAAAATACAATTTCACTTCCAACTGATTTCAACATCTCCCAAATAAACATATTACATTCACGTTAAATTTGACAAAAGCTAACTGCAATCAAGGATACTCTAAAAGCAAAATTTTGAAAATAAATAAATAAATAAATAAAAGCAAAATTTTGTTTACTTCTCAGAAAATAATCCTTAAAAATGTTTTTGGGAAAAAAAAAGGGATTAAAAAGTTCTTTTATAAATTTCAATTACATCATTACACAATCTACTTTAAAAGGAATGAAAAGAAAATTAATTAAACATAACAAGAATGCCCGATAAGAGATGAAATTTCATTAAAATCCAACTGGAATTTCCAAGTAGTAAGTCTCTTAATATTTTTCTGTTTAAGAATATGCAATAATTTAGAGGTACTGAAATTAATCCTGTCTGATCAATAAACCAATACAGTACAGGATCAGACACACAGTAATGGGGCAATCCTTTAATCTACTACCAGTTCTGGATTGGGGCTCACTCCAGTTCTGGGGCTATTTTTCTGTTCCCATTCTGTGTCTGCCTCAAAGAGCCTTACTTCTCCATTTGAATTTGATATTCAGTCTGTAACAGTGGTATAACTAGCAAGAAAGACATATACCACACACCACCAAAAAGATTTGCTTTTTCCAGAGCAAAAATATCCAAAGGGATTTTCTTTTTCTTTTTTTTCAAAGGGATTTTCTTAGTAAATTGAGACTAGCCAAGAAGATAATTTATTTAGAGGAAGGTAAAAACATTTCTTTGAAACAAAAGAAACCACTTTATGTGCAGATGTGGCTGGAGATAAAGGCATAGGACTATTTTTGTTTAACCTCTATTCAAGGTAACTGATACTCTGAAGCTCAAAGACCAAATGCTACTACTTTTTTTGTCAGCAATGCTGCTCTAAATACTTAAAGGGTTTTTTGATGACTATTTTCCCCTTAGAATAATCTCTACAATTGAAACTTTATAACATACATTTTGTTTTGCAAGATAGCAGGTTGGATCTGTCTTTGCTTTGGGGCGCCTGGGTGGCTCAGCTGTTTAGTGCCTGCCTTCAGCTCAGGGTGTGATTCTGGAGTCCCAGGATCGAGTCCCACATTAGGCTCCCTGCATGGAGCCTGCTTCTCCCTCTGCCTGTGTCTCTGCCTCTCTCTCTGTGTCTCTCATGAATAAATAAAAAAATCTTAAAAAAAAATGTCTTTGCTTTAAGATTCCCATCACACTTCACTTTTATTTTTAAAAATATTTTATTTATTTATTTGAAAGAGAGAAACAGTATGAATGTGCAAGAGTGAACCGAAGGAGAGGGGCACAGGAAGAGAGAGAAAAATCCTCAAGCAGACTCCTCACTGAGCACAGAATCCAACACGGGGCTCAGTTTCAGGATCCTGAGATCATGACCTGAGCCAAAATTAAGAGATGGCTGCTTAACCAACTAAGCAGCCCAGGTGCCCCTCAAACTTCATTTTTATTTTATTTTTCTTTTTTTTTTTTAAAGATTTTTTATTTATTCATTAGACACACACACACACACAGATATATATATATATATATATATATATCATGATATATATATCATGCCCTGGACTGAAGGCGGCGCTAAACCACTGAGCCACCGGGGCTGCCCCTCAAACTTCATTTTTAATGAGAAATCTAAAATCAGAGGCTTGAAGGAGAGTGAGGTAAAAAGAAAACATTGTAGTCTCAGAAACAGTAACCCTTGCTGAGGATTTTAGCTGACTGCTGTAACTCTGGCTCTACCATCTCTCTGAAGAGAGATCCTTCCACATTTGTGTTTACCTGCCATTAAGCAACAGCAGAATAATTCATGAATGGTGTACGCGTATTTACTTTTTGCTCTTCATGATGAACACTGAAGAGAATCATTGAAAAACAAAGCTTTTCCACCTGGATTAAAGCACTTAAATCAAAACAGGATAACTAAAGAGCAAAGACTACCTACAAGGAAACCACTCTAAGTAATTCAGCAATGAGCTTTTCAATAGCTGGCAATGTCAATGATAGTGCAAATCTGGTGATGATTACCAAGCAACTAATAAAGGTTGCATTCTTGAAAAACAGTCAAGGATATGAAAAGATGCTCACTATGCATTTTTAGTGAAAAAAAATTATGACAAAGCTGAATGTATAGTAAAATCAGTTTATAAATGTTAAGACCTACGTTTTACACATATACATTCTAAAAGCCTGAATATACACCAAAAATTAACTGTACTTATAACTGGATGATAGAATTATTCATAATTTTTCCTTTATTTTTAAAAAATTCCATATTAATTTACATTATTATGTTTATAATCAGAAAAAATTTTTCTCAAAGAGAGCCTCCACATTTTTTCCACTGGCTAAGTGGCAATGAATTTTTCTTTTTTTCTTTTTTTTGCAATGAATTTTTCAAGCACTGAAGTAGAACAAAATTTAACTTAACTTGGGTCCCTAGCCCAAAGGGAAACCATTTTATAACCATACTGCGAATAAAATTTTTATAGTCACTATTATTTGAAACGCAACACAAAATGAATTTTAACTCTATACATCTTTCTAGCCTTGAAAAATCATCTCTGTAAGATAAACACTGGGTCCAAACAGCATAAATACAATTTCTTCATAATCCAGTGCTTCACAGGGGTTGGAGTCCCTCCATCAGTGCACTCTGAACATTGGTACTGGTGTGACTGCTTAGCAGACATGAAAGAGGCCAAAGCTCTGCTGAAAGACGGAGTTACAACTGGAATGGTGAGACTGACTCAACTTCCACCCAGTTACACAAGATTCATCTTTGCTCTCATCGCTTGTTCTTTTTTTTTTTTTAATTTTTTATTTATTTATGATAGGCACACAGTGAGAGAGAGAGAGAGGCAGAGACACAGGCAGAGGGAGAAGCAGGCTCCATGCACCGGGAGCCCGACGTGGGATTCGATCCCGGGTCTCCAGGATCGCGCCCTGGGCCAAAGGCAGGCACCAAACCGCTGCGCCACCCAGGGATCCCTCATTGCTTGTTCTTGTTCAAAGTCTCAGACTATGTATTTCAGAACCAGGGGTAAAAATGAGGCACACTGTGTGTGATAGGAGTTAAAACAAAAAAAAAGCTAATTACACCAGAGATATTAATAGTTCTTATGTTATGTATGTATGTAGATATATTATATTTTTGTCATTGGATGACGACCATTAGTGTCTGAAATGGTCATGGTTAGTCATACCAACCACAGTGCCATTACATGTCACTGCTGGCACATGGGCAAGGGATAAGGATGGAGAAAACATTTCAGAAAGCATCCCCAACCTAGTATTCTGGCTGTGGTCCTTTGAAAAATCACTGTTTTGTCCAAGTTCATGATTGTTATTTCACAAAGTTATTTTATTTGCGATACACTGTGACCTGACCAATGATCAATTCAGCTCTCCTACTACTTGCAAGCTGCATGAAAGGATTGTATCTCCTAGTTTTTCTGCAATCTTTCACAGTGCTTAACCCTAAGTGGTTAATTAATGCTGGCCAAATACTTAACACCCCTAATGAGGTATTAGGAAAAGCTAAATGCAGAATACTAACCACTGAAATTTCATTTGCTTCAACTACCTAAAATCATAAAACGCTAGAACTAGAAGGATCAGGTCAATTAAACAACTATCAGTCTACTCCCCTACTTCATAGTGAAATACTTAATTCAAGATCAAGTTTATAGCAGTTATCGCAGTATTCCTAATTCCTTGTCTAATAATTGCTCTACTCCTCTACCTTCCTATCATATAGAAAATTGTAGTTTCATTTTTATTTCTTTTGCCCACTGGCCACTAAAAGAAATCATTCTTTTTTCTTTTTAAAGTTTTTATTTATTTATTCATTTAAATAATCTCTATACCCAGGTTGGGGCTTGAACTCACAACCTTGAGATCAGGAGTCACACACTCCTTTGAGCCAACCAGGTGCCCCTAAAAGAAATCATTCTTGGAAAGCTTTGGTGGATCAGTGGTTGAGCATCTGCCTTTGGCTCAGGTTGTGATCCTGGGATCCTGGGATCAAGTCTGACAACAGGCTGCAGGAAGCCTGCTTCTCCCTCTGTCTGTCTCTGCCTCTCTCTCTCTGTCTCATGAATAAATAAATAAAATCTTAAAAAAAAATCATTAAGCTCATTATCACATGTCTACTTCCAAAAATTCAAAGAAACAACCATTTTGATGTGTAACTTCCTGCAATTTGACTTGAAATTTTATCTCAAAATACAAATCAGCCTAATTTTTTTCCTCATGAAGTTAATTTCCTCCCACTTATAACAGTAATAAATTGTTTAAGAAGCAAGGTCCTCAAAATGACACAGTTTAGCTTCAGTTTTAGATGCCAGAAGCAAAGTCCACCATATTTTAAGAAATACTAGTATAGTTTTATAACTGTTTCCATATGGTCATCCAGGAGCGTTCTCTGGAAATAGAATTTGCTCAGCATTTCAACTCTAAAGAAAACTATGAAGAAGTACCTAGGAGCATAACTAGACTGAACAGGAATAATGCAACTGGGAAGGATAGAAGGAATGACCAAATTATGGATGAGTGACAGGTTTTCTGGGAGAATAGCTAGTTTTTAAATTAATTTTCTATTGTAGGTCTTAGCCCTCATTTCTTTTTTTTCTTTTTTAAAGATTTTATTTATTTATTCATGAGCAACACAGAGAGAGAGACAGAGAGAGAAGCAGAGACACAGACAGAGGGAGAAGCAGGCTCCATGCAGGGAGCCCGACGAGGGACTCGATCCTGGGTCTCCAGGATCATGCCTCGGGCTGCAGGCGGCACCAAACCGCTGCAGCCACGGGGGCTGCCCTTATCCCTCATTTCTTAAGGAAGGTAGCAATACCTTAATAATATCAAGCTCAAAAAGCTTAACTGCTTCCTAGATTTTCCTGAACTCTTTACTCCAGTATTTTATCCACCCCACTAAGACTTGTTAACTTATCACTGGACTTATAAGATGCTAAACATCCACATCCATCAACAAAGGAACAATAAGATCAAATAATTATACTACTCCTTGTCAAATGTTTAACTTCACCCTTATCCATGAGAGATACCAAGACCTCCGGGGATGCCTGAAACCACAGACAATACTGAACCCTATATATACTGTTTTGTTCCTACACATACATACCTGTGATAAAGTTTAAGTTATAAATTAGGCATAATAAGAAATTAACAGCAACAATTAATAATAAAATAGAACAGTTATAATAATACTGTTACAAAAGTTATGCGACTGTGGTGTCTCTCAAAATATCTTATTGCACTGTACTCATCCTTCTTGTGATGATAAAACACCTACATGATGAGATGAAGTGAGGTGAGTGACACAGGCATGTGATCTAATGTTAGGCTACTACTGACCTTCTGACAATATGTCAGAAGGAGGATCATGGGCTTCTAGGCAGGGGTTGCTTGTGGGTAAAGTGAAACCCTGAAAAGCGAAACTAAGAATAAGGTAAGAGTACTGTATATCTTGGAATTCATGATAAAAGACTGGCTGAAAAAAAAAAAAAAAGACTGGCTGGGGGGCGCCTGGGTGGCTCAGCTGGGTTAGGCGGCCAACTTTTGGTTTCAGCTCAGGTCATGGTCTCATTGGCCGTAAGATCAAGCTGGCATCAGTCTCCATGCTCAGCTTGAAGAGTTTTTCTTCCTCTGCCCTGCCTCCACTCATGCACACACATGCGTATGTGTGTATGTGTCTCTCTTTCTCTCTCTCAAATAAATTAATAAAAAAAAAAAGATTATGGCTGGAAATTTTATAGGTCCTATTAGCATATACCAGGTCAGTTTTAGAAACAGAAAATATCTATATTAAGCAGCTCAAACTGACAAAACCAATAATAATTAGAATTCTAAATTTAATAATTAAAAACAGAGTTAAACTTTGTGTAATACATGACAAAGGCTGTAAATCCAGGTTTGTGAGCCAATAAATGATTCCTTTAATAAGCACAAGGGACACAAATTCAACAACTGAGATCTTTAACTGGCAGCTTCGTATAAAATACTATTTGTAGGAATGTTAAACTACTTACTCATACAGAGTTGAACATTTTTGTTTTGGGTTAATGTCCCACAGCTTTTTATTACGGACAACATATTCACTACTGTGCTGCTCATAGATAGCTTCAAATTCTTCTACATCTTGCCGAAGGTGGTCAGGTACCACAAATGGCCCTGCAGAATTTGAATTGCGTCTGCTGATAAAAAAACAACTTTGTGAATCATAAACTTTTAAGGTGATCCAGAATATTTAAACTGAAATAAATATAAAGACAGTAACATATTACTTAGCTTTACAATGCAAAAAAATACTATCAGAAAATTATATGAGAAAAGGTATCCTTCCACAATTACATATATACGTATTACGTGTGTATATGCATGTGTGTATATGTGTGTGTGCGTGTGTGTGTGTGTGTATATATATATATATATATATATATGCCTGACCACTGAGTAAGCACCTTTAATTAACTACCTATTCTTGCTCCCAAGAGCAAATTTTTTGAAACTCCTGATTTTAAAAGTATCAATGTTACATTAATTTATAACTTGTTACAGAGAAAAATGGAAGATTGTAACTGCTATTAGTTAAAGTGAGATTGAGACACTTAATAAAAAGACTTTTTTTCTAAATTATAAAATTCTAACATTCTAAAGAGATGTGGTAGTTCGAGTGTGAGTTCTAAAACCAGACTGCTGGGTTTAATTCCTTGGCTCTGATATTTAGAAGCTTCAGGTTTGGGGGCACATCATTCAACTATACTGTGCATAAGAAGTCTCTTTATCTATAAAATGGACATAATAACAGTACTTACCTCCTAGGGTGGAGGAGTGGATTCAATGAGTTTATATACGTAAAACCAATGGAATAGTAACTGACACATTTATAAGAATAAGCTATTACTATTTTAACAAAATAATTCTTCCACTTAAAAGAATCCATGAAAATAACTGTAAAAGCAGTTGTTATGACAACTCCTTTAAAAAATGAGAAAAAAAATCTGTGGATTTCTAGTCTGTAAGGGAATTAGACATCAAAAAGTCACTGCTACTCACTACTTTTATTTCTTCCTATGCCTATTCATATCCTGAAAACTTAATTTCAACACCCAGACACCACTGAAAATCACTCATATCTAAGGTTAAACCACAACATCATATACAGTTTCCAAAACATCTTCCTCTCCTATTATTACAGCAAATATGCTAGTAATTGTCAATAGGACATTCTCTTCACTGAATATTTTAAGTACTATTTTCTAGGATTTTCCCACAGTATCTTGTGCATAGTAAGTTCCTAGACTTATCTAATGAATGCCATTAGACCAATGATTTTAATTTAGTTTGTATGAATTCCTAATGAGGACAAGCCTTGCTATAAATTCAACCAAGATGGATCACATCAGGTTGTTATAACAGATGTACATCTTTAGAGAGTGAAATTAGGGAAATAAAATACAAGTTTAAATTACATTAAATTAGCACCACTTGCTAAGTTAACACAGGAGTTAAAATGAAGCAAAAAATTTTAATTATACTTACTTATGTTCTTCACCCGAAGTGATAGTCTCATTATTTGGTGTTACAGAAGCTGTCCCAGACCCCACCAACATAGGCTAGTTTAAAAGACAGAAAAATGAAAATGATTTTCTACCTTAAAATCCCATGAAAAAAATTAGCATTAAAACAGATGAATGCTTATATAAATACACAAACTGCCAATATATAAGACTTATCTAAATTTTTTTTGTAAACAGGAACACATAGTAATAAAAGTTTCAACAACTACAAATAGGCCCAAATTAACATTTAGGCCTCAAAAAATTTTTTTAATGTCAAAGATAAAAAGACAAGTTTTAGTGGAATTTAGAAACAGCTGCTCTCATCCTCTAATATTTGTTTCCTGCCTCAGCTCTTGCCCTCTTGTTGTCTGATCTCCTAACACATTGAGAGCCAAGGAGAATCCATAGTAAGACAAACAGCACGATATTTATCTCATGGGCTTGGAACAAATCTTTAGATTAAATATTTAAAAAGTCTTGCTCTAAAAATGCTTCAAAATATCCTCCAAAATTGGTTAATCTAATTTATATATTCAATTATTTTATGCAAGAATATAGAAAATATACCTTTGAATCTTTTGGCTTCTTTTTCTTGCCTTTATTTTTTATCTTGGCGGAATTAAACTGGAAAAATGGTGGGGGAAAAACAATGAAAACTCAAATAACAGCAGTACAAAGCTCCAAATAAAGATATCATACTGGTTTCAGCCACAAGTTGAATATACATAACAAAAGTAACAAAATTGCTAAACAAAAGTAACATTTAGAATGTCAGCCCTGGTGTTATGACTTATAATAGAAAATAACAGCTCAATAACAAAGGTGTAATAACTAAAATTGCCCCAACATTTTAAAACTCATTTGTAAGGTTTATGTTATTTCAAGTAATTAATCAGTCTTTTAGAGTAATTCCAGTTATATGCTACTAGTATAGTATTTTAATGACATTTCTTACTAAGCTAAATTGACCTTCTACACGTGGCCAAACTTTGAGGCATAGTGGACTGATGAGACATTTAACTTCCCACGGCTGTGTTACAGGTGTTTCCATACTTAGCTGGCAGTACTTAACAGCAGATTAAGACAAACTTTCAAGTACAGATGGTCTGATCCTGAAGATCAGTAAATAAGCATCTGTTTGAAAACTGCCACAACCTACTAAGAAAAACTCTGGATTTATTTTAACTTTGGAACCATTCAAAACAAAGTCTCTTTGTTTTCCTTACAGAACAAAACATTAAAATTTTAATTACAGATAACTTTTCATTTTTATGCCAGGAGATGACTCAGCAACTCATTCCCTATTTCTGAGATTAACATTTATTAGTTACAAAACTTTATGGATACTGTCTAATTTAAGCCTCTGAATTTGCTGACTATTGCTCTAAGAGAAAGACTGGGCATTAACTTTCTAATAAATTAGCATACATTAGTCAGAAATCCTCTAGACTTGGTTCTAGAATGCTAGCTGTGATGTAATAAATACTGGCCTGGGTACCCCTCTCTTCTTTGGCTAACACAGATTATTAGCACACTGAGGTTAAAGTGATCAAATAACTTACCGGCACATCGCCACTGTCTTGTTTCCTTAATACAGTACAGCGGCTGTCTGTAGGAAAACACCAGTGATTTGTGAGATGATGATAATTTTACACTGCCAAACACACTAAACCCTTAAAGAGAACCACTCCAGATACTACGATCATCAACTATGTTCTATTCTCCAGATACTACAATCATCAACTATGTTCTATTCCTTATTCAGCTTTGACACAAATGGCCAATTAAGTGAAAAACAACCACAGATAATCGCAAAATGTAAATCCAATTCAGCACAATTTGAATGCTTTCTATGTGTCAAACTCTATGCAAGGTGCCAAGAATACAGAAACGCATAGTACAATCCCTGCCACAGATAAACTTGTGTTCTTAACTTGTATTCTGCAAAATACTCAAACAGGCAAATACCTGCAACCCACTGTGCTACATGCCTCAATAAATACAATGGAAACAAAGCTGATGGAATAATAAAGTTTTCAAGGATAAAGGCCCAAGGAGAGGTCAGGGAGGGCTTGGTCTGGGGAAGCAATATTAAAGTAAGACTTTAAATAAACAAGCAAAGGAATAGGACGTGGTTGGAGAAAATGCATGAGCAAAGTCACAAGGCAGAAAAGCACAAGGAAGGTTTTGACATCTTCAAGAAGTTAGATGTATACACGGAGGGCAGATGGGGAGAGTGATGATAAACTCAGGTAGATAGTGTGAATTTAATGTGTAGGCAAAACGAAGTAAGTGTCTAACAGAATCATTATTGTGTCAGATGTTCCAGAAGAGTCACTAGTGGCAAAGTAAGACGAAGATCTGGAGTGGGAAAGTCTAGAGGCATAGAGACCAGTTTGGAGGCTATTAGGATGGTCTAATCATGTAAAGATTACTAAGGCTCTGACATAGGGAAGTGGAGATGGACAGAAAGTACAAATCAAAGATACAGCTTACTGGAACACATGACAAAGTAGATATAGGGTAACGGGAAAAAGGAAGAATTGAGAATAATTTCAGGGTTTCCTGCTTAGATAGAAGATTTACAACCATGTTACTAGGAATAATCTAGGAAAAACAGATTTCTAGGGATATAATAAGTGGGTTCAGCCACATTGCTCTTAAGAGACATTTTCGGGAGAAAAAAGGGGGGGGGGTCTTAGCTGTCTACAAAGAAATACCAACAGAAAATTGTATGCAGAGTTCAGAAGAGAGGTCGGACCTCCAAATTATCATAGCATTGGTGACATTATTAAATACTTCTATTTATAAGATCAGTGGATTTTGAAGAGTTTTAAGAACTATAATCATCAATTTAAATGAAAAGAGATAAAATTGAAAATATCTAGGAAAATGGTGAGAAGCAGAGCTACTACTGAAGGGAAAATCTGTTGAGATGGCTGGTCATTTGGTTGGTGGCTTCTGACTAAAAGGAACAGTCACAGCCAGATGGACTGCACAGTTGAGTTACAGAAAAAAATCCACACTAAGAGGGTCTCCTTTTTAGTTATTTTCTTGTGTGATCCAAACATGCATCAGGCTTTATATTACCAGCAGCAGCAAACTGATGGCAATAAATTCAGGCTATCAAGTAGCACGTCACTTCCAGTCATGAAGCTGTCCTAGAAAAATAAAGCCATCTGTATTTGAATGTGCTCCTTCCTAAGAAACACAACAAGCTTTTCAGTCCCTTATACATATGAACTCCTTAATATGTGATAGCTTTGTACAAAGCCAGACCTTTTAATGCGCCCTTTCAAAAAAAGCATGAAATTTAAAAGTCTAGCTCTGGACAGTCTGTAAAGCAGATGCTGAGGAATGCTGAAGAAGAAAAGGGGAGGGGGAGAGCTACCATAAGACACACATGTAGTACCAAAGAGAAGTTAAAATTAACTTAGAATCTAAGAATATTAGAATTCTGAAGCAAAGTGGGACCACACAGACCACTGGCTCCAAATCCTATCACTTCAACAATGAAGAAACTAAGATCCAAAAGAAGCTAAAGGGGATCCCTGGGTGGCGCAGCAGTTTGGCGCCTGCCTTTGGCCCAGGGCGCGATCCTGGAGACCCGGGATCGAGTCCCACATCGGGCTCCTGGTGCATGGAGCCTGCTTCTCCCTCTGCCTGTGTCTCTGCCTCTCTCTCTCTCTCTGTGACTATCATAAATAAATAAAAAAAATAAATTAAAAAAATTAAAAAAAAAAAAAAAACAAAAACAAAAAAACAAAAGAAGCTAAAGAATTAACTACTAGTTATCCTATTCTGCCAAACCTATTCTGGGCTCCATGCTGCTACCCGAACAGGTGACCTAATTCCCCTCAACCCTATCTCTAAGCCCAGATGTCAACCTGTCCAACTACCTCCATGTTCACAGCTCAGACTCTATCTAGCCCTGCATCGAGGCTTTGTCTTCCCCAGGAAGAACACGAGAGCTTGATCCTCCATTTAAACCACCAGCACCCTTTCTGGACCTCTCTTACTGAGCTGATGCTCATAATAGTTACTGAATATTCACCTTATTCCTTTTTCTACAATATAAGGTTCCTGAGGGCAGGGGCTAGCATACGCATTTCTGAGTTCCTAGTTAACACCCAGCTCTGGAGGGGACCTTGAAGCAGTAGTAAAAACAAAGTTTTTAATGAGGTGAATTAGAGAAGAAGCTGGGCCACAGTCGACTTCCTGATCTCCCAATTCTAAGCTCTTCCCACCACAACAGATGTGCTATTTCCAGATTCTGCAAACATCACCTCCTCTGCAGGGCAATGTATTCTTGAAGGTTACAAATTAAACCATTTACTAATAAACTCTGTCCATTTAATATGCAATCTTTGCCATGATTCTGTCAATGTATCTAAGATGAGAATACTAGGTGTGTAATCAGTGTAACACACCCCTATGAGCACCCTACCACTTAGCTCAACAGAGTAAAAACATTTTATAACATAAAAAAAAAAAATCACTATTTTTAATCACTAACTTTTCCAAATAAGCTGGCTGTACCATAATAATTCTCACTATTTTGTCAAGTATTAAATAAGCTAGATCCTTCACAGATTTGTACCCCACCCCCCAGCCCAGATATAATATAAATTGAAATTCAGCCCACACACCCATTATGTCAAAGAACTCATCTAGAGCATTGTGTAGCGCTGGGAACTTGTCTCTATGCTCTTCTAGCAGCCATATTAAACACCGTGCTTCCTTCACTGATGTTGGCTCACAAAAATAATCAAGTTGCTTTCCTTCTATAGAGGCTAGTTTATGACCATATTTCTCATTCCAGAGAAAAGTCATGATGCTAAAATCAAGCTCCTTAAGAGAGGCTCCATAACGAGAAAAAAAAGGTCCTGTGGCATCTAAACCTGTAAATAAAAACAAAATCCAAATCAGAAAAAAGGAATATCATTTACCATAAAATTACATTCAATCCTACATCTCTGAAAGCAGTTCAGTTATAGTTTGCTGACATTTTCAGTGAAAACACATACCTGAATACAAACTTGTTCAAGTTATTTTGCATTTTAGGAATACCACTTAATATGGACAGACTAATTACAACAGTTCTTATCTATTAGTTGAATAAGGTGGGCCAAAGTCTTCTTATATAATGGCTCATATATTATAAGCTTCTACGGTCATTTTTATTAGACTTAGGCAGTAAAAGCAAAGCATTAAATTCCTGTAAAAATGTAACAACTTTTTCACGAATTCAAAAAGATTTTCACTCTACTTAGTACAAACTAGCAAGATTTTAGTGCTTTTCTACATATATTCCATAGTAACAAAACATTAATAATATGCAAATGATTCCAAATGCCTTTAAAACAACACCTCCATTAATGGCTCCTTATCCCCCTCCAAAAATCAGGATGGTCACTATTCCCACTTTTATTCCAACTTCTAACAAACCAGAAAAAGAAGTAGCGGCAACCTCATACCACTGCTACTGAAGGGATGGCGAGCCCCTACCCTTACTAACATAGCCACCAAAAGGCAAAGACTATCTCTAGTCTATCTTCCCACCTGCCTCAAATATAGTACAGTAGCCTCTTATGCCAGTCATGGTTTCTCAGTCAGCATATGAAGCGGACTACTGAGTCAGAATTAACCTGGATGGCTGTTTCCTCCAGATGAAACAGTTACCTTGCAGAGGTCATGTTGCATGAAAAATGTGCTCATTGAAGGGAAGGCAAAAGATCACTTCTAGTATTAAAATGATACTCTCTCCCCAATCCCTCATATAAACTGACGTCTCATGTTAAATATGTACGTGATGTGACCCTATAGGACGATTTTTTTTATTGAGAAGGAAGTAAAATTCCAGGAATTGGAAATTACTTGCCTTTAATAAATAAATATGCTTTACACCAGGGATATAGTACAGCCTTAGTAATTAACATGCTTGAAGTCATTTTAAAACTTTAACTAGAAACTGCAATTTTAGGGACACCGGGGTAGCGCAGAGGTTGGGTGGCTGCCTTTGGCTCTGGTCGTGACCTTGGGATTCAGCATCGAGTCCTGCATCAGGCTCCCTGTGGAGGGCCTTCTTCTCCCCCGGCCTATGTCTCTCCTCTCTGCCTCTCTCTCTCCCTCTCCCCCCCCAGTGTCTCTCATGAATAAATAAATGTCTTAAAAAAAAAAAAGAAACTGCAACTTTAAATAGGATGCATATACTTATTAAAAGAATACCAGAATACCTTTATCAGAAAGGTATATCATTTATAACAAAATGATCCATCAGTGAGCTACAAGGCTCAAATGCTACCCTTTACCTGAGAGAACAGTGACAGGCACTCTTGCCTGGGTAAGCATAACCAGAAAGCCTACTTCTCCTGAGTCTATCTTCCAGAGCAGATAAAAATTAAGAATAACATAATAATTTACTTGGATTTTTAATAGACGCTGATGACAACCTTAGCACTTAAGAGTGGTTTTCTGGGACCAGAAACCTGTGCAGATCTGTGCTTAAAGCAGCAACACTTAGTTATCAACTATGCCAAGCTTGCTACCACCTTACATGGTTTCTACTGACAGAAATTTATCAATATATTCTCTCAAATTCCAGAATTCTAAGAGCTCCATGTCCTTAAAAATTCTGGCAGGTTGGGGAGACTTTCAGAGGCCTGGCTGGCTCGCTCTTTGGACTGCTCCACTATTGCTCCTGCTGGCCTTGTGTACCACAACTACCAACTGAATCACCTACCTAGTCCAAGGCCAGTTACCACCATGGTCACCAAGATAAACAGTGCTCTGGTAGGTACTCAGAGAAATCTCAATCTAATGTTAGACAACAACTCTATCTGTGGCAGCTTTTACAGTCCCTGCATGGCCCTAGGCAAAGAGCCAGCTTGGGTCTTCCTCTACCACATTAGGAAAATTAGGAAGAGTAGCAGAGTTCTATAATCCTGTGATTCAACCTCAAAGTATTTTCCTCATAGTCCTTAGATACAGATTTGCCTTCAGTGATCCTAAGCAGTTTGTTCCGTCCACTCTTCCAAGTTTTCTAAGGATTCTGACTACAGAACTGCACAATCCCAGAGGGCACTCAAACAACTGCCTCCAGAAAGTGTTATTTACTCATGACTCTGCCTTGTATTTACTTAGTTTACACATTTACAAATAGTTTAGCAAACTACAGGACTGGATTTTCTGACTAAACTTTTTCATGTTTATACTTTTTTGAAAAGTGTACTGTAACCTATCTATAAAATAACCTAAGTTGTGAGTTGGGAGGAAATAGTATTTTTAACCATACAACTCTGTAGTCCTACTCTTTAAAAAATCATCAATGATAATAGAAAAACAAAAAGGGGATCTGACGCCAATGTCCACCCTTCTACTGAGTTATATAGGCTCTAGAGTTCAGTGGCGTACCAAAGCTGTTAAGTTTCTGGATCCAAGCGGCTAATTTTGGCTCCACTTCTTTAAGTTCGCTCAAAACATGCAGAAATATCCTAGTCTTTACTCTATTCTTTTCTTGAATCAAGTGACGAATGACGTAGTCCACCGCTTCATTTAGAAAATTTCTGCTAGAAAAACAGGTTGTGTAGTCTTCTGTGCTTAAAACCTTCCAAGAAAGCAATTCTTTGAGAAGCTTGGAAGTGTTCAGAATACCAGATTTTATCTTGTCAGCGTACTGCTTTATGCACTGCAGAATTCTGTCGTCAAGGAACTGGCAACTTTGAACACTGTCTACAGTTTCTAAGGATAAATAAAAATGGTTAAAGTCAGCAATGTACTAATTTGTAAAGATATAAACTGAGAAAGAATATGGTATTACATAATAATATAAAATATTGTTCAGAGGGATTCTTAATGTCTCAAATAAACTCAAGAAATTTTAAATTTGGAATATACTTAACAATACCTTTGACAAGATACAAAGTTCACATTAAATCAAACATCAAAAGTATCTTACCTCCTTCACTCTGTACCACTCATGCAATATCTAAAAACTTAGTTCCTCTAAAGTAAGGTTACTTTCCTCAACAACCCTAACCCAGTCTCATCACTACCTATACTTCACATTCAATAACTATGTTTAATCATTAAGAATGCAAAGCATTTTTTCTGGAGTTGAAGGGTTAATTTATTAGTTGTGAATTCAATTAATATTTGGTAGTTATTGTTATGTTATTTATCTAATTGTTGGATCCTAAACCACAGGATCCCATGGTGTTGATTCCAAACTGGAAAATTTCTCCGAAGTTTATCTTTCCAACCCAGGCATCTCCCTAATAGATGGCAGATAGTTAAAACACAAACAAGAAGCATGCAAAGTTAAAACACAAACATTCACCAGAGACTTCTATAGTAGGAAAGATAATTGTGACTTATTTGTGAAACACTAATGGAATACTATGTAAAAAATAAAAACAAGAGGAAGTATTTCATTTTGGGAACAGCCATCACAGTAGAAAATAAAAAAGAATAATTTCCTTCAACTGAAAGCTAAAACCAGTCCTAGAGATGTAATGCACAGCATGGTGACTACAGCTAATACTACTACATTGTGGGGCGCCTGGGTGGCTCAGTTGGTTGGGTCAAGTGTCCGACTCTTAATCTCAGCTCAGGTCTTGATCTCAGGGTCATGAGTTCAAGCCCTGCATTGAGCTCCATGCTGGGTGTGGAGTTTACCTTAAAAAATAATACTATATTTCAAATTTGAAAGTAGCTAAAAGAGTGGATCTTCAAAGTTCTTGTCATAAGAAAAAAGAATTCTGGGGGGTGCCTGAGTCGCTCAGTGGTTGAGCGTCTGCCTTCAGCACATGGCGTGATCCTGGAGTTCCGGGATCACGTCCCACATAAGGCTCCCTGTGAGGAGCCTGCTTCTCCTTCTGCCTATGTCTCTGTCTTCTCTCTGTCTCTCATGAATAAATACAATCTTTAAAAAAAATTCTGTAACTACGTATTGTGATAGATGTTAATTGGACTTACTATGGTGATTATTTTACAATATATACAAATATGCAATATATACATCACAGTGTACACCTGAAACTCATAAAATGTTATGTCCTTAAAAAAAAAAAGACCTTAAGAAAAAACCTGAAAGTAAATATACTCACAGGAACAGTATAATCACATACCCAGGGTGATCAGGGAATAATGACAAGATGAACATAAAACAGAAGGCTGAGCTAGGTAATCTCTACAGCTTCTTTATGAACCGTGTGCAGGACTGAATGAAGGACTATATCTGAATGCAGGACTATATCAGATAATTAGGAGCTAACTCACGTTCAATGTCTTAGAATCGAAATCTGCACAATGGAGTTCATAGAGTACTATCAAATACACAATATGCAAGTCAGCTATTATTTCCACCTTCACTTCTGTGATAAACAAACTGACGGAGAGCTCGCTCCAAGTTAGTGCACTGCTATTGTGCACTGGGATTCTGAATCCCTGTGTACACACTGCTTCCAAACTTGATGCTCTTTACACCAATTTTTCCCCATCTCAGAGCAACACAAAAAAGTGATGGTACTAAAATACTAATTGAAATCTAAACTTCAATTCAGTAACAACACAATATCCAGTAAGAGAGGTATTTATGTTTATACTTTTAGGCTAGAATATATTATTCTCATTGTGCCTTTAACTTCCGCATACCTTTCTGCTCTTCAGTTTTGGGTGGATTACTTTCCCTTAGGTCCTCTTCCATTCTTTCTTGTGCTAATTTTTTTGCTTCTTTTTTTTGGATCTTTCTCTTCAATTTTTTGTCTTCTTTCAGTCTTAGCTTCTCTAGGCTGATAAGCATTTACAATTAGTGATAATCCACCTTTGTCATAAACTAATTAACTACCTTCTTTTGCCTATTACAGAAACCATTCTCTAAGTAGTAAACTAGAAAGTTTCCCTTTTAATTTTGAACTTGGCCTGCATCTTCTCTTTAATATCAAAACTGTTGATGCATGTTCAGTTAAAATTAGGATACTTATTTCATGAAAGCAAGAACTCAATGACTAACTTATAAATCAAGGGTGGCACACACATATTGTACAAATATTATTTCCATGTATGTAAGTTACTGCTTAGGGTAAATAAAAATAAAATAAAATAAAAAATAAAATAAAAATTACCCTGCAACATAATACATATGTACACTCATTTCAAAGAAAGATCCCACCGTAAAATATTATTTTCACATCTCAATAATGGCCCACAACACTGGAATTTGGTTGATATGGTTTACAGTAAATTCTCTTCAACAAATAATTCTGCTCATCTTTTCTTGTTTTTTTCTTGGTCACAAATGATGAAAAAAATCACTTCTTAGAATAGAGGACAAGAAGCAGAACCAAAAAGAAGAGGGGCAGCCTGGGTGGCTCAGCAGTTTAGCACCTGCCTGCGGCCCAGGGCATGATCCTGGGGACCTGGGATCAAGTCCCACATCGGGCTCCCTGGGTGGAGCCTGCTTCTCCCTTCGCCTGTGTCTCTGCCTCTCTCTGTGTCTCTCATGAATAAATAAAGATCTTTAAAAAAATTTCTAAAAGAAGAAGAAGAAGAAAAAAAGGATTGGGATTATTTGACCTAAACAATAATATATAAAAGTGAATAATTTTGACAGTATATTGAGTTTTTCGGGGTGAGAAATAGTCATTGGTTCAAAAATATCTGAAGAGAGAGAAAAAAGAAAAATGCTTTTTGAATTAAAGTTTAAACAGCTGACAGCTAAATAGATAAATTTTATCTAAATGCCAAAGCTGGGCAGCCCGGGTGGCTCAGCGGTTAGTTCTGCCTTCAGCCCAGGTTGTGATCCTGGATACCTGGGATCAAGTCCCGTGTCGGGCTCCCTGCATGGAGCCTGCTTCTCCCTCTTGCCTGTGTCTCTGCCTCTCTCTCTCTCTCTCTCTCTCTCTCTGTGTGTGTGTGTCTCTCATGAATAAATAAATAAAATCTTTAAAAAAAATAAAAAATAAATGCCAAAGCTATTGGGCAGCCCCAGTGGCACAGTGGTTTAGCACCGCCTGCAGCCTGGGGTGTGATCCTGGAAACCCGGGATCGAGTCCCACGTCGGGCTCCCTGCATGGAGCCTGCCTGTGACTCTGTCTCGCTCGCTCTATGAATAAACAAAATCTTTCAAAAATAAATAAATAGATAGATAGATAGATAAATGCCAAAGCTATTAATCAAACATGTCATTTCATAGCATCAAGTGTCATAATTTTACTAAAAATTCAACCACCAAATAATGCTTCTTATTCAAGCTTTTAGTAGTATTTAACATTCTAGGTTAGTTCTCTTTAAGTTTTAAATACCCGTAAAATTCACTTAAACATCACTTATTTGGGTATGTGTATACAGCCAATTTTAAAAAAGTGTAATTCAGAAATCTGCATTTAATTGAATTATATTCCAGGAATTAGACATCATTAAACTACTGATTGATTGTTAAAAATCTTACCTAGAACATTTCTGTTTCAGAATAGGTCTTGGAGGAACCTTTTCTTTTATGACCTTGTGTTCAAACTTTAAATAAAACAAAGACATCCAAAATTTGTCTCATACTCCCATGACATAAAGCACAAAACCACAAGTAACAAGCAGTCAGAAGCACATAGAGTCAAGGTTCAATTTGATAGAGAACAGGGATGATGTTCTGACCCAGACAAAAGCTCAGAAAATTTTAGCAAAGCAATTTACTAAAAAGAGGAACAATAGACACAATTTAGGAAGCTCAAAACAAAACAAAACAAAAAAAAACCCCTAAGAGTAAGCAGATCGAATAAACTACAAATACCATTAGAACAACCCACTCCTCACATCTCATATAGTAAAGTGAAAAGTAATCCTTCAAAACCGTCTTCCCCTTCCCTAGGAATTTCACCCTCATTAATACCCAAAAGTTTACTGGGGATTAAGAAAACAAGATTATAAAAAAGAGTACAAACAGTAAAACTAAAATGTAAAAAGTCTCCCCTTTTATGAAATAAAAGAATGTGAGAATCCTTCATTGCAAAGATACATTCTGACATTCTATATTTTCTTAAGTAACTTTTTTTCCTGGAAAACACAAGATCCAAATTATAAAACTTCTACCCACTTAAATCATACTTAAAAGTCACAAATGTTTTGGTTAACAATTTGGTAATATTTTCCCTCTATTCAATACTTACTTCACATTTAACTTGACCACCACTGCTGAAAATGATAATCTTAGAAATGATTCCTTCACAGTCAGGGGTAAGACAAATTCCTTGTAGAAAATCCTATTTGATTAAAAAAACAAGTGCTATATCTCAGAATAAATCTATATATGTATACTGTTTTAACAATCAGGAGCAGTTAAAATACATCTAAAACCTTCTTTATGGAGGCACTAAAAGTTCCTGCTCCTTGTCTTCTGACTTTCGGAGCCTCCCTTGTTGAATATACTTCCAGCTGTAAGGCTGACCAAGTGACTTGCTTAGGTCAATGCAGAGTGAGCTGACATAATGTAAACTGTGTCCATGCAAAAGCTTTAAGAAAACTGAATGGACTGGCCATTGCTCTTTACCCTCTGCCACAAGAACATGTTCCAGTCACTCTTTAGCCTCAATTCAGAAACAAAGAATACAGCTACACAGACTAGAGCTGCTATGGCCCAACCCTGGCCCACAGCTGCAGACCTCTAGGACAATCGACGTAAGCAAGAAATGAACTTTTCTTATTATAAATCACGAGATACTTGAGTTGTGTATTAGTTCAGTATATCCTAGTACAAACTGACTAATTTACAGATAGTATTTCAACCCACAAGAATGGTTAAAACCACTATGAGAGCATGTGTAAAGTAACTAGAGAAACTGAGTTAATGTAAGACAAAGACATAGCAAAAGTGACTGACTCAATGGCAACAGTTACTTGGTCATATCATTGTATCTTTAGTTAACTATGTGAAAATGCATAAAATATGAGAATCTATTTCTACCAACCTTAAATAATTCCTCTGGCTAACAAACATCTAACACTAGCACATTACTCTTTTTTCCACACAAGAATAGGGGCTTATATGAGGCTAAGCAGTGTACAAAAAAATGTTTTTAAGTTCATAGCTTATAGCAATCAGAAACAAATGAATGCAAGTAAGATTATCAAGTTGAGCCTTCTCTCAAAGTAGATCCAGCTAGTGGTAATTAACGTTATTACCTTACTAATTAAGAAAAACCACAATGAGAAGTGGCAATACTAAATTTAACTTACTTTTTAGTACAAATTATTTCATCAAATTTGGTAGAAATAAAAAATTTGAGACCCCAATTCTACATCAGAACGTTAACATCAGACATTTAAACTTTTATTTTGGGGGCACCTGGGTGGCTCAGTGGTTGAGTGTCTGCCTTTGGCTCAGATCATGATCCAGGATCCTGGGATCAAGTCCCACATCAGGGTACCTGAAGGAAGTCTGCTTCTCCTTCTGCCTATGTCTCTGCTTCAAACTCTCTCTCTCTCTCATGAATAAATAAAATCTTTACAAAAAATTAAACTTTTATTTATTTATTTATTTTTTTTTTTTAATGATAGTCACAGAGAGAGAGAGAGAGAGAGAGAGAGAGAGACAGAGACAGAGACACAGGCAGAGGTGTCCATGCACCGGCTCCATGCACCGGGAGCCCGATGTGGGACTCGATCCCGGGTCTCCAGGATCACGCCCTGGGCCAAAGGCAGGCGCCAAACCGCTGCGCCACCCAGGGATCCCAAACTTTTATTTTTGATCATAAGATTCCCAATGTAAAAACTGGTTAAACAATTTATTAACGGCCTCTATGGTTACTGCCCTTATGCCAATATAAAATAAAAACAAGAACTGATTTTCTAATTTATCATTAAAGTTTTAACTTAAAACATTTTAGTTATGCTTAGAATGCACAGAAACGAATTTATATTTACTTAAAACTTTTAAAATTAAAGATCCTCAAGGAAAAAAAATCAGCACACAATAAGAATACTACAAAATTCAGACTATTTTGTGAACTTACCTTGTCAATTTTATCATTAAAAGTTGTTGTTTTCAACTTTTTCCAACAGTTCATGTGAAATTCTATTTTACAGTACTGGCAGCAGCTGATTCGTATAAAACCCTAGGGGATTTAAAACAATGTTTAATAAACATTTAAAGGTGTCTACACATAATGTCTTTCACAGTAACAACACACATATTAAGATCAAGAGAACTGTCTGCATTCACCTGGCAAACGTAACTAGATGATATCACATCCTCTCCTAAGTAAGTACAATACTTCTATACCCCTAAATGCTAGAGACAGAGAACTTGACTGACATGTTTATTTCCATAGTATACAGCTGCATTATCCTTTACAATATTAAATATTTTATAGACATTATTCATCTGATCTACTAACCAGGGAGAGTAGGCAGTTACTGTCTTCTTGAATAAAGTAAGGCCCATAACTCAATTAAGTGGCAGACCTGGTGTTAGACTTAGGTTCCCAGAAGCTAATTCAGTAGTCAAAACAGCCTTTATATTCCTGGTCTCAAATTTTACAAAAAATTAGAATTGCAACCAATCAAAGGTAACAATCTCATTTTCTTTCCTGTGCCTCTAAGAAATAGGGAAGTTATATAAACAGTGGCTAGAAAGGGGAAATAGAATTAGCTAGCCTGACGTCTTAGGTCACTGTCCCTGCCCTCAGTGTTTAGTGACTCTGGGTCCCCACGTGAGATGATGCAGACCTACAGAAGTCCAGGGGATATGACAGACAAGAGGACATCAAACTCCTGACAGCAGAAAACTTGGGTACCTCCAATTAGAGAATTTGTTCTGAATCCACTTTAAGGCACAATTCTGCAAGTTACTGTCCTACTGTACATTATGTACCTTAAAGTCTGGATCAGTTATATATATCTGGATTTTGGAATATCCACGGCACTTCTGATAGCAACAAATGGCATCTGGCACTGGAGGGAACCTGCATTCTTCAATAAATTTCTCTAACAGCATCTAAACAAAAATAAAAACAGTATTACAACATTAATTTGTCAATAAAAATGCTTATGATTTCAATAACTTCTTGCCATCAAAATATTTTCAGCATAGGAATGATTAAATGTTTTTTTAGTGAAGAATAAACTACATATAATTTCTTTTTAGAAGGAGGCTGATACATGGGGCACCTGGGTGGTTCAGCTGGTTAAGTGCCTGACTCTTGATTTTGGCTCAGGTCATGATCTCAGGGTCATGAGATTAAGCCCTACATTGGGCTCTGCACTGGGCACAAAGACTGCTTGAGATTCTCTCTCTCTCTCAAAAAAAGGTTGATAAAGAGGCCTATCCAGAGATAAAGCCAGAAAAAAAAAGACTGAACAAAAAAGTTTCAGAATTTCAGAGTCAGAATCAAAATCTTATCCCATGTTATTATCATCAAGCCTCATTTCATAAGGTGTCAATCTTAGAAGTGTCCTTTAGGCACTCAGAGAGAGTTAAATGAGGAAGCATAACTGTTAGGAATTTACTCTTCTCCTTCCCTATGTCACTTCACCTGGGATCCTACCACCTTCACGCATCTTGTACATTCCCTGGAGAATTATCCACTACTACTGAAGCCCCCAAGATACTCGTGCCATGCTTCCAGTGCTGGCTTTTGTTATCAAGAGCTCCTCTGTCTCCATCCCAATCTACTATAAAGAGAACATGCAGTGATTTTTTTGAAAATAGTTTTGTTGAAATATAATTCACATACCACTCAATCCACACATTTAAAATGTATATAGTTTAGTGGTTTTCAGTCTATTCACAATATTATACAACCAGTGCCTCAGTCCAAATTTAGAACAGTTTTATCACCCAACAAAAACTCATTTCCTCCCAATCCCCAAGCCCCTCAAAACCACTAATCTGTTTTTCTCTACATATAAATTTGCCTTTTCTGGAAATTTTAGATAAATACAATCATACAACATGTGGCCTTTTGTATCTGGCTTCTTTTAGCATGTTTTCAAGGTTCATCCATGCCGTAGTACTTGTCAGCACTTCATTACTCTTTACGGGCAAATAATATTCAATTGTATGGGTAGGCCACTGTATGGTCTTATGAACAGTTTTATTTAACCATTCATCAGTTACTTGGACATGTGAGTTATTCCCACTTTTTACCTGTTATGGATAATGTTGCTATAAACATTCATGTGCACTGTTTTGTGAGAACATTTTCCTTTCTCTGTGTAAGTCTAGGAATGAAACTGCTGGGTCATATGGTAACTACATCTTTAACCTACTGAGGGGCTGCCAGACCATTTTACATGTCCAACACCAACATATGGGGTTCTGATTTCTCCACATCTTATCAACACTTCTGATTATCTTCCTTCTTGAGAATAGCCAACCTAGTGTGTGAAGTAGTATCTCATTATGGTTTTAACTTGCATTTCTCTGATAGCTAATGTTGTTGAACATCTTTCATACGCTTATTGGCTATCTGTAGAAATTCTTGGCAGGTATGTCTATTCAGATCCTTTGGCTACTTTTTCATTTATTTTTTTATTTTTCTAATTCTAGTATAATGGCTACTTGTAATTAAATTGTCTTTTTATTATTGAGTTTTAAGAGTTGACGCCAGTGCTTTTAAAAGCTTTAGCCAAAAGCAAGTTCTGTATACATGCCAGGGTTCTCCAAAAGTAAAGGCCTATTCTAGTCAATCCACACATAATTTAGTTTTTCTAGAATTAGCAAAGCACCCTATGTCTCTGGATATGAGACCAAATTTATATGTTCCAGTCTTCAAGTGCCATATTAATAATTATAGTCACTATGATGAAACAATAATGCTATACCTTTCTCTAAGTATAACCAGTAAGTCATACTGCTTAATAAGGCATGCTGTGAAGTCAGAATGCCTAGATTCAATTTTCATCTCCACTACTTCGAGCCGTTTAACCTTGAGCTCATCACTTAACCTCTCTAACTTAATCTTCCTCTTCAGTAAAATGAGAATAATCATAGTCATCATCCTGTAGGATACTGTAAAGATTCAAAGTATGATAAATGGAAGCTGTGTGACTGACACACAGGAAATATTTAACAAATGTTAATGATTCTCACTTGTCTTTAAAGGGGAAACACGTGGGGATGCTGAGGCCGGAGTGCCCCTACCTCTTTATCTTCTGATACCTGAGTCATCAGTGCAGATGGGCTTTTATATTTAATAAGAAGCTCTCTGCAGAAATAAATCGTTACCTTTATTTTCCCCGGCTGAGTCTCTTCAATAATCACATTACTTGTGGGCCAAGTTAACACTCCAGGAAGACGACAAATCAAGGTTCTTGCTTTCTCAAAATGATTAAGAGCTTCTAGAAATCTAAAGTCATAATTATGAAGAAAGAAGGTATTAAAGCTATGATAAGAATTTTAATTCCCCACAATAAAGTTACAGAAATTTCAAGTTTACTAGTAAGAGTACATGTGATAAATCACTGTAGAGAAATATTCTATGGAACCTGTAGTTTCTTTAAAAAAACAAAGGCATGTTGAATCACTATACTGCACACCTGAAACTAATATAACTGTACATTAACTAACTGTAATTAAAATAAAAACTTAAAGAAAAAAGAAGGCATTAATCACTGTTTGCTATAAAAATAATATAAATTAAACACAAATCTGCCTGGCCACCGACTTTATTATGGTAGGTGCATACTGGTCCTTTAAAGTTGTAATTTATTGCTTAAAGTTTCCAACAATTACAACAGAAAATTGAAGAATTTCGTTGTTCCATTTTTATGTTTCATTTACTAAGCTAATTAGATTCCTATAGAGAAATAACAACCCTTCACACTTCAACTAATTAATCATAAATAAATTCCTTTTTAAAAAAACTTTATTAGGACATCTGATCTGTAGTAAAGATCATTCTGGAAAAAAAAAGATCTTTTTGAAAAAATTATAAAGAGATCATGTATACTAGACATAATTCTTCAACCATAAAGAAGTAAAGTATTTTAACAGAACAAATGGATATGTAAACTGTTTTAACTACATGAAATGTTTTGGTTCTGATTTATGTTTTTAAAAAATGTCAACAGATTCCTAAAATCCAACAAAAGAATATTAATACACTGGATTATAGGGGATCCCTGGGTGGCGCAGCGGTTTAGCACCTGCCTTTGGCCCAGGGCGCGATCCTGGAGACCCTGGATCGAATCCCACGTCGGGCTCCCAGTGCATGGAGCCTGCTTCTCCCTCTGCCTGTGTCTCTGCCCCTCTCTCTCTGTGTGTGTGTGTGTGTGTGTGTGTGTGTGTGTGTGTGACTATCATAAATAAAAAATACAAATAAAAAAAATATTTAAAAAAATACACTGGATTATAAAGTTAAATAAGTCTTTGTTATTCTCTTCAGACTAGAGAAGAAACGTTTCCTGCTTTCTCCAATCTTGAAAAATTTCCCAGTTTAAGAACTTTTTTTGCTAATGGATAAGAAAAACTCACCTGCCAAAAAGCTAGACCACCAACCACCATTAAGAGAACAGCAGGCCTTTACCAGAAACTGCGCATTGCAACAGCCAAAACCACCATTATCAGACACTGAACCCTACACCATACTATTTTGAAATTAAAATGTAAACTTTTCAAAATGGCACTTTTTCATCTACCATAATTCCTATGATGTTCCATATTTATGATACATCTCTAGGTCTTATGAATAATTACATGTGACCACTACATTAAAAATGTGTATCTTGGGGGATCCCTGGGTGGCTCGGCAGTTTAGTGCCTGCCTTTGGCCCAGGGCGCGATCCTGGAGTCCCGGGATTGAGTCCTGCGTCGGGCTCCCAGCATGGAGCCTGCTTCTCCTTCCTCCTCTGCCTTGCCCCCCGCCCCCTCTCTCTATCATAAATAAATAAATCTTTAAAAAAAATGTATATCTTAAACAAGTTATGTTAAGCTTGAAATTAAATTCATTTGTTATTACTATACAGATGATTGCTAAATCCTCATTACCGCTCCCTCTATCTAATTCTAAATATAATTCAGCCTGGTCACACAGTAACTTCAGGAAGTAAAAGAACTTTCTTTAATCACTAAAAAATCTATAAAGAAGTTCTAGGCACATTCCAAAACTGGGTTCCTAAAGAGTCCCAAAGGTCTGATAACATTTTCCTTAGGAACACCTAGCTGGCTCAGTCAGAAAACCATGCAACTCTTGATCTCAGGGTCATAAATTTGAGACCCATGTTGGGTATAGAGATTATTTAAAAATAAAAATTAAAAAAAAAATCTTAAAAATTTTTTTCTCTAAAAGGACAGATGAAAATTCAAGAATCAAAAGCTATAAAATGATATTCAATTAGTCAACAATTATTTCTTTATAAAGTAATCTACCACATCTACCACTCTATTGGATGTAAGTACAGGAAGAGGGAGATTTTTGGTTTTCTTTTTGTCACTACTGTTTTACAGTTAATGATACTGTTTTATCATGCCAAAAATATGGACTACTTCACAAATTTGTGCGTAATCCTTGCACAAGGGGCATGCTAATCCTGTATCATTCTAATTTTAGTCTATGTGCTGCCCAAGCAAGCACAGAACAGGGGAGGTTTTTTTTTTAAGTTCAATGTATAACCCTATCCCCAAAGGGTCATACAGAAACTGGGAAGATAAGATATGAAACATTTGCAGAACAACCACATTCTAAACTTCGAGTAAGAATACCAACTATAGAAGAAGTTCAAAGAAGAGATTTTTATTTCTAATTCATGGTGTCTCTGAACAGATACGTATCTCATATTAAAACCATTTTCAGGGGATCCCTGGGTGGCGCAGCGGTTTGGCGCCTGCCTTTGGCCCAGGGCGCGATCCTGGAGATCCAGGATCGAATCCCACGTCGGGCTCCCGGTGCATGGAGCCTGCTTCTCCCTCCCTGCCTGTGTTTCTGCCTCTCTCTCTCTCTCTCACTGTGTGCCTATCATAAATAAATAAAATAAAAAATTTAAAAAAAATAATAATAAAAAAAATAAAACCATTTTCATATAGGTTTTGGGGGGAAATAAGTATTTTGGTAACCAAAAACATTATACAATCAGACTTATAAAGCAGTAATTTATATCCATTCAGTCACCATTTATAAGTGACATATACTAACAGAAAAAATACAAAATGCTTTGTGTCAAATCACCTTATTCCTAACTTTCTTATAAGATTCAAAATAAGGAAGTACTAGAAGCTGAAATGATTGGCCATATTTTAATAATTAATATTGATTTAGAAATGCTGACCTCCAAGCAAACATGGAAATAATAGTATCCCACAGAGAAGATAACAATGTAATTCCAGAAAAGGGATCTCCACAACATTAGACTTCAATGAATTTTCCACCCTGAGTGTAAAAGAGTACAGATTCTACTAACCTGTTCTTTTTCAAATATACTTTTCCAATTCCACAGTAGGCCAAACAATCAAGTCCCTCATTGGGGTAGTGTTCAATCATCCTCTTAAACTGGTTTTCAGCTTCAGATAATTCCTTCAGTAGCAATAAAAATAATGATCACTTAAACTACAAAAGAAACACTAGAACAGATTTAATCTGAAGGTTGGTTTTTTTGTGTAATATAACAAACAACTGTATATCCAAATATTTCTATGGCAAAATTAAACCTTCTGCATTTTATTTTCTTAGCAAATATGCAAATTTTGACGACAGGATATACAGAGACACAACCAAAGTGATCTGGCTTGAGAATGAAAAGTTGGCATGGAACACATAAGACAACAAACCACACGAACATTTACTAATACACAGAGAGGGCCTGGTATGTGCTCATTAACACTAAAAGGTGTGAATTCATAGGAGAAGACTGACTAGATGTAAACACACCATGACATGTAACCTTACTACTGCTTTAACGAAAGCTTTTCATAGCTTAGAGTACATTCTTTTGAATATTCTCGACAGTGGAAACTGCTGCACACTTTGAATGAATGGTTTTGGAAAAAAATCCACAAAGACACTTAGCTCAAGGCAATCCTGGAAACCCCACTGTGGGTGAAAAAAGATGTATCACTACAAAATGGGAGTTTCTAAGAAGCTTTGAGGCCAGTTCCAAAGGAAGCATTCCAAAAATGTTTTAAGCAAGAGCTGTAGTGGAGCAAATACATTGCTTACTTCTGGGGCTACTCTGAATGATGACATTCTTTTAAATGTCCAAGTTCTATCATACCTGTTTTTTCTTTTTTTAATCAGTCTCAGTAATTCAAAGTAAATTAAAAATTTAGTGAACTATTTCTTCTATTTTTTAAGATTTTATTTATTTATCAATGAGAGACACACAGAGAGAGAGGCAGAGACACAGGCAGAGGGAGAAGCAGGCTTCACACAGGAAGCCCGATGTGGGACCCGATCCCAGGACTCCAGGATTGCACCCTGGGCCAAAGGCTGGCGCTCAACTGCTGAGTCACCCAGGCATCTCTATTTCTTCTATTTTGATAAAGCAAAGTATGATAAGATATTTATTATCACTCCGCCAAGAATAGAAGAATTGAGATCATGAAGTTCTGTTTCCAACAAATGGAAGACATTCATCTGTCACAGCAAGAACGAGGAAAGAAGCATATAACAAGGAAAATGAACCTCAGACACTGTGGACCACACTGAGAGTAGAACCTAACAGATGACTGGATCCTTATTAGGTGACAGTTATGGTTACATCTTCATTTCCTCAAGGACACTTGAACCCTAGTTGACAGAAAGGATATATTATACCTGAGGTAATTCTAGAGCAATTTTAACTTTTATTAAAAACTAAAAGAAAACCATAGAAAGCAAAGTACAGCTGACTCTTGAACAATGGAGGGTCATGCAACTAAAAATACAGGTATAACTTTTGATTCTCCAAAAACTTTACTACTAATAACCTACTTGACTGGAAGCCTTATCAATAACAGAGTGGATTAACACATATTTTATATATGTGTTATATACTGTATCCTTATAGTAAAGCAAGAGAAAAGAAAATCATAAAGAGAAAATACATTCACAGTACTGTATTATGTTTAAAAAAAAAATCCATGTAGAAGTAAGTGGACCCATGCAATTCAAACTCGTATTGTTCAAGGGTCAACTGTACAATACTGTACAGTGCAGATAAGCTCACTTTCCAGGAGAGCCCGAAGAATCATGAGTAATGGAAACCATGTGTGCTCACACCTATATACACTGATTGTGGTTGTGGGAAGCCTACACTCCAGAAGATAATAAAATACCAAAATACTTAGCACCCAGAACTAACAGATCTTAACACAAAGTTGAAGTCTCCTTTCTTATCTCCCCAGGCCCATTCCTTCCATCACTAAATGCAACCGTTATCTTAAACTTGATGTTGGGCTAGCCTATGTTTTTTGTCACCTTTACAAGAGGCAGAGATAAGGGACGCCTGGGTAACTCAGTGGTTGAGCATCTGCCTCCGGCTCAGGTTGTGATCCTGAGGTCTCAGGATCAAGTGTCGCATTGGGCTCCCATAGGGACCCTGTTTCTCCCTCTGCCTATGTCTCTACCTCTCTCTGTGTGTCTCATGAATAAATAAATCTTAAAAAAAAAAAAGAGGCAGAGATAGTTATAAACAATGTATGCTATTGTTCCATATGTTTTCCAAATTGTACATAGTGTTATCACGTGTATTATGTTCTGCAACTTGTCTTTTTCACTCAACCTATTTTCTTAAATCTATGATGCTACAATAGGCCTTTTACTTTTTATACAAGTAAAAAGATTCCTACTGGTCATCTGACACACCTTTTTTCTAATAGAATCACAAACTACATTTTCTTTTCAATAAAAACACCACAAATTAAACAGGTACTTCAGAAGAAATTATCAAGAAAATACACAAAAAGAATTAAGCCAAAGTGGCAAAATTTTTTTACATATCTTCTAAAATTAATGGCACATTTTAACTATTTATTATCTCTCTTACAAATCTTACCTCAGGCTGTCCTATTCCAAGGAGAGAAATAGCAAGTCCGTAGACTACTAAGACATAGTTAATCATGGCCAGGTTCAATTGCTGTCAATAAAAATGGTCCAGTTAAAAATGTGAACATAATTTTGCCCAATTTACATCATACCAACTTGTTAGCCACAACAGGAGAAAAAAAAAATGTAACGATATCTCTCTAATCACTATGACTGAAACAAAGGCCAAACAGAATTAGAAAATATATTTTGCAAAGCTACAGTTATAATGAAATCATGGATTTAAAACACAGAAACATTGTCTCAGTTCCTTGAAGGTGTCGTTGGTTCACAGCAGATCAGAATAACTGAGTCATATTCTTTTCATTGTAAGTAGGTACTAGTGATGGATTAAGACATTTGCTCTCTTACAATCTAGCATAAATTATATATCTATCTAATTCTTTCTGGATGAAAAAATGGAACTAACGCAAGTCCAAAACCTTGGTTCAGGACTTTTGTAGGAGAAGCTAAGTATTCTAATGAACACCAAGTAGAGAAGGAGAGTCTAAACCTGGGTAATATACTAAGTGAAACCATAAAGGCTGAATCAGACAGAGAGAGCAGTACAGCTTCTCACAACCTGGAGCAGATACAGCCAATCTGAGGTTGGACTAAGGTATGTTCATACAATGAAGTTAAAGCCTTGGTTCTCTTCTACATTCACCTGAAATGTATATGCACTGATAAACAAACTGCAAGGCAATTTTACCTTTATTTTTTGAGGATCTAAACCATTGAGCAATTCTGTGAAGGCCTGTGCAGCACTGCGGCAACGCTGCTCCAACAAAGCCGTGTAACCATCCTGGATTAAGCTTCTCAGCATTTTCATTATATTAGCAAAATCCTGCAAAAAAAAAAAAAAAAATTGTATTAAGTAATCCAGAGCTGTATGTGTTTAGCCTAAAACTTAAGATGCCAAGGTTCATCATAGGACAGTTATATTTTATAACTGATCATAAAATATGTCAATAAATATCCAAAGCTGCCTTTTTGCATTATACTCCTTTCTCTACATGGCACCTTTTTTTTAACTTTATTTATCCATGAGAGACAGAGAGAGAGAGAGGCAGAGACACAGGCAGAGGGAGAAGCAGGCTCCATGCAGGGAGCCCGACGTGGGACTCGATCCTGGGTCTCTAGGATCACACCCCGGGCCGAATGCGACGCCAAACCGCTGAGCCACCCGGGCTGCCCATACATGGCACCTTTATAGTGAAAATCGAAAGGTACAGCTTCACCATCTTATTTCTAACACTCCTGCTGCTACTCATAACAAGAAAGGGTAGTTCATTTTACACTACATGGTTCTAAGCCTTGCTCACTTTTCACTGAACAGACAGCATTTAGAAGTTTTAACAGCACAGAAAACACCAGCCACCATTGAAATAACTATCTGGCTGACTAGATTTAGACAAGTAAGAACAAGCAATCAATTTACTGATCACTATCAGATTTTAACATCTGCCCTCATGCTCTGGAACAAACCTCAATTCTCAGCAAGAAATGCATATTTTAATCTTTGGCTCTACTTCTACACAACATGTACCTGAACACAATAAAAGTATCAGGAGAGATACTATCAGGTTAAATGCAAAGGGAAAAGCATAAAAAATAAAAAACAAAATCAGGGACACTTGGGTGGCTCAGGGGTTGAGTGTCTGCTTTTGGCTCAGGTCACAATCCTGGGGTCCTAGGATCAAGTCCTGCATCAGGCTCCCCCAGAGGGAGCCTGCTTCTCTTTCTGCCTAGGTCTCTGCCTCTTTCTCTGTGTGTCTCTTGTGAATAAACAAATACAATCTTAAAAAAATCTCCAACTGTCAGAAATTCTAAAGATGCTTTTATGCAATGGATTAGAAATATGTTTTCAGGGCAGCCTGGGTGGCTCAGCAGTTTACGGCCACCTTCAGCCCAGGGCCTGATCCTGGAGACCCAGGATCGAGTCCCACGTCAGGCTCCCTGCATGGACCCTGCTTCTCCCTCTGCCTGTGTCTCTGCCTCTCTCTCTCTGTGTCTGTCATGAATAAATACATAAAATCTTAAAAAAAAAAAAAAAGAAATGTTTTCATAAACTGCTTGAAACATGCTTCATTCCTACAGTCCTCTGTAAGATTGTCATATGTACCTAAATAGACGAAATTTAAAATGACCTCCATATTAAAATAAGTATTGTAGTCTAGGTTAATATACATTTTTTTGGAGTTAAATTTAAATCCAATATTCTACTTTAGAAAAAAGAAAATTGTATTTACATAAAGGATGAATTTTTTCAAAGCAGACTATGAATCATGTTTACCCAAAAAAAGACAATCTTTCACTTAGTACTACATAGTCTACAAATGTTCAGTGACTAAAACAGAGATCAGTCATGGTTCTGTAGATTCTGGATTTCATCAAGGTTTCTATTTCTTCTTGAATCAGTTTTTAGAAGTTGGGTTTTTCTAGGAATTCATCCATTTCATTTTTTTACATTTTGAAATTTCTTGGTATGATATCATTCATAATAGTATTTTGATGTATTTGTAATATTCAAGAATCTTCAGAAATGCATCCTTGTTCACTCTTGAAATTGTTTTATGTCTTCTTTCTTAATCAGTTACAACACCAGCATATAAATTTTATTTATAATGGCAAAGAATCAACTGTTAGCTCTGTGGATTCTTTCTTTTATGTTTGTTTCTAGTTCATCATTTTCTACTTTGATCTTTATTATTTCCTTCCTTCTACTTTCTTTGGGTTTATTTGCTATTTTTCTTTTTTTCTAGTTCCTAGGATAAATACTTCATTAATTTAAAAGGTTTTGTTCTTTTACTACACATATTTAGCTTGATAAACTTCCTTCAAAGTAATCTTTTAGCTGTATCCATTGCATTTTTTAGAAGACTTTTTCTCTTAGTTTTAGGTTTACAACAAAATTGAAAAGGAGGTACAGAAATATCCAAATACCCATTGCCTCCTTCCATGCAAACCCCACTATATCACTCATCAGAACAGTATATGTAACTTTTTATTGAAGTATCATTAACATACAATGTTATATTAATTCCAGGTATACAACTTAGTGATTAGACACTGCTGAACACTATACAGTGCTCACCACAGTAAGTGTAGTTACCATCTGTCACCATCCAGAGTTATTGCAGTGTTAATGACTATATTCTCTATGCTGTACTTTTCACCCCATGGTTATTTATTTCATAACTGGAAGTCTTCTCAATCACTGTCACATATTTCACCCATTCTCTCATCCTCTGCCATCTGGCAAACACCAGTGTGTTCTCTATATTTGAGACCTTGTGTGTGTGTTCATTTTTGTTTTGTTTTTCAAATTTCACATATTAGTAAAATCAGATGGTATTTGTCTTTCTCTAAGTTATTTCACCTAGTCAAATACTCCCTAGGTCCATCCATGTTGTCAAGAATGGCAATATTTTATTCTTTTTATGGCTAAGTAATACTCCAGTGTGTATGTGTGTGTGTGTACACATTTTCTTTAACCCAGAATAGTATATTTCTTACCAAAGATCAACTACATGTACACATCCCAATCACTCAAAGTCTATAGTATACCACAGGATACATTCTTGGTGTTGTACTTCTACAGCTTTGGATAAATGTTCAAGGACATATACCTGCTATTATAATATTATACAGAGAATTTTCGCTGCCCTAAAAATCCTCTGTGCTTTGCCTAGTAATCTTTTTCCCCTTAATGTATACTTTTTAATTACTTCCTAAATACTACAGAATTTTATATACAAAGTTATTTGATTACTCTTAAATCTTTCAAAGAATAAAGTTTGCTCTGTAACAGTTTTAAGGTAGGTATAATAAAACTGCGAGTGCTCAAACTTTTAAAAATAATTTAAATCTTCTTAAAATGCTTTTCTATTTTCATTAGTATTTATTTTTAATAAACCTATACATCCAACATGGGGCGTGAACTCACAACTTGGGAGATCTAGAGTCACAGGCTCTACCAAGTGAGTCAGCCAGGCACGCCTTAAAGTATATTATCTTAAAAGTTAAAACTCTGGAAAGCAAAGAATCTCAAATTTTTAAATCTCTCGGAAGCAAACAATTCTGCAGTGTCAACCATTAGTTAAATTTCTGGTTAAAGTGATTATCAAGTTAAAATCTAAATTAGTGGGCAGCCCAGGTGGCTCAGCGGTTTAGCGCCTGCCTTCAGCCCAGGGCCTGATCCTAGAGACCCAGGATGGAGTCCCACCTTGCGCTCCCTACATGGAGCCAGCTTCTCCCTCTGCCTGTGTCACTGCCTCTCTCTCTCTCTCTGTCTCTCATGAATAAATAAAATCTTAAAAAAAAATTTAAATTAGTGATAGTTTGGTTTCTTAGCAGTCATATATAAGATATGTCCATAAGTTAAACTACAAAAAATACATCTTAGAGATGTACATGATTAGCATTCATATGAAAAATGTTTTGTTCAAAGGCTGCTTTTTTCATTAGGAATAAAGCCTTTTCAGGTCATGGTCTCTGGGTCCTGGGATTGAGCCCCACATGGGCTCTCTGCTCAGCGGGGATTCGGCTTCTCTTTCTTTTTTTTTTTTTTTAAGATTTTATTTATTTATTCATGACAGAGACAGAGAAAGAGAGAGAGAAAGGCAGAGACACAGGCAGAGGGAGAAGTAGGCTCCATGCAGGGAGCCTGACATGGGACTCGATTCTGGGGTTCCAGGATCACACCCTGGGCTGAAGGCAGGCGCTAAACAGCTGAGCCACCAGGGCTGCCCTGCTTCTCTCTCTCTCTATCCCTCCCCATCACTCGTTCTCTCTCTCTCTCAAATAAAATCTTTGGAGAAAATTAAAAAAGAAAGAAAGAAAGAAAAAGAAATAAGCCTTTTCCTTTACCTGATGTGCAGCTCTGGAAGATTTAGAGAATTGTTTTTCCAAGATGTTCTTCAAATCTACTGGTAAACTCCCTTGTGAACTAGAACTAATAGAGAAAAATGTTTTGAGTTATCTTAAAATAAAATAGTTTTGCTTATATAAAGAGAATATATTTACAGAAGGCCATTTTTTAAAAACTGTAGTTGACATACAATGTTACATTAGTTTCAAGCATACAATGCAGCAATACTATACATTACACAAAGTTCACTATAATAAGTGTAGTCACCATGACATGTCACCAAACATTTTTACAATATTTTTTACTACATTCCCTGTGCTGCAGGTAAAGGTCATTTTAAACACTGAATAAATGGAGTCACAAGTTCCTCCTTTGAAATATTACCAAAAAGTCAATTCTCCTCAAATTAATCTCTTAATACAATGAAATCGCAATAAAATCTCTATAAAATTAGAGATGGAGGGAGACCAGAAAAATTATGAAGATAATATACAATAACTTAAAGAAAAATAGGAAATTGGGAGGATTTACACTGATCATCAAAAGTTATTCCACATATGGTCATCAATAACACAGCCTTGAAACAAGAAATGTGCTCATTAAACACTGCAAAGATGCTCCATCTCTTAATGAAAATCTAATAATAAGATAGAACTGTTTCTTAAAGTCTGACTCCCAGTGCTGGTGAGGATAATAAGCAAGATTCAGGAATTCTATGTGGTGTTTGCTGACACCAAATAGTTGCCATTTTCCACATCAATTCTCAATTTGAAAACAAAATCAAAACATCAGAAAAATAAATTTATCTTTAGCAGAACAGAATTAGAATTATATAATTCTATAGTTAGAATTATAACTATGCATGACCCTGTATGTTTTTGGTCTCCTTTGAGGGTTAAGTAGGGAGAAGGGGAAGACTTAGGATTTTCCTTCTGAATAATAGAACAATATAGTACCTATGCCCCTGCTTTAAATTTAATTTTCCTAGCAGCATCATTTTTTTAAAAAAATGAGGCTTAACTATTTCGCTTAGTGCTTTGCTATTCAAACCCTTCTTGAAGCACCTACCAAGGAATCAGCCTTACACGAAGAAGAGAAAGCTGACAGCTGGTGTAACTATGGCAGAAATGATTTTGCAGGGCCTCCAGAGTCACTTTTCTTGACCTCATGATTTTCTGTATCCATTTTAAGATTTATAATCTCACTTGCAATCAATATATGTCTTTGTAGGCAATGGGGGGGCATTAATTATAAAGATAGGTGGCAAGTGTTCCTACTGTTAATTTGCAGGGGGAAAGGGATATTTGATAGAACTTTTAAGTGGTTGTTTCATTAGTGAACACGTTCCTTTAAGGAGAACTACTTTTTTAAAAGGGCCCCTAAAAACACACATACCCATGCCTGTATGTGCAGAGTAAGCACCAGATGGCCAAGAACTTATTAATGGAGAATTCCTAAAGGAAGCCACTAGAGAAGCAACTGTGCGAGAGGTGAAGTAAGTAAATAGGGAGAAGACATAATTCTCACTTTATACTTCTCTGAATATTTTTTTCTTCTCATGAGCATGTATTTTGTGATTTTTAAGAATTAACACTGATAGATCTCATATTCTATGCCTTTCAGATATTGGCTAACATTCAGATTTAATAATCCTTTGGCTAAAACCGACACACTCCACAAGATACACCCTTGATATTTGAAAGGGATTTTAGTACTCATTATAGCTACTACATAAAAGATCCTTTGTTTTTCCCCTTTCACTTTTTTCTTAAGAGGAGGCTATGAGGGGGAGGGGCACAAATAAAAAACATACCTGAACTTCTCCAATTCATTGTTTCGAGATTTTTGTTTTCCTTTGTATTTTGGAGTCTGACCTGTGAATACAAAGTATTTGTTCCTGAAACCTGTTCATAAAAATCAACAAGCCTGAAAGCAAATTAATTGAAAATATGTAAATTGGAATAAACAGCAAAGGAAGCAACATTTTATGTAACTACAAACAGGTAAAAAAAAAAAACCAGCTACGATGACGCAGGTCTATGTATACTATAAAATTGTGAACGTAAATCACAATATTATTTAGATAGGTCATAGTTCCTATTCTCAGGTAGTCTATAATCAGATGGGAAAAAAAGACAGTCACCAGTAATTACACAACAACCACCTTTAGGAAGAAGAGAAGATAGCATGCTATTACTAACATATTAATTCCATATTAACTGCTCTTATAAACTCACTGAGGTGGAAATCATTAAATTTGAGTGGCCAGGAAAAGTATTAGTGGGGATGCAGCATTTGTATTTAGCTTTAAGAAAAAAGTAGAACTTGGGGCACCTGGTGGCTCAGTTGGCTAAGTATCTGATTTTGGCTCAGGTCATGACCTCAGAGTCCTGGGACAGAGCCTGCAGCAGCTCTATGCTCAGCAGGGAGTCAGCTTGTGTCTCCCCCTCCCCCACTCCTCGGCCCCCTGCTTGTGCTTGCTCTCTAATAAATAAATAAATACAATCTTAAAAAATGAAACAAACAAGTAGGATTTGGACAGGATGGGACAAACCCAAGAATGACATTCACTTTAAGAAACTCTAAGTAATAAACCTGTGTGATCTGGTGAGCTGGGTAAGAAGAGAAGGTTGGAAAGGGGCGGCAAAGGCCAGCTGAGGGGAGTGCTCGGAGGTCCTTTGCTCCTGATACTCCAGCTTTATGAGCCCAGCATTGGTCCCATGGGCAAGAGTTGGGGGAAACATGCATAAAGTTGAGTAGAAGGGAGCACAGCAATAGGGACAGGGTGTTTTTGATGGAAACTTTGGGGAGAGACAGCAGAGGCAAGTCAGAACCAATGTATTAAGAAGAGAATCAGAGCCAAGCTGGTGGATGGCCTTAGAAAACAAAAGTGGCTTCTGGAAAGGCAAAAGAGTTTTAATTTGATTCCTGCAGTTTGATTTTGGGCAAAACTGTAACTTTAACCCTGGGACCTCAATTTCTTTAACTGAACACAGATGCTGAAATGTGGATGGTATTTATTTACTTAAATGTGCTATCCAATACTAACAGCCTAAGAAACATCAATAAATTATTTTTTTTTAATTTTTTTTATTTATGATAATCACACAGGGAGAGAGAGAGAGGCAGAGACATAGGCAGAGGGAGAAGCAGGCTCCATGCACCGGGAGCCTGACATGGGATTCGATCCCGGGTCTCCAGGATCGCGCCCTGGGCCAAAGGCAGGCGCCAAACCGCTGCGCCACCCAGGGTTCCCAATAAATTATTTTTTTTAAGATTTTATTTATTCATGAGAGACACAGAGAGAGACAGAGACACAGGCAGAGAGAGCAAGCTCCCTGCAGGGAGCCCAATATGGCATTTGATCCCAGACCCTGGGGATCATGACCTGAGCCAAAGGCAGACGCTCAACCACTGAGCCACTCATGTGCCCTGAAATATTAATAAATTAAAAGGCGTTTTCCAAAAGAAAAGTTTTATCTTCAAAGATATTTTCACGTGCTATTAGACTTACATCAGGTAAGAGAATCACCTGAGTCTCCCTCTTTACAGTTTTCCAATGTGCTAGCCAAATGGGAATGGCTAGGGGTAAATAGCTGGAAATGTGGCCCTGGAGCCTAAGAAAAGACAGAACTGAGGGAAGCAAAAGACAGAAATGGTTGCCAGAAACAGAAACACTGAAAAGAAAACAGAAGAGCCAACAAACAAGAAAAAGGAAAAGAGAGCGAGATGATCACTAACCAGGTCAGCAATCTCACCAAAATAAACCTGGGATGAGCACATGGAAGCCTTAGACAAAATACTTGTATCTAACAGCAACCTTGAGTCATCAAGAAAATCCATATTTTTCTTAAACTCTGTTTTAAAAGCCAGGGAAGCATATAATCCAGTTTAGGATGATTTTCAACAAAAACTGGCCCTGTAAAGGGAGACTGAGAAATAAATGGAGCATGAATTTTTGCTTCTCTGGACCCTTAATTTCCCAATGATGCCAAGCAAACAAAGTCCCACTGTGTGTCTCTGTATTTACTAGATGCAGAAATAAACAGATGCACTAAGCACATACAAGTTAAACTGGTATCAGCCTAAAGCATTTTCAACATCACCCCCAACAGGGTGAAAGTTAGTTCTTAACAGATGAAAAAAAAAATCTAACTTTTTAAATATATAAAGCACAAATGTACATACAGGACATAAATGGATAAACAGTATTTGTGGTAGGAGGGCAAACAGGAAAAAAATATGTCTAAAAAGCCACCTGGGACATGGACAGGGGCAACTAATGAAATTAAAGCTGAAAAATACTGGCCTTGGGCACCTGGGTGACTCACTTGATTGAGCTTCTGCTTCAGCTCAGGTCATGATCCCTGGGACCTGGGATCAAGCCCCGAGTCAGGCTCCCTGCTCAACAAGGAGTCTGCTTCTCCCTCTCCTCTCCCTCTGCCGATCCCCCTACTTGAGGTCTCTCTCTCTCTCTCTCTCTCTAGTGTTTCCTCTCTTTCTCGCTCTTTCTCTGCTTGAGCTCTCTCTTAGATAAATAAAATCTTTAAAAATTAAAAAAAAAAAAACTGGCCTCATGGAAATTAGGTAGCAGATCAAAGAGTTTCATCCTCCCTTTCTACTAGATTTATTTGAATTTCTGAAATTAAATGTATTAAATCATATGAAAAGACCGAGCACTGATTTCAAATAAGTATTCAATGTTTTCTTAACATAGAAGCATTATAAAGTAAAAGAAGAGCAACAGCAAATGTACGTGAGGTTCGTGCAAACATCGGGGCTGGAGTTTTAAAAACGCTACCTTAATTCAGCAACAACTTACTAAGGAAAAAACTTACCTGATGGTGGTAGAAATTCAGGATGACAGTCACAATCATCTACCTTCAAAGCTTCATCTACCACCTATCCATGAAAACAAAATTCATGAGATTTTCAAAAAATAAAGCCATAAAGCACTCAATTGCTAAATAATAAAACAGAATGGAACAGAATTTACCCAATGGCCTAAAATCAACAGATAATTAGGCCTAAGTGAGGAAACAAACAAAATGATATCTAGTGATAATATGACAAATTCTCTAATGATAATTCTACTTCCAACACCTGGCATGATGCCTGACAGATTATTTAATAAGTGTACTGAATAAATACTATTGCATCCTTCCCTGTATGCTCCTCTCTCTAACTGAATACAGCCTCCGAGATTTTCATTATTAACAATAAAAGGACTACACAGTGAGTTGGAAAAGCTCCTTTAAATGCCTACCAGCCACATACTCCAAAATATCATTTCCTTTTTTCCTAGAAAACCCTGGAGAGAAATCTTAACGTGGACTTGGTGATATCTGCTGAGCTTTTAGTATACAACTGTCAGAGGAAAACTCCAATTCAGGATATCTAGGATATCAATTAGAATCAGGATAGAAGGCCTAGAGGTGCCTCAAAAACCAAGAGGCTTGGGTGCTGGTAAGCACAGTAGGGAGTCAAGGCTGGAGACCACTGCTGGGAAGAGCAACAGGAGGCTACACAAATGCCACACAAATGTCTCAGGCAGAGATGGGGAAGGCATGCCCCCAGGCCCAATATAACACAAGTCCTGTGGGAGAGCTCATGTGGTGCCAGGCAGCCGAGTAGACTGCAAAAAAAAAAAGGGAGGAAAAGAAAAATCGGAAGCACTGTAAGAAGTGAGGTGACATGGCCACCAGATCTCACTGTCACTCATTCCCAAGGGACTGTTTGAGAGACATGTAAAGCAGGAAAGGCATACAAAGAGAACTACCCAAGTGGTAAAATGATATTTAGAAGAACACATTTTGAAAACACACCAATGTGATTTCAAAAAAAACTCTGTGACACTGAAATATTTTCCTCATGTAGACAAAGGACATAGTGGAATATTTATTTAAAAGAATCATTCTCGGGACACCTGGGTGGCTCAGTGGTTGAGTATCTCCCTTCAGCCCAGACGTGATCCTGGAGTTGCAGGATCGAGTCCCACATCGGGCTCCCTGCACAGAGCCTGCTTCTCCCTCTGCCTGAGTCTCTGCCTGTCTCTCATGAATAAATAAAATCTTTAAGAGGAAAAAAAAAGGAATCATTCTCTTTGCTTTCATTGGAAAAAGGAATTCATATCATCAAAATATTTAATTTCCATTATTACTGGAATACTATTGTAAAAACATGAGACTATCTATAGTTGAAGAAATCATTTTAATTTTCGTTTTTTACTGAACCTACCTTTAGATTCTGATTACCACCGTTTGCCATTTCGCGGTTAGTTTTTCTGGAATCTTTTTCAGTTTCCACAAAGTTAAGTGAAGTACTAAATGCAGGTGCTGATAAACTAGGTATGTAGGCCCTGAATAGGAAATAAAAGAAATAATTTATTTCTGTTCATTAGCATGCATTTTTAAAAGTTATCCTTCAAATAAACAAGTTCCAGCAAATATTGCCTTTTTTCCTTGGAAGAAGGGTAATACTTAAAAAGAATCTACCTCTGACATTGGGTTTCATATACAAATATTACTTTAAATTTCATAGTAAAAACTCAAAATAGATTAACAACAGTTCAATAATATATTCTGGTTTCTAATATTAAAATAAGTCTTCTGGTTTTAAATTTAACAGCTTCAGTATCTTAGGCATCTAACATATGTTGAGGAAAAAAACATCTATTTTAATTGCCAAGTAATAAATATAGAACCCTGGCTGCTATTTGTTTTCTTGTGAGCATACTTGAATCTGTCTGTTGTCTATTTCTAACAGAAAGCGTCCTAGTCTTAGAAAAGAACCAAGAGGCTGGATGTACATGTTTTCAGGACAGGAGCTTAAAGGTACAGACTGTGTTCTGTTCTCTGCTGCCATGACCCTCACTGAAAAAAGTACTCCTATCCAAGCACAATGACATCCAATTAACACTTCACCCATATTTTCCCAGAGGTTTAGGCTACTGATCTCCCATAAATACACATGCAAATGGCTCAATAAAACAGTCCACAAAATATATCTGACATTCACAGGTCACCTGATCTTAGACACAAACCCTTCTTCCTTCTCTCCCCAACTTTACTGTGGTTGCTATGAGCCACAAAGCATCAGACACAGTAATTCTGAAATTTATAGGGCAGAGCCATCCCAAGTAACAGCTACTGATCTGATTGGTATTGACTCACCTGCTTTCATAAAAGGCTTTAATTGGATTTCTAGTTGGTGTTCGACCTATAAAAACCAATCACACACATACATAGTAATCAGTGGATTGGCAATACATACTTTGAAGAGATTTTCAAATATCCTTTAAGTTGACAGTAAGAACATCAAATTTACAGAACTGAAAAATAAACCTAAATAATTCTTATTTCCAGATGTTTTTAGTTTTCAGGATAGCTTCAGCAAAATGTTACACAGCCTTATTTGACATCCCATTACATTGATCATTGACTACATGCAGCAGTATATAAATCCAAATCAGAGATGGTACCTGTCTTCAAGGAGCTCACAATCTTATAATCATGTTATGTTGGATGATAACAGCTCAGCTTCCTAAGACACTAAATACCCAAAGCAGAAAACATAGGAAAAGACCTATAAACTCAAAGTATAGAGTAAGGGAATTTCAGGCATTGGAGAAAGCAAATCACTTAAGAAAGAAAACAAGTGAATGAAAATCTAGAATTCCTAGCCCGAACAGCTGATTTCTGATATATGTGTCTGTACCCACATACAGATGTATATAAGCGTATGTGTTCAGCATGCTACAGAATGAACCACACACTTGGTGCAAAAACATCAAACGACTCTACTGAAGGGTCTTTAAGAAATTACTAAAATGGAGGAAAAAATTTTAAACAATTTTGTTTCAAAAGGCTTCATTTTCTTCAAAATCTCAAGGCATATTTTTCTATAGAAAAATAATCATTTATGTTTCAAATAAAAATACAAATAACTTATAATTACCTAGTGGAATATAACACTAATGTACGTACTTCCACACAAACAGAAATGGAAAACTTCAGTGACTTGACCAAGATAATGTAACAAAATAAGCACAAATCACCTGAGAGTTGACTTATGATCCTCCATTAATCCAAGAAACCCACCTTCAAGAGTTTTAAAGGGAATTCAACTGTAACCAAAGAATCTTAGGTGAAATACCTTGCAGGTCTTCTATTTGTTTTTGTAACTTTACATGCTGCTGAATTAGATCCTTGATTCCCTCAGGGTCATTTTTACAGAGTTTTTGAGCTTTTATGTTTGCTTGCAGGGCCCAGTCATATTCCCCCAGCATAGAAAGAGCAGCACAATAACGATAATGACCCTGTTCCAAAAGATAAATTTAATTTTTTCTCAAAAATATGCTTAAGTTAAAGAAAATAGATAAGGAAAAATATTTTGCTTGAAAACTGATTACTCAAAATGTTAGATTAGGATCCTACCAAAAAAATTTTTAAATGTTAATACCTCTCAGGAAATAAAATTACCTAAATGAACTAAAAGTGAAATTATCAAAGTATTTATAATAATTTTAACTAGAAATCAGTATTTTTGCTTATGAGATTTTTGTACCCCAAAGAAAATAATTCAACCTTTATTACAGTTTACTAGTAAAGAACAAAATATATTACTTTGTGCCAAATAAAGTACAAAAAACACTCATTATAACTATTTTTTTCAAAAATATTTTAAGGTAGTAATAGTCTCTAAGTCATCACATTCCCTACATTTTCGAAATTAAATTTTAGAGCTGGAAGGAACAATCAGCTTTTAAGTGGTTTTTCGCCCCCTCTGAAGAGCATGGTCACAAATAAGGGGTGCATCTAGGTTAGATCTTCCATTCAGCTTGTTCTTAATCAACTTTTAATTATTTCATCTCTTAGTGTTGTGCTTGGTTTTAAGAAAAGATCGGAAAATCACTCATTTGCTCAATTCCAATTATCAGGGCTTTTGGTTTTGTTTTGTTTGCTACAGAACCACACAGTCCTGTCTGGCCTGATTTATGCATTTTGGGAAATCTCTATACCAAGGATGAATATTTTAATTTAGAAAGCTAATATAACCAAACCTGATACTAACTCAACCACCTCCTCTTCTAGCTACTCACAAACTGAACTTCCATTGAAGGCACAGTATCTCCACTTGAGAATTGACGCTAGAAATTGGCCTACTGTCACACTTACTCAGAGGCAAACCAAAGAATACTGACCTTATGACTTTGAGTCCAGAGTTTCTTCCTCTTTACTACAGATTTAACAAAGGACATTCTCACTCTATGAGAAACTACTGAGTCAGAAATAAGTGACCCCTTTAGGAAAAATGAGCTTTTCACTAAAAAAAAGGCCAGAAGCAACCACAGGGACCTTTGTTTATGCAGGTTCCATCCATATATAATCCTGCTCTGTGTACCAACCCAATCTGTAAATTCTGAAGCACTTTTTTAGCCAGACTATTTAGGCTCAGATCAAAGATTCCAATTCAGATTGCATTTGCTTAAACTTCACTTTTCCTCAAAAGGCATATGAAGACAGATTTCTCAGATATACTATAAGACTAACATCCTATCCTCCAGGAATATTCCAACTTCAAAATTTAGGTAACTACATAAAAAAAATAAGTCACAGCATAAGAAATATGATAGATTATAAACCATACCTGCTAAATTTGTAGAAAACATTTTTTCTTTCTTTTCCTCATCCCCACCTCCTAATCTCCCATCTTCCTCATCTTTTGCTGGATTCCCTAAACTCTGTAAAACGTAGTATAGTGTCTACTGGTTGAGAAAGGAGTTTATTCAGATCTCACTGCTAAATTTATCTGAATGAAGCTTAAATTAAAGGCATCTCAGAGTTTCCAGAACTCAAAACAATACAGTTTTGCTGGGATCCCTGGGTGGCGCAGCGGTTTGGCGCCTGTCTTTGGCCCAGGGCGCGATCCTGGAGACCCGGGATCGAATCCCACGTCGGGCTCCCGGTGCATGGAGCCTGCTTCTCCCTCTGCCTATGTCTCTGCCTCTCTCTCTCTCTCATTCTGTGTGACTATCATAAATAAATAAAAATTTAAAAAAAAATACAGTTTTGCTTTTATTTGACACTACCTCATTCTATCACATATATAGAAATTCCCTGTTGTTCATTTGCCTAGCATCCTCTCCTTTTAGGTGTCACCATGTCCCAACACCCCATAGTAATGGCAGGACTGGGACTAGTGCTCCATCTCAAAAATTAAGGGAGAGAAGTACCCAGGAGACTGACCAATCGAAATGCACCATTTTCCAGGTCATAGGATCAGTCTATTCATGGATACATGGATCAGGATCAGTCTGAGGCATCCCTTAGCTGTAATATATAGGTACTAAAAGATTAGGTTCGGGGTTCCCTGGGTGGCTCAGCGGTTTAGCGCCTGCCTTTGGCCCAGGGCGCGATCCTGGAGTCCCGGGATCGAGTCCCACATCGGGCTCCTGAAATGGAGCCTGCTTCTCCCTCCTCCTGTGTCTCTGCCTCTCTCTCTCTCTCTTTCTATCATAAATAAATAAATAAATCTTTAAAAAAATAAAATAAAAGATTAGGTTCCCTTGCCACTAGAATTAACAGTTATTAAGGATATGAGTTTGGGGCTCCTACTACATGGTAAAAGTCTTTTAAAAAATGAAGCCAAGAGAGCCTACACTATGATTACCACTTCTGGTAAAGATGGAATTAACAGGGATTTGGATTTACACTCTTGCCTAAAACAAACAAACAAGGACAAAATATATGAAACAAAGGTTGGCAAGAAACTGAATATCAGGCAACAAAAGAAAGTGACCCCCAAGAGATGAGAAACACATAAAACAAAAGCCCTATGATTGATTGGTCCAGCTTACTGAATGGAATTTCTAAATTTCTAATTTCTAATAGAATTTCTATAGCACAGGGAGAAGGAACCCAGGCATGGACTGCAATTTCAGTTCAGGAGACAGCGACAGGAGTCCAGGAGAGCCAAGGCAGTGCAAGTTCACAGCACAAAGGAAGAGAGAGGAGGCTGCTCCACAGAGAACTCCAGAGATCCTCACATGGTGCCCCCATGTTAAGTCTTGAGATGAGTACTAATCAGTACATACATGTGGGACAACTTCCCAAAACTCAAACCAGGGAAAGAACCACTAGAAAGGTTAATAAGGAAACAACAGTCAGCATTCCCACAGGGCCACGAACAATACTTGTTTCCACCAACCAGAGTGGAAAACATCATAATTCATGGAATAACAGGCAGAGTATTCAGAAGCGTTTTGCTTCAGTTATAGATAAAAAGATAGCCCTTGACCAAATACCACTATGTTCCCAATCTATCAAAGCTTAAAACAGGACTCCAAAGAATTACATTGTTTCCAAGTAACTTTACCGCATCCCAAAATGAAGCTCAAAAATATTTACAGATACACAAAAATATCAGTAAAAACAATGTCTTGCATCCAAAAAAATATCATTAGGTATGCAAAGAAGGAAAATGTGATCTATAAGGAAGAAACAATCGAAAAGAGTCAGAAATGACACAGATGATAGAATTGGTAGACAAGAACATTAGAACAATTATAAACATATTCCATATGTGCAAGAAACTAAAAGAAAGACTTAATGTATCAAGATGTGAAATACATAAGGAATACTCAAACTGAAATTCTAAAGATGGAAGTTTCATCATTTAAGATGAAAAATACATTGGAAGAAAATTGGGGCAGATTAGACATTGCAGAAGGAAAAAAAAAATCAGTGAACTCAATACAGCAATAGAACCCACCTAAAAAGAAACACAGAATTAAAAGGGATAAAGGAGACTGAAAACAAAGCTAACAAAAAACCAAAACTGAGAAATGGGGAAAAAAATGTGTACGGATTTGGATCCAGTCATGCCTACAGGTAATGCCTAGACTTTTCAATTATGTGAACCAACTACTTAGGCCAAATCTGAGTTAGGTTTTGTCACTCACAAACAAGAGTCTTAATATACCCTTCAATATTAAAAGGTTCTTGTGGACATCTGTGAGGCTACTAGTTTGTATGCTATATAACCATATCAGAAGGCAATGCAAAAAGAAATGTCAACAAATGTCTACTGATAATACCAGAAAAATTCCCACTCTTTGGTATACAATGACACACACTCTCTTGAGCCTGAAAGCACGTGTAGGGCAGCTGGCATTGTATCAGTCTTCTCTATCTGGAAAGAAGGAAGAACAATGGCTCACCTTCACAGAAATCTAAAGAGAACCTTCTTATACAGCTTTATATCATAGAGGAGAGACTCAACAGACATAGGCTCATAGTTCATCTAAAGTAGAAGTACAGAATGCACCTTGCACAGTTCACCTTTGCTTTTGAAGCTTAAGCCACCTTTTAATGAGCACTTCTTTCTAGTAAAATAAAATGAAAAAAAAAATGACCTAGATATAGTAACCAAATGTTTTTAATACGTACTAGGATTTGTGTTTTGCATCTACACAAATATTTCTACAATCACAGAACATCCCTATTTAAATAAAGTGAATGAACCCACATAAATATAGTCAACAGATCTTTGACAATGATAACAAAGGCAATACAATGAAGTAAAGACAGCCTTTTCAACAGTGATACTGAAGCATCTACATAAAAAAAAAAAGCATCCAGATCTTACATCCTTCACAAAAATTAACTTAAAAGGACTCATAGAACTAAATGTAAAAATGCAAGAAAAAGGTAATGACTTTAAAAATGCAATACCAAAGGCAAGTACCATGAAAGAAATAACTGATAAGCTGGACTTTTTTTATAAAAGATTTTATTTACTTATTCATAAGAGATACACAGAGAGAGAGAGAGAAGCGGGGGTGGCGGGGGGGGGGGGCAAAGACGCAGGCAGAGGGAGAAGCAGGCTCCATGAAGGGAGCCTGATGCAGGACTCAATCCTGGGACCCCAGGATCACACCCTGGGCTGAAGGCAGGTGCTAAACCACTGAACCACCCAGGGATCCCCATAAGTTGGACTTAAATTAAATTAAAAACTGCTCTCTGAAAGTTGCTGTCAAGAAAATGAAAAGATAAGCCACAATCCAGAGAAAATATTTACCAAAGACTAATCTGTTAAGGTCTATTATGCAAAATACACAAAAACTCTTAAAAATTCAACAATAATGGGGATCCCTGGGTGGCTCAGAGGTTTGGCGCCTGCCTTTGGCCCAGGGACTCGATCAGGTTCCCTGCATGGAGCCTACTTCTCCCTCTGCCTGTGTCTCTGCTTCTCTGTCTCTCTCATGAATAAATGAATACAATCTTTAAAAAAAAAATTCAACAATAAGAAAACAACCCATATAAAAACGAGTCAAAAATCTTAACAGACACCTCATCAAGGAAGGTATATAGTGGCAAATGAGCATATGAAAAGCTACTCTACAACATACGTCATTAGGAAAATGCAAATTAAAGCAAGATACTACCATATACCTATTAGGAAGGCCAAAATTCAGGACACTGACAATACCAAATGCCAAGAAGGATATGGAGTAGCAGGAACTTTCACTTGTGGCTAATGGGAATGCAAAACGGTACAGTCACTTTGGAAAACAGTTTGGCATTTCCTTAAAAAACTAAACATATTCTTGTCATATGATCCAGCAATCATACTCCTTGGTAATTACCCAAAGGAGTTGAAAACATGTCTACATAAAAACCTGCACATAGGTATTTATATCACCTTTGTTCATAATGGCCAAAACTCAAAAGCAACAAACATGTCCTTCAGTAGGTGAATTGATAAATCAACTGGTGGTGCATCCAGACAATGTAGTATTTGTTATTCAGCACTAAAATGAAATCACTATCATGTCATGAAAAGACACAGCAGAGACTGAAATGCATATTATTAAAGGAAAGAGAAGGTTATCTAAGAATGCTACATACTCTATGATATGCAGGAAAAGGTAAAACTAATGGAAACAGAAGATCAATGGTTGCCAGGGGTTTGGACAGGCAAATCAGAGAATTTGGGGGAAAGTGAAAATACTGTTTAAATGATAGGTAAATGTCATGATTCATTTGTCTAAACTCACATCATATATAACACTTAGGGGGACATCTGGGTGGCTCAGCGGTTGAGCATCTGCCTTCGGCTCAGGACATGATCCTGGGATCTGGGATCGAGTCCCACATCGGGCTCCCTGCGGGGAGCCTGCTTCTCCCTCTGTCTGTTATCTGCCCCTCCCTCTGTGTTTCTCATGAATAAATAAATAAATCTTAAAATATATGTATATAAAACACTTAGGAAGTGAATCCTAAGATAAACTATGGACTTTGGGTGATTACAATGTAGGTATAAATTATAAACCTGTGTAGGTTTATCAATTTTCAAATTCTACCACTCAGCTGGGGTATACTGATAATGGGGGAGGCTATGCATGTGTAAGGGGTTTGCTTACCTTCCTTTTAATTTTGCTATGAACCTAAACTTGCTCTAAAAATGGTTTTTTAGAAAGTAAAAATTTGGGGTACCTAGGTGGCTCAGTCAGTTAGGGATCTGCCTTTGGCTTGGGCCATGATTAAGTCCCATCAGGTCCCACGCTCAGCAGAGAGTCTGCTTCTCCCTCTCCCTCTCCCCCTCCCCCCAGCTCATGCGCTCTTGCTGTGTCTCATGCTCTCTCAAATAAATAAAATCTTTAAAAAAAATGAAAATTTTCCGTTTGATAAATTAAACCAGAAATAAATATTCTACATGAAGTCCTCAATGTAATTCAGCATTTTTCTAAATTGACAATAGACTAAAATACCAAATGGTAACTCTAGAAGACTAACTTCAGGGTCTGGGTTTCAGTATTAAGAATTCTATCATCCAGGATGCCCAGGTGGCTCAGTGGTTGAGCATCTGCCTTTGGCTCAGGTCGTGATCCCAGGGTCCCGGAATCGAATCCCACATCAGGCTCCCTGCAGGGAGCCTGCTTCTCCCTCTGCCTATGTCTCTGCCTCTCTGTCTCTCTCATGAATAAATAAAATCTTTAAAAAAAAATTCTATCATCCATAGAATAAGTATTTTAGGAGTACACGCCAAATGTCAGGGTCAGTGATCAACAAAGATTCTGTATCAAGTACAAAGATGACTCATAGTAAAAATAGCAACAAATTATTCACTCTCAAACAGAAGCATATCCAGTGCTGGATAGTCAATCCAGTTTTGTCTTTTATTTGTAAAAGTGCCTTTACCTTTCTGGGCCTAATCTCTTCATCTGTAAAATAAAGCATTTAAAAAGACTCCAAAATTTAGATGCAGGAGTCTACCTGGGGCATTTCACAATCCCTAGGCCCCAATACACATCTTGGCCACATGAATCATTATCTGGGGGACTCTAAAATTCTATGACTAATATTCATTCTAATTTAAAAACAAATAATGTAAAGCCAGGAATGAAGTCTGAAACATGTATCTTTCTGTGTCTTATCTAAAGCTTTACTTTAAAAAAATTTTTTTTGTGTGATTTAGGAATACATACAGTGATTAGTATCATAAACACCCAGAATTAACTGCTAACATTTTGTTATATTTGCTTTCGATTGTTTTTTACTAGAAGACATAAAACCAAACAGATATGGCTGCAATCCTCTTTGTACCCTCTCTATCTTTCCTTCTCTAACTGCTCAGGAGGAAACATTATCATGAGTTAAGTGTTTTTCTGGCCTATATGACGCTTTTATTGTTTTTTTTTTTCATCCAACACCATTTTTTAAATCTGTAAATGTTGATAAGCCAGTTAACTTATTCCATCTGCAATCCAGTATTTGGTTTGTTCGTTCACTAAGTGCTTGCTATGTGCCAAGCAGTTGTCAGGCAGTCCAGATTCAAGAGAGAATCAACCAAACAAAAAAATCTGTCCTCGTGGAGCTCACACTGTACAGGACACACACTAAACATAGCTTAAATAATACAAACAGTAGTTCATAATGTTAATCGCCAAGAGGAAAAAGTAAAGCAGGGAAAGAGGATAGGCAGGGGCAGGCTTGTCATTTTAGTAATGTGGCCAAGAAGCTTCCACCTAAGAGACTTTCAGTAAAACATGAAAGGAAATAAGGGAGCTAGCTCATACTCTGGGGGAAGGCATTCTAATTGTAGGCAGAGGTCAGAACAAGTAAAAACTGGGAGTGGACCTGGTATATTTAAGAAACAGATGAAGAGACCAACAGGTCAACACACAGTGAAGTAGGGAGAGAGTGGTAGGTGTGAGGTTGGAGACATAATGGGTGTTTAAGAAGAGGGACAGATCAGAGCAGACCATCCCTGCCTTATCAATGGATATGTAGGTATCTGTAGTTCTATGCCATTAAAGCAACACTGCAATGACCATTTTGCATATCTTACCATGTGTACACACTGCAAAAATGTTTGTGGGGTACACACACTCAGAATCAAATAATTACAGCATATGCACATCAGAGTGTTCTCCACTTCAGTTGCAACCAATTCTCACCCACTGGTTTATGGAAGGTTCCTGTTGGTACACACATTCACCAATACTTGGGACTACTGGTCTCTTTAATTTTTGCCTCTCTAAAGACCTAAACAATATCATATTGGTTTACTTTTACTTAGTACTTGCAGATCTGTTTGGAAGCTCTTTATTCTGCTCTCTTGGTTTTGTTTTTCTAACTGTACAATTTTAAGTGCTAGGAAATAGAACATAGTTTATTCTTATTGCCCATTCAGAATTTCTCTTCTGTAAAACGCTTGTTTATTCACTTGCCCATTTTCTACTGGGTTTCCTATTTATTGCAATTCTTTGTGTATTCTGGATATAATCCCCATCAGTTATATATGTTATTTATATGACAAATTATCTCCTCTCAGACTAGGACTACTACATTCATGATGTCTTTTGACATACAGAAGGTTTTAAGTTTGACAGAATCAAATTTATAAGGACCCCCCCAACACCAAATTGTGCATTTTATGTTACATAATAAATCCTTTCCCACCTGAAGGCTGTAAAGACAGCTTCCTACTACAATTCTCCTCCTAAGTTTTAAGTTTCATAGTTAAGTCTTTAATCCACCCAGGATGTACAGATCCTGACATCTCAAACACTAAGGTACCCTCCAGATCCTCAACATTTCTACCTGCTTCTCGTTCTCCTCAGACACATATGGCTTCTCACTGCTGCATTAAGTCTCCTTTCTGATTATGGAACTGAAGATTCCCCTCTCGTATTCTTGAGTTTGGCATTTTATCCACTGTTTTTACATATAAATTTACATCCTGTACACAGATTTTTCATAAAGTTATACAGCATTACCTGCCCAATGTAAAGATAAAAGAAACCTACCTTCGTCCAATTGCTCTTCAGGATAGTGGCTCTCTTTCCATCACCAAGTGCATTTCTAAAAAGAAAAACAAGAAATATTCATTTTTATTTTTTAATAAAGGCAGTATAAATTGTGTATCTATTTGTACTTCTTGAATTTTCTAGAAATAACCTAGTTAAAAATATTTTTAATTTTTAAAAATCCATATATGTCCATTATAGGAAATTTGGAAAATACAGAAAAGTAAAACAAAAGGAAAAAGTCACCCAGAGTCACAATCACAACTACCCAGGAATAAGTACTTTTCCTACTTCTGGAGTGTTTCCTACACATCTTGTCTACATCTTATCTATATCTAACTTGTTACTATCTGCATAGTTTTTCTACACTATTTTTGCACATCAGCAAGACTTCCGGTCTCCAGAAAGATAACTCCCAGATCTTTCATACATCAGGTAAACTACAGTAGACAGAGCATAAAAGCTGAGACAGATGGGAATTAAGTTCAATACAATCACTAACTCTCCTCGGGATTATTTAGGAAGTTTTTAACCTCTCTGGCCCACATTCTCATATGTAAAATGAGGATAATAATTCTAATTAGTTTAAGCCAATCAGGGCAATTTCGTTCTCCTTTCTACTGACTGGTTTGGGGAGTCATATGACCCAGTGCTGGCCAATGAGAGCTAAGAGAACTCATCACTCTTAAAAAGAGATTACAAGGAAGAACAAAACTAGGTAACTTACACTATCAGACAGCAGGACCCACTAAAAGGCTATATATATATAGTTAAAAAAAAAAAAAGTCTATCTAAATACAGATGACCTGACCAACAGATTAGGATAAACAAATCAGAAACAGATGCTTACATACCGTCACCTGATCTATACGACAAAGATGACCACTGCAGTGCGTGGAGGAAACATATTCTTAAGAAAGAGTGATGAGTCCATTAGACATTCATACCTATCTTGAACTCTACCTCTCATCTCACTAAATACAAAGTTAAACAATCAAGCCTTTAAAAGAAACACAGAACATTTTGGTGATGTTAGAGAAGGCAAAGACTACAAACAGAACCCAAAAAAGTGTTCATTATAGAAAGAAAAACTGATAAATGGCATTATTTTAAAGTTGGCATCATCTGTTTGTGAAAAAAAAAAAAAAATCAAAAGTGAAAAAGCAAGCCAGAGTGTGAGAAGCTATTTCTAATACATATATTTGACCAATGACTCAAATCCAAAAAAAGTTTTAAAAACTTAATAAGACATTCAACTCAAAAAAGAAAGAAAAAAAAAAAAAAACAGCAAAAGATCCAAACAGGCACTTCACAGGAAAATATCTAAGTGGTCAATAAGCATATGAAAAGATGCTCAACTTAAATATCCTTAATGGACTTAAGAAAATGCAAATTAAAATCACAGCACTGTATCACTACATACCCATCAGAATGTCTAAATGAAATGACACAAAATAATAAGTGTTAGCGAGGACATGGAACTGAAACTCTCATATGCTGCTGGCAGGAGTGTAAAACCATACAACCATATAGGAAATTATGTATGAAAGCTGAATATAAGCATACTCTCGTTCCAGCAACTCCACTCCTTAATTAGATTCTCAACAGAAATGAATACATATGTTCACAATGATACTATCTGTAAAAGCCAAATACTAGAAACTACCCAAATGTCCATCAACATTAGAATGGATAAAATGTGGTATATTCATGCAATAGATGAACACTTTACAACTCCATGCAACAATATGGATCTCGAAAACAATGCTGAATGCCAAACATAAAAGAGCACATACCATGACTGTTTACATTGCACAAAAACAGGCAAAACTAACCCATGGTGTTGGAAGATGGGACAGTAGTTATCCTGGGGAAGAAGATGGGTAGACTAGGAGGGAAAAGGGGAATTTCTGGGTACTGATTACACATGTAAGGCTTCTGAAAATTCAACCTATATACTTATGAAATACACACTTCTCAGTATGTTATTTTTTTCTGAAGATTACAAGAACCATTCTTTTGCTAGAGATGGTAATGTCCAGTTTATGATCTGAATCACAATAGCCAGAGGAGGCAGCCTGAGCTCCAAGTGACCCAATGGGGCTAGAAAAATCCTAGGTCTTTGATGACATTGCTGAGGCACTAAATATATAACACTAGAGCCACCTTCATATGGACTTCTTGAATGAGGTTAAGTTTTCTTCACCATTTAAACAGGGTTTTCTGTTATTTGCGACCAAACACATCCTAATTCAAAAGCACAACTCGTCTCCCCACTGCTTCCCTCTGCAAATACTTTTAACAGCTGCCTATACAATCTCCATTTCCTCTCATCTCAACCCACTCCAACCCAGGATCTATTCCAAGCTTCCCACACACACTCTCCCTATGATAACTAAAAGATGTTCATATTGCTCAATCTAAATTACATTTGGCTTCTCAGCAACAACAGGTACTACTGGTTCACTCTTTCTCTTACTTCCATATCATACTTCGAGTTTTCCTCTTAACCTCTCTGGCTACCCGTAAGTCTCCCCTGCAGGTTCATTTTCCCTTAATTGGTCGCTATTTGTGTCGCTCAACGCGCAGTCCCAGTTCTCAGCTTATACTTGTTCTACACCAATAGTCTCAACCTTGGCTACACGAATACCACCTGGGAGGCTGTTAGAAGCCCAATGCCCAATTAATTAAATCCAAAATCTCTGGGTTGGGGGTATTTCTTCCAAGGTCAATTCCAGGGTGCAAAGTTGAGAGCCATCTCCCCAAATAACCTAACCTCATTCACATTTGCAACGTCAAATCATTTAGGTTAACTATCCCAAATATGCATCTCTTACCCAAATATTTTCCTTGGAGTCCCAGACCCACATAATTCATTGCCAATGTGACATTCCAATTAAGACCCTTCAAGTACACTTCCACTCAGGATGTCTAAGAGTGAAGTTGAGTTCTACTTCCTGTATCTCTTCCAGTGATCCCAGTGTTAGGGAGCAAGCCTATAATCCATGAAGTGGCTGAAGGCAGAAACGTCAAAATAGTTCCAAACACCAAACCATAAGCAACTTCTATCCATTTTACCTCCAAAATTTCTCAAATCCTTCCACTTCTCCATTTTCACTACCATTACCCTGCTCTAAGCTACCATCACTTCTGGCCTAGAGTACTGCAACAGCCTTCTAACCCACCTTCAGGTTGCACCCCATCCAAACCCATTCTCACTACACTGATCTTTCTAAAGAACTAATCATGCCATCTCATCTCGATTTAAAATCCTTTACTTCTTGATGCTCTTCAAGGCCATATTTATGTAGCCTACAAGAGCCTCTTTGGTCTAGTTCCTGACCACCTCTCCCCTCCTCTGTATTCGGCCATCCACCATACTATTAATTCCATGAATGCAACATCCTCCCTCCCAGTGCTGGCCCACTGTCTAGAATACAGGGACTATGTCTGGTTTTGCTTATTTCTGACATAGCTAGATGCAGAAGTCCAATCATATTTGTTGAATCAATGCTGAATGTTATTGTAATCAATATACAAAATTATAGGTACTATGTTATAATCACAGAATTCTAAATACCATATATATTATTAGTATGTGTATGTATATAGAGAGAAAAACTAACATATTTTCACATTTATTAGCGTATGACCAAATCCTCCTACTAAAACAAAGTGGGCATAATAAATTACATTACTGTGATTGCTCATCAAACCTAGTGCGGCTAAGGCATAAACACTCTGTGAAGAGTAGGGACAACTTTATCAACAGCAATATAACTGCATAATATATCTATGAACAGGAAAACTCGAGATGCAAATGGTCACCTACTCTTGAAGACTGTGTGACATAATGGTGAGAGTACCAAACAGCGTCTCCAACAGAATACATATTATATGGGGGAAGTGTTACTTTTCCAGCCCTCTCACCCATTTCTTCATATAGGATATGCCACATTTTGCCCTAAAATATGTTAGGAGTGAATATGTAGTTCTCCTTCTTCCAGCTTCCATGCGGATTTGCTAATCATTTCTGAGCTCTCTCCTTCTCCACCCCTCACTAACATTTCCTGAGGATAATAACGTAATTAATGGTAGGGAGGGGCACTAATCGTATGTAGCTTAGCCTCTTCTTTTTTCTCTCTTGGAATCTTATACTGAGCACCAAAATACTAGATTCCCTATTCTCCAAGCTTAAAGTTCACAAAGGTCTCTGTTGCCGGTTGTGACCATAGGTGAACTAATAACAAGTCACTTGGCTATCAGACTGTTCTGATAAAGCCCTGTTCTTTGAAAACTGTCAGTACTGGAGGCAAGATTGGATCACCATTTGCCTTGTCTTCTGTTTCTATTTCTTAACTGATTCTGGACTTGGGAGGAAAGGAGATGCTATTTACTGATTCTCAAACCACCATATATGTAAGAATTTCACAGGCCATAAAAGGATTATCATTTTTTTTCTTCCCTATTGTAAATCATCCCTCTGAGACCTGACCAGACCAATAAATAATACTACTACTCTCCCAGGTTCCTAGATCTTACAATGAAGCAATAAAAGCAGGACTCAGCTGTAACAACCATCAACTGAACACATATACTTTAAATCAAAAGTCAGTGTCTGAAAAAAAAAAAAAAAAAGTCAGTGTCTGGAATTAAAATTAGATAAGCTCTTTCATCCAAGTAAAAGCACTCAGGAATTTATCTATTCAGATATACTTGCACCTGAGTGTAGAACATAAGTAAAAGGATATCATTACAGAGCTGTACATAATTTTTTTTAACTGGAAATAATTTATATTCTAATACAAACTAACCAAAGCAGGAGTAATCCATGAGTAAAAGACTATGGAGCCATGAATACAAATAAGGTTATACCTCTATATACACTGATATGCAACAAGCTCCAAAAGTTAAGTATTTTTTAAAAAACCAAAAGGACAACAGTATGTATAGTATGCTCCCACGTATATTTAAAAAATATATATATATACACACACACACGATTACACATATATACACATTACATTGAATCAAACAAAACTGCCTATATTCTAACTTATAAAAATGGCAACTCCATTTGGTTCAACATATTAAGTGCTTATATAGGCATAAAAAATATTATGGAACTATTTAAGTATCTGAAAACAGGAATCAGGGCAGGGGTCTGAGCTTGGCAAGAGTTTTCAGTTTATCCTTTCATACTCTTAACTTTTTATGATATGCATTTGTTACTGCTCTTTAAAAAGCGAGTGCACCACCAATATTGAAAAAATGTTTTCTTCAAAAGCAAATTTAGCAGCTTGTAAAAATAAAGAGCCCACAAAAGAGAGCAGCTTAGTAATTTACCAAACCAAAATGCTCACACTGAAGCTACAAACACACACTAGGATTTTTCTTCTTTAAGTAGGCTCCAAGCCCAACATGGGGCTCAAACTCCCAACCCTGAGATCAAGAGTCACGTATGCTCTCCTGACTGCACCAGCCAGGCACCCCACACTAGGATTTTTGAAATTCTCATAGGAACATACAATTGACTTAATTTATACCTCTGGCCTCAGAGAAATTCAGAAAAACACAAAACGAAAACAAAAACCAGAAGTCATTTAAAGTCTATCTGCCGGTGATTAATCACAAGTTGGATCTAACAGAAGAGAACATATTATGATGGGTAGTTAAACACTGAAGGTCAAAGCAAATACCAAGTTTAAAATTCCATAATTTTCCAAAGTAAATGTAAAAAACATCCAAGGCTGAGCTTTCCCTTTCTCCAATTTCATTTCCTCTTACAGTTTATCATGTCCCATCAAAGAATTCAAATTTCCACATGTGAGAACTAGGAGAAATGAAACAATAAAGAGGCACAGCCTAATGATATACCTTGCGTAAGTACTGTAACTACAGAAGCCACAGATATGCCTAAATGCCTATTCTAGATTCTCCTTTAAAAATATCTGATTATTCAAAAAACAAAAAAAACAAACAAGAATATATCTGATTACTTCAATTAAAACTATTACTCTAAAATGCCCTATAAATGGCAAATTGTATTTGAAAAGTGAACTTCTGGAAGACCTGAATAAAAGGACATCTCAGCCACAACGGGCATCTGGGATACACTGCACACAGTCCTGAGTGTGAAGGATTCAGATTCAGTGGAAGCTGTGGCAGAAGGTAGTGTATTTCCACACACAGCACCCCCCATTCCAACCCCATTCCAAAGATTTCCCAGATATGACATCCGCAGATCTGGAGGTGCACACGTCTGATGAATGTTAAGAGTTCAGATGGGCTCTCAGCCTCACCTACATCCCCCCAGAGGTGGTACAAACTGTGCTATCTGGCATTAAAACCACCACCACCACTTTGACCATTTCTTAATGAAGCATTTTCCCCACACACACCTCACCTCAGGCTCCCCCACCATCAGTCTTAAAACACTTCTATTTCTCTTCTTACAAGATTACTTTTCACTTACTTTATCCTTGATGTTTTAGTGACCATTGCTTTTGGTTTTTTTTTTCATCTTACCATGTGCATTTTTAATTTCACTATATCACTTTTTATCACATATTTCAATTACACACAAAAATACAGAGAATAACATTAAGTCAACACCCATGTACCAGCTTAGCAAGATCTTAACATTTTGCCATATTTACTTCAGATCTTTTTGCAGAACTGTTACAGTCCACAACCACTGTGTTCCACTTTCTCATCTCCCATCCTTCCCTCCCCAGAGACAGCCACTCCCCTGGTGTTTAACATGCCCATGCATTTCAAAAACATTTTAATACATACTATGTATTAACTATGGATATGTATGTCATTTTGCATATTTTGACATTATATAAATTGCATCATACCATACAAATTATTCTGCAACTTGCATTTTCACTCAACATTGTCATCATTTTAACTGCTGCATAAAATTCCATTGTATGAATATACCATCATTTATTTATCCATTCCCCCACTGATGGACATTTAAGTTGTTTCCATTTCTTTACTCTTACAAACAGTGCTATCATGAAGGCTTGTATGTATCTTCTTGGGTACACATTTGAGTTTGGAGAATAGGAGCCTAGAAGTGGGCTGCAGAGTATGCACATCTTCACCTTGCCAAATTGCTGTCCAAAGTGATTGCACCAATTTACACTTTCTCCAGTCGAGTATGCAAGTTTCCTTTGTTCCACATCCTCTCAAACACTTGGTATTATGAGGTTTTTAAAATTTTTGCCAATCTGATGGACATGAGAAAGAGACTCAAGGTTTGTAATCTGCATGTTCTATAAGGATACTCATGTTTGTTGACTATTTGAACCATTTATTTAAAAAAAATTTTTTTTCATATTGTCCTTTAAGTCTACCATCCCCTTCCAATGGGGATTAATGGTAAAGACTGTATCCAGGCTGCCTGGGTTCATATTCTGGCTCCATCACACCCACCTAGTTTCTGAGAATACTTTGCTTGACTTCCCCATTCCTGTTTCCTCATCTATAGAGACAGCAGCACCCACCTCACAGAGATAAGGGCTTTTTGAGCTTGAATGCATAAAGTGCTCACAACAGTGCCACAGAGGTTAGATGCTTTACCCCCAGGTGTCCCACAGCTGCTCTGCCAGATTCCCTTGACAGATCTACCAAACCTCAGGTGTGAGAGCTTTAAAACATCTCAATCGTGGTAACTCAGCTAAAGGGCTTGGGGTCCTCTTTTGTCAATAGCAATAGTGAATCGCTGGCAACATGTTCCTTTCTGAAGTCACATTATCTACTCACTTGATCAGGAGTGAGATGTACTATATAGACTCAGAAAACATTATCCCTACTGAACAAGTCATATAAACAGTATGCAAAAAGGTAGGAAACACCAACAAAACTATGAGGCACAATGTTTCTGACTTTACATTGGCATCCAATACATATCAGTGATTCCCTAAGAAGAAAATGCGGCTGACCTGCCTCTAGTGAAAATTTCAATGGTGTTGAACCACAAGCTAGACTATCAGGAAGTAGGTACAAGGATGGACACACAACCCTGCTCTTGACCTTTTCCTCACCAGGCTACCTGGCTTCTGTATTTCTACTTTGATGCACCTCCTTTGCAGCGCAGTTTTAAGAGGATCCTCCTTGAGTGTCTAGCATTCAACACTCATGAAAGAGGGTAGAAACCCCCCGGCTTGCTGCTCCGCTCTCGGAGCTCCCCTATGCAGAGTGGATGACCTTCCGCCCAATCAAGGTTTCGATTTTCACAAGAGGCTAGTCAAGTTGCCAACCTATTCATCTTGAAAGCACACCGATTTACCATCAAACAGCATAGGATATCTGCAATTCTGGACCTAGCCAGAAGCAATAACCTAAGGACATTTGTAGCTCATTTCTTGTCAGAACCAGTTGAGGACAGTGGTATTGATGGAAGACTGTGTCCAGCCCATCCATTCCTCTAGTCTAGATAGCCTCGCTTTATCCACGGCTTAAGCCATCTAAAAGCTGCATAACGTTAATACAGCGGTATTCTCCGAGGTGGTTGGATTACTGGTGATTTTTATTTTCTTCTTTTTAAACTCTTGTATTTTCCAAATTTTCTACCATGAGAATGTGTTCTGTTTATAATAAAAGAAAAACAAATGTTATTTTTAAAAGCTACATACCTGGAATATACTCTTTTTTCCCACTCCCACCCTCCCACACTCCAACATAAGAACTTTAACTAAAAAACACTAGTACAAGACTCTCTGCTTTCATCAGAAACCCAAAAGTGCACTTTCAGAGAATTTTCTGCTTTGAGTAGGAACGTTGCTGAGGGTCTTCTCTACTCCAACACCCAGTCATGTTACTTGTAGGCCATGTAAGAAATTTCTTCCAGAACTAAGCATCAGGAAAACTGTTTCACCTGAGCAACTCCTGTCCTCTTTCTTCATGGACAGTGAGAATCATATAACTTGTCAGGTTTCTCCTTTTATTTTCAGCAACAAAAACGTCAAACACAAATATAAATTATAACTAATAACTCTGCAGAACCTTATGACTATGCAGCTTTTTCCTAAGGATCCCCAGCTCTAAACTGGTTTTTTAGTTTGTTTTGTTGTATTTTTAATATTCTTCTCCTGAGCAGATATATTCCTGAAGCCGCCCTAAGAAGAACATAATTAAATGTAAGAGCATATACACTGCTCAATATTAATGCTTGTAATTTATATACTAAATTTTTTTTAAGATTTTATTTATTTATTCATGAGAGATACAGAGAGAGAGGCAGAGACACAGGCAGAGGGAGAAGCAGGCTCCATGCAGGGAACCTGACATGGGACTCAGTCCCGGGTCTCCAGGATCATACCCCGGGCTGAAAGTGGCGCTAAACCACTGAGCCACCAGGGCTGCCCTATACTAAAAATTTTAAACTGTGAGACAACAAAATCATGGTTGGTGCAGTGTCAACAATCTTTCTTGACCAATAAATAAAAGCTCAATGCAACATAAGAAACTAAGAATTAATTATGTAAGAAATTAAAAGAATTATGATCTCACTTTGATGGTTAAAACCATTAAATTTCTTTTCTTTCTTTCACTTACAAATGAGATTTACTTAATTTTTTTATATCAAGATATAGGAAACAGTGAAAATGCTTCCAGAATTATACAGATTGAGAGCAAAAGGATATAACACAGGTATTATAAATACAGACTTCTACATCATCAGAGAAGATCTGTGTTCAAATCTTGACATCACTACTTAGTAATGGCATGAGTCCACCTAAATGTAAATGTGAATAACATTACCTAATAGTATGTTGTGAGAATTAAGGAACATATGTAAAGTACTTAAAACAGCATATAATACGTTATCTACTCAGAACAGCTGCTGCTGCCATTGTCATTATGTATAAAGCCTACAGAACCCCTTTAACCATTTGGCTATTTCTGCCAAAAAATTATTGAAGGATTTTCTTGTATGCCTGCAGAACAAATATTTCTCAAAAATGAGTATTCAGTATAACAGCTCAGTGACTGAGTATTTAGTGTAACAGTGACTCTAACCAACTTACCTAAACTGTCCAGTGCGAAGAAAACAAAGAGCTCGGTTACCATAAAGAAGGTGATTTTCAGGTCTTTAAAAGAAATAATGGTTAGTCAGTAAAGGACATCACATACAAAACAAATAAAAAGCACACAGAAAACATAGGGCATGAAAAACTTCTCAAAAACTTTACATCTGTGTGGCAGAGCAGAAAGAATATAAGATTTGGAGACCTAACTGGCTAAGTCCTAGTTTCTTCATTTCCTACCAGTAACTTTGTTCAAATCAACCTACACTTCACTGTATTCAAAATGTCCTACATTTTCTGCCTAACTGCTAAGGATGTGGTGAAGATCAAATGAGACACATACTAAAAAGCTAGCAAATCACAAGTATGGTATAAAGGACAGAATTATATAAGTCAGGACTATACCACTTGACAAAGAACTCTGACAAAAAAAATCTGTAAACTGCAACAATAATTTAAATAACTTCATTTCAAATTTTGTCTTTCCTAGGGGTTTAATCTGTTCTTTCCTTGGAACAGAGCAGCCTTCCAGATGTGGTGTGCTACCCTGATTCACTTATTCCCCATGGAAACAGGCAAGGCAGGAAAGAGAGTAGCTATCTACAGCACATCCTCCAAAGCCTTGCTACAATATTAGAACTCCCAGCAAAGATGTCAGTAGGAACCAAGTATGAAGCACACTGTGCAGGAATGCTACAAAATTCTAGTAGCTGAGCAAACAGAAGATGAGGAGGAGAAAATATACACTCAACAATTCCAACTATTATCCTTTAAAAGTTCTCTCTTAGCAAAACTTACTGAACAGGGGATATCTTAAGTGTTAGTAATACCTTTAGTTAGTAACAAAATACCCTTTTTTGATCAGCTGATAATTTGGAAGGGATTAGCTGTAGGCAAAATGAGTACAAGAAGAAACAAGTGACACTATACTGGAAAGCTTGAGAAAATGGGGCACCTGGGTAGAATCATATTCACAGTTCTGCATGACTTGGTTACATTCATCTACCCAGCCATCCCTAACACTTCTAATGCCCAAGTATTATACATAGCAAGTAGAAGATACTCTCTCCAGCTCCTCATCTTGCTTTTATTTCTCCTGACTAGCATTCTAATTTGATTTGCCACAAAAAAAGGATCGCAATGTTCTATTTTGCTCTTACCTATATTCAATGGCTCTGGTGTAATAGATAATAGCTATATCAAATCTTTCTTTTGAAAACTCTTCATTTCCTTTCATTTTCATTAGTTCTCCTTGCTGAGAAACCAAGGTGAAAGAAGACCCATCAATTAAAAGCAAAGACAACCAAGAACCCCGATATCTGAGAAATAAGGGCTCTGGGCTTTTATCTTTGATAACAAAAATAAGCTGGGGGATTTTTTATGTAGAAAACAAGAACCCAATACCCAATATTTTGGTATACTTATTTAAAGAAACCTATCTCTGATAACTAAAGGCTAACTTTGTTAAAGGAATATCAAAAGTAAATAAAACCACCACATTATGGATAACTACTAACAATTTATCTCCTTGTATATTATTTGGCAGGCCTACTTTTAAATATGCCTACTGAGCCTGCCATATAGCAGGGAAATAAAACAGATGCAAGGTAAAATTTTAAGTTAGAAAATGTATTATTCAGTAATCCTGACTGCTAAAAAAAAATATAGGCAACGTTGAATAGGTTAATTGCCAAAAAATGAGGCAGCAAAATCAGCAAGAATGAAATCAAAGATGCTGTAAGTATAATGGAAACTTTTCAAACTTTCTAATTTTCAAAATAAACAGGTTAAAATAAACTGGACTATATAACTTTAGTTAGTGAATTAAATAGAACCATTAAATATTTTCCTAAATCCTTTAAAAATTTTAGTTAGAATCATATTTCCCAGGAGCCTGTCTGGCTCTGTCGATAGAGCATGTGACTCTTGATCTCAGGGCTATAAGTCTGAGCCCCACAGTGGGCATAGAGATTACTTAAAAATCTTAAAAAAAAAAAAAAAAAATTCCTATGAGTGAATTCTATGGCATATGAATTCTATCTCAAAAAAGCTGTTACCAAAGAAAATTATATTTCCTCAAATTAAAAATCTTTTAGTTTAAAAAAAAATCAAATTTCTATTTTTCAATTAACTTTTAAAACACATATATTTAAATGTTTATTATTTAATATTCTATAAATTTAATAACATGTAAATATATATTTAATATACACATATAAAATTTTTAAATTCTGACCAAGATGTCTTCCTCTTCTGGAAAAATAAATATTCCAATCAAATTGTATTGAAATCTTTCTTTAAATGTGTTATTATTAAATTTTACGGCTGTTCCTTGTGTGCTAACAGCAGTTTTACTGAACTTATTTTGGATGTTAACAAAAGTTCTAACAGATAAATTTTAAAATATACTTACAAGTAAATATTTATTCTCACCTCTATACATTCCGCACAATTTTGAGTTTTAAATTCTTCAAGCAAATTGCAGTTTTCTGTTACAACTTTAGTTATGTGATACTTGTCTAAATTTTATTTTTAGGAGAGAGTGAGAGAACATTTATTTAAAAAAAAAAGCAAATTGGTATTGTTAATGTTCTAAAACTTAGGTTACAAAGGTCAGTCCATAAGGTCAATTAATTATTAAACTTTCTAATAACATGTTTCTTGCAGTCTTTTACATGTATCAAATAGTACAACTTAAAGTGAACTGAAAAAATGTTTTACAACATATTAGATTCATTGCTGATGAACCTAATCTGTTTTACTTCTAGCATTTAAAAAAAGCACTTATTATTACATTAGTTCCAATTGTAGTTAAAACAAATGCTTGGACATAATATTCCAAATAGGCCTCATAAATACTCCAGTTAGTTCAACAAACATTACTGAGCGCCTGTGGTGTACCCAGCACAATGTTCAATAAAAATGTCTAAAGATAAAAATGTGGAAAACTTTCTTTCATTTAATATAATAATTTTAATATCTTAATTCAACATTTTGACACTCATGAATGCCATGTTAAAATGCTACTTGAAACACTGTTCTTTTAAAAATGTAATGAACTAAAGTAGGCAATAACCAAAATTAATGTTAAAAGTTTACCACACCTCATTTTCTATATTTTTTCTATATTTTTTACTGTTCCATAGATTCCTTTAGGTGGTAATAATTTTATCCCAACAAAACTAGTCAAGCCTCTAGCCAAACACATTTCCAAGGTGAAAAAAGTACCTAAAAATCTAAATTTAAGAAGGAATTTCGGAAGGTCACCAAATAAAGTAATTAATAAGGGGCAGAGTAAGATTACAGGATAAAAACCTAAGTCTTGAAATCACGGATACTTGACTTCTCATCTAGGTTCACTCACTCGACTGCAGAAGTATCATTTAACCTGCCAATGCCTTAGTCTTATTTCTAAAATAGGTACAACAGCAGGTACCTTTGAGCTATTCTAAAGAAGAGAACAGGGGATCCCTGGGTGGCTCAGCAGTTGAGTGTCTGCCTTCAGGCCCAGGGTGTGATCCTGGAGTCCCAGAATCAAGTCCCGCACTAGGCTCCCTGCATGAAGCCTGCTTCTCCCTCTGCCTGTGTCTCTGCCTTTCTCTCTCTCTCTCTCTCTCTCTCGAACAAATGAATAAAATCTTTAAAAAAAAATAAAAGAGAACAGAGAGAGAATGTCAGAACCAAGCCCACACTGGTGCCCAACACGTGATATTGGTCCTCTACTTCTACCATAAAATCTACCCTATAGGCAGCCTGGGTGGCTCAGCGGTTTAGCACCGCCTTCAGCCCAGGCCTGATCCTGGAGACAAGGGATGGAGTCCCATATGTCGGGCTCCCTGCATGGAGCCTGCTTTTCCCTCTACCTGTGTTTCTGCCTCTCTCTCTCTCTCTCTTTCTCTCTCTCTCTGTCTCTCATGAACAAATAAATAAAATCTTAAAAAAAAAAAAATCCACCCTATAATTAAAGACCTCCAGATCAATGAGAAACCTATAATTAAAGGCCTCCAGAACAATGAGAACCACATCTATCAATGTAATATAGCCCAGTACGTAATATTAGAAAAAACTGTCTTCATGTTTAAGCTTAATTTCTCTCCATCACTTAGATCAATAGTATAAGATTTGGCCTCTTCTCAAGTGGTGATGGCACTGGTGCCAGTCACCAACTAAAGAGCCAAGTATTTCCTCCTTCAAGATCCCTATAGCCATAATATAAACACACTGCTAACATTCAAATGCTTTAAAGAAACATATTTCACAAAGTTAAAAAAATATACAAAGCAGTTTTCATTATACAAAAGAATAACAGTCATCAGGAAAATGAAAATTATAATCTTAGCTCTATTACTTACTTCTCTTTTGAATGAAAATACATGAGGCCCCAGTCATGAACTCTTTTTTTGGGTATCATATATAATACCTATGGTATTCACCTGGTAGCATTTTTTTTTTAAAGGTTTTATTTATTCATGAGAGACAGAGAAAGAGGGGCAGAGACACAGGCAGAAGCAGGCTCCATGTAGGGAGCCCGATGCGGGACTCAATCCCAGGACTCCAGGATCAGGCCCTGGGCCGAAGGCAGGAGCTAAACCCCTGAGCCACCCAGGGATCCCCGACTTGGTAGCATTTTTAAAAGTATGATGTCAGAAATCATTAAGACAGAAAATTTAGGATAAAGCTAACTACAAAGTTAAAATTCTCTTATAAAAAGCATTTTGAGAAAAAGATTTTTTAAAATCCTTAGATAAATAAGAAATCACATAACCATACATTTCATTTTCCCAAATAATGCCTTAAATCTGAGTCAAGTAACAATTTAATGCATTTATACTTACATTCAGTAAAGAAAATACTTAACATAGGCCAACAATTGTCAACTGCTCCTAATTTAGGTAGAATTGTTACATCGCCTGTGTATTTCACCCAATTCAAAGCTTCTTCCATTGCCAAGATTTTCTGTATCAAAAAGATGAAGAATGTGGTTTGGGTATTAATTTTAATTTTAAATTTACACACGGCACCATAAATTTAGACATACAGTATTTCAGATTTTTTTTGAAGATTTTATTTATTTATGAGAGAAAGAAAGAATGTACGCACGCTACAGAGAGCACGAGGTGGGAGAGAGGCAGATGGAGAGGGAAAGGCAGATGGAGAAGGAGAGGCAGACGCCCTACTGAGCAGAGAACCCAATGTGGGGCTGGATCTCAGGACCCTGGGATCATGACCTGAGCTAAAGGCAGACACTTAAGCAACTGAGCCACCCAGGCCCCCTAAGTATTTCAGATTCTTAATAAAAACTTACACAATCTCATATTTTCATTACTCTAGCACGCAACCTAGAATACCTGGACCCCAATATATATAAGTTAACTGATACCATGGACTCACATATGTATATCTTCAAGTAACCTCAGGCTACCCTCAGAGACCAGGATGGTGCTTCAATCATTACAGACCTAGAAGCTGAGGTTTACAACCTGGCCAGGAGCTGCCCTGCATAGCAGGAGGGTACAATAATACAAGGTGAATGAGAGGTCTCAGAACTTATCTAAACTAGGACTTCCATCCTTACCACAAGGTTAAAGGTAAAGATTAAGGTTCCTGAAAGGGACTGTGTATTTTAAATTTTTTTTTTTTTTTTTATTTATGATAGTCACAGAGAGAGAGAGAGGCAGAGACACAGGCAGAGGGAGAAGCAGGCTCCATGCACCGGGAGCCTGACGTGGGATTCGATCCCGGGTCTCCAGGATCGCGCCCTGGGCCAAAGGCAGGCGCTAAACTGCTGCGCCACCCAGGGATCCCCGGGACTGTGTATTTTAAATGGTCTATGGCAAATAGAAGAGTAAGGAGACAAACAATAGGAGAGTGCAGCTGTGAAAATAAGCACTCAGTGCAAAGATATTCATGAAGAGTAGGAGTTCACAGAAATATTATTCATACATCTAGTCTGAAATGACTTCAGAAGTTAATTAGAAGAGTTATCAATGCTCATGTCAGGCTTAAGGGAAACATGTTTATGTTACCAGTAGCATTAAAAATTGGCTTATCGGGATCCCTGGGTGGCGCAGCGGTTTGGCGCCTGCCTTTGGCCCAGGGCGCGATCCTGGAGACCTGGGATCGAATCCCACGTCAGGCTCCTGGTGCATGGAGCCTGCTTCTCCCTCTGCCTGTGTCTCTGCCTCTCTCTCTCTCTCTGTGTGTGTGTGATTATCATAAATAAATAAAAAAATTAAAAAAAAAAATTGGCTTATCATTTTAGCTGGAGATTATCTAATAATGACATATCAAAAATGTTCATACCGAGGACCTAATAATTTCATTTGGGAGAATATATGCCAGATAAATAATCTAAAGAAGAAAAAAACAATCATATGTAAAAGAAGCCCAAAATTATACTACCCATATGGGGGGACATGATGCACACCCCCAAAATAAGGAGACTGTATAAGCAAAATATAGAAATCAATACTAGCAAATACATGTAAATCACTAACATGTGACCCCAATTCATGTGGCAATGAGCCATGAGACAACTGTCATTTATCAGCAATGACTGTGCTTGCTTCCTGTGTTTTAACACTTATATTTTCTAAAAAAAAAAAAAAAAAAAAAAAATCACTTACATTTTCTATTTTATAACCAATCCTCAATAAGCCCCCAATAAAGAATGAATCATTCTGCAAAACAAAACAATAAAACACATTTATTTCCATCTTTAATCAGTTACACTTCAATTTTCCAGTGGACAAAAAAAATCCTACGTTTCAAGAATACTGTTATGTATACATAAAGTCTACTTCCCACAAGCGCTTTCATGCCCAATTTACCTAAGAATATAGAAGTAATCCTACATTGGCTTCAAGAAATAAAATGACTTAGTATAACCTTTAGATGTATGGATTTTAAAGTTCACTACACTAAGATTTCTTATGAAACTACATTGGCTGATACAAGGTATAGCAAAGGATTATCAGGAAATAAACACTTGGCTTCATAACCAATCGAAATAAGAAAAAGGATCAAAGGTTTTCCAAGGGAAAACATCCTCAGTGCAGAACAGGAAACTGCCTCAAATACTGTATAATAAAAGTTTATCCCAAAGAACAAATATTTGTTGTGATGCTGACAGTGGCATGATTTTTTAAGAGAGAATCCATCACTTTCAGTGACAAAAGTTCCTGTGAACCAGGAGCATACTTTCATCTGTGACAAATTCCAATTTCTATCCTTTAATGATAAGGAATGGTCCTGGATCTCATCCTTCATGTCAGAACCAGAAAGACAGCCATCTATCTAATTTCTCAAATACATAGCATAAACTCACTGGTAGCAGAATGATCTCAGATTAATCCAAACTGAAACCATAATCCATTAACCACTATAAATTAGTAACATGGGCTTGACACCGTATAAATATTTATATTCTTTAGATATAGGGGGGGAAATACACATTCTACCACTTACCACGACTTTCTTTGCCAAATCCACAATATCTTCCATCAATTCTAGATGTTGTAATTTCTTCAAACTTATCTCAGAAGCATGAGAGTTGCTTAAATACAAATTCATTTTTTAAAAAATTAGGTTCTCATATATATTCACTGAATTTTATATCCTACTTGTTATATCTTGATTTAAGCTACTTGAAAAAATTTAATTCTCTTTTACTTCATTCTAGGTAACCATAAGTTGTTTACTAAGTTGACAAAATACTGTACCTTTTTCTCTTTTCTATACTACAATGCTGCTACTTATAAACAAGCATATTAATTTTCCATAACTCAGTTTCAAGTCTACCATCTAACGCTCTTCAGAGGTTCATTCATCATGTCACCATGATTAGTCATACATATAGAAATCCAAAACATTAAAAAAAAAAAGAAAGAAAGAAATCCAAAACATTAACTTTTCCCACATGATTACGTAAGAATGAAGCTGAACAGTATATACAAGAATAAGACATAAGCCCTCCCTTGTACTTGGCATTCCTCAAGAATGGTCAACATGTTTATTAGTGTTTATACAAAACAAATGACATATAGCAACTTACGTGGCCTCCACACAGGGGTGTAACCGTGATATTATAGAACTATGCTGACGTTGAAACAGAAGTGGCCAGAAGATGTATATTTTAATGGCATCACAATAATCTTGCAGGACAGAAACTGGTTTACTACACCACATATTGCAGATGTCAAATTCTTAATTAAGAAAAAGTTTTGAATAAATATTTTATGCCTCATTTTGGAATAAATCAACACTGTTAATAGAGAAAAGGTTACAATGGATATGGAAAGGTAAAAAAGAAGGGGATGAGCAAAATAGATGAAGAGGACTAAGAGGTAAAACTTCCACTTATGAAAAAATAAATCATGGGAATGTAAAGTTCAGACAGCATAGGGAATATAGTCAGTAACAGTAATAACTTTGTACAGTAACATATAACCACACTTATGGTAAGCATTTCATTTACATGTATAAATGCCAATTACTCTGTTGTACACCTGAAACTAATAAATATTGCATATTAACTATACTTCAATTAAAAATACATAAATCAAAAAATAAAAAATAAAAATGAAAACTATGTAGGACTGTTACATTGATGTGAATGGGTGAACTTCCTACAACAATCTCTCAACAAATTAAAATACCAATGTAAAAAATAATAATAATAAATAAAATAAAAAATACCAATGTACTTACCTAAGTTTCTCTCACTTTGGGTAAAATCTTTATACTGCATACCCTAAACAAAAAAAAATTCTTTTTATTTTTCTCTAGTGAAATGCAAAAGTAGTTTTCAATTTTTAATGTGAGGACTATCAGTACTAAACTAATAAATTTTTCAGCGCACATTTACTTATATACTTTGATTATATCTTCAACCGGTGAATCTTTAGGCTTTTTTCCCAAGTGTTTCCCCCGGGGTCTGCATCTACAGCTGTCTCTTGAGAGCCTTTCTAATCTCCAGTCAGAAAACCATCTTTCCCCATCACTCATTCTCTGGTACTGCACATTCTTGTTGTTAAGGCACTGCTTCCTTTCCCTTATGAAATCGAATTTGTACCTCCTTGTGAAAAGTTTTGTAGCACAAAAACATATTTACTCCCATAACTCTAAATCAAAAAACCTTTAAAAAGTAGACATTAAGTCCTCAGCATAATAATAAAAAAAAAGATCTGTACTATGAATAGTGATGGGTATAGTTTTAACTAGATTTCTTGGGGTGATAATTTTACAACATATACACATTTTAAGTCATTATGTTGTATGCCAGAAACTAATACAATCTCACATTAATCTCTCAAAATAATAAGCCTTTAAGACACAGCATTAAAACAAAAGAGCAACAAATCTTACCACCCCATCGCAGTAAAGTTGAGTCACACGAACATAATCATTGGACATAAATTCAGGAGCAAAGACACAACCGTCCACATAAGGGCAATCTTCTGACAAAGCATCATCTGCTATAGTGAAATCTCCCAGGGCAAAATCATCCATGCTGTACCATCCTAAGGAAACAACACAAACCCAAATCAGTACTTAAATCATTCGAGATAATATGAGAAGCAGTTTTCCTGGCTTATATGGTTTATTAGAAAAATCCTTCGAACTTAGGCCTCCCCAAAAAATCAGTAAGAACACTGAGCTCTGGAAGATTCTCATCCTCAGCTACTGTTTGCCCAACTCTCTTCAAATATCAGTTTAATCTCTTTTTTCGCTTAGGATCACACAGTCACCATCTCTTCCCTGAACTTATTTGTTTACATGTCTCCTTTAGATGGAAGATAATTAAGGGTATCTTACTCACTTTTGTATGTGCCCAGCACATGGTAAAACCCTTGAATAATTGCTGAATGAACAAAAGACATCTTTCCATTGCTGCCCTTTTACCCCATCTGCTTTTATTGCATCCTGTGAAATATGCCATTTCACCACACACAAACTCTGCCATATTCTCGACCCCCTGGCCAGAAGTGAATCCTGACTCCACTGAGAAAATGGTGTATTTGCTGCTCATTCTCCTATCCGTCCATCTATGTGTGTTCCTGTCTCGGGCAAAGGGGCAGAGTTGGAGTGGTACAGGGCAAGCTCGTCAATCTCCTAACTCCCCAGAGCCACATCCAGACTTCCATCCTCCTAACAATTGCTGCATCTGGCACTCTCACAACTGCAACACAGAACACTGCTAGATTGCAAAGGTGGGCAAAAACCTCATATTATCAACAGCCTCGTATTATCAAACATATCATCTGTGTTTTGAAAAGGATTATTTCAATGGGGGAAAAGGGAAATTAGGGCTGGAGTTTTAGACTAAGGCTTCTTTCTGGAATAAAGTTCAATAATAAAGATTTGTAGCTATCAGAGAATAGCTACAAAACCTAAACATCACTGAAAAATGCAGCATGGCAGCACTTCTAACTCTTGCCCAAGTAATGGCCGCCTTTTCATATCATCACTAGAACCACATCAACACCATTTCTTAGACCTTTCCATATCACCACTATTATCCGGCTATTGTTAGGACAAACCAAGTTTCTTTTTTCCTAAGCAAAACCACCATCAGTCCTTAAAATACAAATCTGTTTAATTCTTCTTAGGTCCAATTTGCTGTTTGAAAACCTCAGAGTATGAGAACAACAATAACAATCTTCCTAGCTAACTATTTGTCACACATTGTACCAATTATTTTTATATACATTATCTCGTTCATCCTCACAGCAATTCTCAGGTCCAATTATCATCACCTGCAGGGTACAGCTGGGAAGCATTGAGTAAAATTCAGTAATTTGCTCAAGCTCATCAAGCTAAAAGGATTCAAACATAGGTCCTCTGATTCCATAGTCTCACTCTATTTCACCACATCTACCTTTCCTTGTCATTGCCACCTACTTAGTTCTCACTTGTTGTCCTGTTCAAGAACACTGGCTATTAGTTGAGTGTTCCCCTCTCTCTTCCAAACTCTCAACATCCCAGCCACATCAAGGCCCATGAAGACAATCCCTTCAAGACCCCAGCCTCCTGTTCACCTCCTTGATTAAAATGATCTTCATTGCCCAGGACACCCAGGCTCTTCCTTCCCAAGGCTACATCTCAGATCATGGTGCAGGTCTAAACCAGTTTTTAAATCTTTAACTCTGATTAGCTCCTTTGACCACAGCCAAGAGTCATATAGCTCTTGTGTCCCCTTATCTCCTACACAGTCAGTCTTCATCTTCATCACGAATTGTTCCTCCCTTCTCTCCCATTCAAATCTTCCATTCTCATTCACTTTTGGCTTTCTGCAAATGGGTTTCCACCTCTGCCATTCAAGGGAAACTGCTTACAATGAGATCATTAGTGACCTTCTACAATAAACTGGTTATCAGGTCTGGAACCTGACCTGTTCTGGATGAGCAATATTTCCAGAGTTTAGGGAATTTAACTCCAAAAGTGAAAAAAAAAAAAAAACAGACACTTTAGGACCCAAGTGTGGCATGTAAAATGGAACACATGCTCTCTGGGAAATAAATACACTTTTAAACTCATTCGCTTTACATTTTGTGTGTGTATGTGTATACATATATATCCTCACAGCAATATACATATATATATATAAATATATATACATATACACACAAAAAGAACAAAAAACTCTGTCACAACCCACACATCACCATTGTGGCATGGATTACAATATAGTTAATGTGCTCATACACAGCGGACTAAGCCACTGTGACATCATGCTGGTCATTCACAGCCTGGCTGACTTTAGTGATAGCACACCCTATACCACTACACTGTAATTAGACACTGATATGATTATTTTCTATTTTGTTTTAATCAACAAGGTGACTGGCACAGAGGTTAATTAAGAGCATGGACTCTGGAACCAGACTGCGTGGGACTGAATCATGGCTCCCCCATTTCCTGAATGTGTGATCTTGGGCAAGTTACTTAACCTCTCTGTATTTCAGTTCTCATGTATCAAATGCAAGAGCAATACTACCTACCTGATTAACCAGTTAACACATTTGTAGTGCTTAGAATAGTACATGCCATATAGGAAATGCTAGAAATATCAGCTATTGTTAACATTAATATTAGAGGAGTATTTCTAAAAATCCACTGTTTGGATGCTTCCAGCTAAATGGTCTGCCTTAATGCTAAGTCCAAAGAGCACTTTTCAGCTTACAACTTACTTGACGCTGTTGACCACTTCCTCCTCCTCAGAACTCTTCATTTGGACTCCAAAGACCATCTTCTCCTGGTTCTCCTCCTATTCTTCTGGCTGCTTTTCCTCAGTCTCCATGGGCGCTTCTTCTCCATTCCCCGCCACCCAAATGTTAACTCTCTTTTCTTTTCAGGCTTACTCTCTCCTCGGTGACCTTATCCACCACACCCATGGCTTAAAACAGCACTTTCTGAACTTCCATCATTTGCATAGCTTCACCATGATTTTTACCATTTCCACATAACACATGTATTTTTATTCACCCAGTATTTCTCTTTTATTGGGCTCACTTGGCCTACATGATATCCATGACATCATAGGTTTGATGTACAACTTCTGTTTTTCATACACATTAAATTCTTAACTATTAAAAAATCTACATGCCACTTTAAATATCTCATATTTCATTGTAGCAAACAATGGCTACACATGCCCAAATGCTGAATCTCTAATTTCTCCAGGCTGTGTTGCATCTCTATAGTCCCTGTCAACATGTTATTGAATCTTAAAATGTCTCACAAGCCTCTCGGATTAAGTTCAAAAATGAACTTATCTTTTTCCTCAAAAACAAACGGATGAAACCAAGTTCTTTCCTCTTTCCTCTGTGTGTTAGCAGTCAGTTGCTCTACATGCTACCTAGTTAACCAGAGTAGCTCCCTGGGATTCAATCTAGGCTCCCCAGTCTTTTTCAACATTCCTATTCACCTGACCACAAAACCCTGTCATTTTCATCCACCAAAGAAACCTAAAATAGGCACACGTACACCTCTTCATGCCAGTGACACTGCCTTAATTGTTTCATTTTTTCTCCTCTGAACTAACTGAACAAGCAGCTTTCTAGCTGGTGACTTGCCTTTGACTCTGGCACCCTCTAAAACTCTGGTAACATTTCAGTGCTTAAAAATCATCCAGTAGCTTCCCTTCATCTTCAGAATAAGGTTCAAACTCCCATCCATAGCATGTAAGGCCTTTGTAATCCTGTTCCTGCTTTTATTTTCAGTCACTTCATGCCATGCAACTTAGAAGCCATTCATACTCAACTGCTTCTGATTCATGAACCTTATTCTGCAACCACCTGTTTACCAATCCTTAATACTTAATTCTGGGATGCATTTCTCACTACTACCAAGTTTCTGCATCTCTTCTCTGTAAACCCAGAGTACCCGGTCCATATCTCTTTGACAGCAGTTCTCACACTGGTCATCACTGGTTTATCTTTGTTAAGCCCAGAGGATACACTGTGCCCTACTCATCTTGATTCCCTAGCTCAGTGTTTCCCAAATCTTTTATTCACACTCCCCAAGTTTCTACGTTTAAATAAATAAACGTTTTCTAATGTTGCAAAATCCACCCCACCACCTATGGTACTGTTATTCAATATTTTTTCTTGAGACTAACTCAACTTCTAACTTAGATGTAAATTCGTTTTAATAGAAAATTTGGTATCACAATAAATCTTACACTTGGTAGGACATGTTTGTTTGTTTTTCCTAATACAAACTCAAGTAAACACACTGCTAAAATTAAACATTAATGTAAAGGACTTCTAATCCCAACAGTTACAAAGAACTAGTGGGGGACTCTCATTGCAAAACAAAGTAGGTTCTAGATTTTAAAAATTTATAATTTTGCTGAGCTCATAGCTCATAGAAATAGGGAACATTTAAAGCCACCCTTCTCCCCCCCCCCCCAAAAGGAATAAACCTCTAGCTAAAAACTAAAGCTGACAGTCAGGAGCTACAAACAGTAATGCCAAGAGCAATAATGGACACTGAGCTCTGGACCAGAAGCAAAGTGAGGAAACTGAGCCATGCAAACTCCCTGGCTTCCAATGGAAGCAGATACAAATCAGGAGGAAAGCACAAATCAAACACTCAAGATGCTTCAGGGAAAGATCAATCAAATAGGAGTTCATAACCAAAGATCATCAAGCAAAGGAGGTGACAACCCACCATGAGGGAGAGACAACAGAAAGAACGGCAATGAATTTAGACCCCTAAAGACATCAGACATTGGATTGACTGCCATATACAGCCTACAGAATACCCATAGATTCAGAAAAAAGAGCAAGCAACATAAGACTATAAAAGACTTGGGAATCTAAAAAAAGAAGTGGAACTTCTGAAATAAAAAATATAACTGTTAAAAGTAAAAAGAAAAAAATAGATTCACTTAAAAGAAAATTAAGCACAGATGAAGAGAAATTATGAACTACAAGATGTGCCTAATGAAATCACCTAGCACAGGAAATTCTGGTAAAGAAACAAGGAAATGAAAACTAAGAAAGATGAAAAATAATTGATCTGCCAACAATTCAACACATGTACATCCAATTAAACTTCCAGAAGAAGAAAATAGATAAAATCAAAGCGAGATAAAATAATATTTATTACAAGGCTCAGAATCTCTAGACTTAAGACAAAATTCAAAATCAAGAAACACGTGTATTCAAAAGAGGATAAATAAAAATATATCTCCAGCAGACTTAGAAAGGAAATGACATAGGACCAAAAATAGAAAATTCAATGCAACCAGAAGAAAAAGAATATTTTCTTCCAAGTAAAAAAAATAAAACTGGCAAGAGGCTTTGAATGTAGAATATCTTTACCATGTGGTCAGAAAATAATCTATCAACCTAGATAGACCTACATACCCAATGAAACTATCTCTCAAGAACAAGGGTAAAATGAAAAAAAAATTTTTTTTTAATTTGAGAGAGGAAAAAAAATACACATGCGCACAAGCAGAGGGAGAGGGAGCAGACTCCCCACTAAGCATGGAACCCTACTCGGGGCTCTATCCAAGGGCCCTGAGATCATGACCTGACCCAAAGTCAGACACTTAACTGACTTAAGCCACCCAGGCACCGTGGAAAGTAGTTTCAGATAAAAATTGAGCTATCAATAGATTTGAATTAATTTCTAAAAAAAAAAAAATACTAATTAAAACACAAACTAGCTGACTAGATTAAAAGAAAAGCCCTGTAATATATTCTTTATAACAGACACCTAAAATTTAAGGACATTAAAAAAAATGACAGTAAAATAAGAGAAAAGGGTATTCCAGGTGTATTACCACCCAAACGAAGGTGGGACAGACTAAATAGATGCTAAGACAGAAAGCAAAATTAGGCAAGGAGAGGATCACAGCATAATAGAAAAGGTTCAATCTATGAGGAAAATAATGTCAAACTTTTACATATCTAATCAAAGTCTCAAAATACATAAAAAAAGTTAAAACTACAAAAAGTCAAGAAAAAGATGACTGCAACACATCTCTCTCAATAACAAGTGAAGCAGAAATTAATAAAGACAGTCTAAAGCATATAATTTACAACCTTGATCTAACAGAAACATAACAATTAGAGAATATATATTTGTCACAAGTACACACTGAAAAGTTATAATTCACTATGTACAGGGCCAGAAGTCCAGGGCAAGCAAATATTTTTTAAAAGATAAAATACATACTATATTCTCTGATAACACAATCTAGAAATGAATAATAGAAATGTTAGTGTAGATACATTTAGAAATTAAAAAACATGTTTCAAAGGAAAGTTTAAAACATGTAAGTCAAAGAAACCAAAATGAAAAATTTTAAAAGTACTTAGATTTGACAATAAAAACACTATAAATTAAACAATGTTAGATAAATCAAAATAAATTTTAAGCAAGTTTACAGCCTATTAATAACTTCCTTACACTAGGAAATAACAATGGCTGAAAATTAATGAGTTAAGAATGCAATTTAAGTTAGAAAAATAACATAAGGGTAAGTCCAAACACAGAAAAAGAGGTAAGTAAAAGAAAAAGAATCAATGAACTAAAACACAAAAATGTAATAGAAATAGGCCAAAAATTAATCACTTGCCTAGATTACTAAACTAGACTTTTGACAAAATTAATAAAGAAAAAAGAAAAGTCACACACAAATAATATTCAAAATGAGAAAGGGAACGTTAACAATAGATAAAGCAGAAATTTAAAAAGTAATTAAGAAAATACCATGAACCTGATGACAACTTAAAATTTTTGTTGAAAAGACAAATTGCTTAAACTTACCAAATTAAAAAGAAACAAAATCTGTAGTCCTATTACTACTCAACTGCTAATCACTACCAAATTATTAACAATTTACAATCCACCTACAAAGAAAACATTAGATCCAAATGATCTTAGAGGTAAATTCCACCAACCTTTTAAGAAACAAATCACTCTAATGCAAACTGTCCCAGGGAACAACAAAAAGAACTATTGTCTGATTAGTATAAGGCCAGTGTAACCTTAATGCCAAAATCAGACAAAATTGTCAATAAAGAAAAATGACAGACGATTTCACTCAGATACAAAAATCCTACATAAAATATTAGCAAATTCATTCCAGTAGTTCATGAAAAGACAATTCACTAAAATCAATTTGGGTTTATCTTAGTAAAGAACACAAAAGAGAATTAAGAATTTTAAAATATATTAATTGAAACCCATTACATTTAATAAATTAAAAAAGAAAACCACAAAATACTCAGTTTTTCTATCCCATGTAGAAAAGCATGTGACAAAATTGCAAAGACTCCCCTAATTAATAACACATTTTTAATGGGGAAACATTCCTTTTAAAATCAGGAATGAGACATGTATACCTACTATAATCACTTCTAACAACGATAATCATTTCTATTGAACACAGATGTAAAAGTATGCCATCATATTAAGACCAGAAAAAAAAATTTGAAGGGAAAATAATTGAAAGGAAGAACCAAGTGTCAATATTTGCAATGATACAATTATTCACACAGAACTCAAAAGAATTACAGAAATTCTATTAGAAATAATGAAAGTTTTTCAAGTGATGGCTAAAGATTAATATAAAAATCCATTAAATTTCTATTTAGCTAACAATAAAGTGAGAAAATAGAATCTTAAAAAATAACACCATTTATAAAAGCAACAAAACTAGAAACATCAGAATCAACATTTTAAAATTGTTGGATCTGTATGGAGAAAATCGTAAAACCACATTAAAAGACATTAAAAACCTAAATAAATGAAATACATACCATGTTCTCAGACAGGAACGCTCAAAATCTTAAAGATTTCAATTCTCCCTCATACTGATTCAATAATTCCAATTAATTCCCAAAGAGTTTTTCACATCATGTGATAAGTTGATTCTTAAAACAAGAACAAAGGTCCAAGAACATCTGAGACTCAAGACCTCCTGCCCCCCCCAAATAGCAAGATTTCTGGTAAAGCTAAAGGACTAATTATGACAGCGTGATCTAACACAGAGACAGTGAAGGAGACAAGTGGCACAGAAAGGGGTCAGAAACAAAACCATGCTGGTAAACAGAGGGCCAATTCCATGCATGGTATGAGACAGCTGCAGCCAAAGGGAGGAAAAAAATGAATGTGGATCACTGCCTCACTTGTACACAAAAATCAATACCAGATGAATTATGAATTTAAATGTGAAAGACATCATTTTAAAACTTCTAAAAAGAAACACAGGAGAATGTCTTTATAATTCCAAAGCGAGGTAAAGTCTCCAATTAGATTACATGAAAATTAAGAACTTCTGTTCACCAAAACACACCATAAGGAGTAAAAAGACAAGCCATGAACTGGAAGAAGATATTTACAGTGCATACAATCAATAAAAGATCAGTGTTACCAGTTTATTAGTTTTAAAAGACAACCCAAGAGAAAAATGGGTAAAAGATGACCAGATATTTCACAAAAGAGAAAGAGTTCATAAACATATGAAAAGATGCTCAAACTCATTAACAAAGAAATGCAAATTAAAATCACAATGACACATTCTTTCATATCATTTGGTTGGCAAATATCAAGATATCTGAGGATACGTGTTGAAGTAGATATGACTCAGCTATAACTCTTATACACTGCTTATCAAAGTATATAAATTGACAAAACTGCTGGCCAAAATACAAGGTGGTACAATCACTTCAGAAAACCATTTGGTAAAGTTGAACATTCATACCCCATAACCCAGGGATTTGACTTCTAGCAAATAGCTTACCATCGTAGTATTCCAACTTTCTTTACTCACAAACCACTAAAAATGTTTTAAATCATTTTCACACTAAGATGACATCTAAAAGTGTTCAGCCCAAGTTTAAATAATTGCAAATGATGAATTTCTTGGGATATTTAAAAAAACTGACGTACCATTGGCCTAAACTGTTATAGCATAGAATTGATCAAAAATTACTATATACACCGATAATTAGACATAAAATGTGAAATGTATTGCAAATGTCACTCTTGAGACGGAAAGCACCTGGATTAGAAAAAGCTTTCTCTAACACTATATACATATATGACTTACATATATATATGATTTGTTTATATACCGGACCTGCAATATATTTAATTATATATGTAATATACAATATGTTTACTTATATACTGAATATAGGATTTTGAATTACCTCTTTGTTTTCCATGGAGTTTTTCTGCTTGGGACAATGCCTTAGAAATACTCCATGTGGACAAGTGGTATGCCTTCCTTATCTTAAGGTAGAAGTGCTACTAGGAAAGATAAGGTGGAAAGTAGAACGGGAGGCCTCTAACACAGGCCTCGGGCATTATCAATTTTAAGAAAGAGTACACAGTGGAAATTGATTCAATAATATTACTCTCCCCCAAGTACTCCCTAGAAATATCATTATCCCGTTGGGGGTCATATATCAGGATGAAAATTAAGAGAAATTCTTATAACTGTGTACCAGAAGATAGGTACAAGAATCTTCATAATAGCAAAACCTAGAAATAGCCAAACCGTCAAGAATGTATACACTGTGTTATATTCACCTGTGGAATATTACACAGCAGTGAAAATTAATGACTTGTATCTCTACTCAATATCAGTGACTCTTAGAAACATTGAGCTTATGAAATAAGCAAGTCTTAGAAAACTGTATCCAGAATTCCTTTTTTTAAAAACTCAAACAACAGAAACCATAAAATACATTGTTGAGGGATACACACATATCTGACAAAATCATTTTTAAAAAGCAAGGAATGACAGACAATTCAGGATAGTCATTCTGGAGGTGAGCACATACAATACTGGTCATTTTGATTCTTGGATTGAGTGGTGTACTGATTGGTGTTCATTTTACTGTTTTGCTTCACAACCTGCATATACGTCACATATAATTTTTTATTTTTGTTACGTATGGTTTGACTGTACCAAATATTACATTAAAGAAGAAAAAAGGATTTTTCAAAACCATTCATATTTTTAAAATTACATCACCTCAACTGCCACTAGAGAGGTACATAAAACATACTATGGAAATTACTATCTTTACATCAACCATAGGTGCAAAATAAATTTTTACTGGATTTAATCTTATGAAGACCACTTGAGATAAAGACTGAGCCAGTTAGCTGTGAGAGATGAACCCATCTGACACATAGCTAGAGCAAAAGCCAAGGTGGCTACAAGCAAATTTAGCCATAAGCTAAAGTTATAAGGAAGCTGGTCAGTAAAGCAGAGACAAAAAAAGTAAAAGTCTAGTAACATAAAATATTAGCAAGGATGTGAGGAAATGGGTGTCCTCACTCAATACCAGTGAGAGTGAAAATTAGTACAATCATTCTGAGAGCTTCTGTGATATTTAGTTAAGTTGAAGATGCACATATTCTACTATCCAGCAACTCGACTATGAGGTGTTATCTCCTAGATACACCTTTCAAATGTGTGCGCAAGCAGACAAGTACAAAGGTGTTTCCTGCAGGATTGTTTTTAGAGTCGAAAACCAGAAACAACTTCAAAGTCCATCAGTTGGGAAATGGATAAAGTATGGTATATTCATACAATTGAATTCTATACCAGCAATTAAAATGAATGAACCAGAGATCACACAATTAACCAATTTGTATATAAAACCCCAAATTTGATGCTGATCAAAAAAAGCAAGTTGCAAAAAGATTTAATATCATTTAATACCATTCAGATTTAAAACACATACCACTGCATATTGTTTATGGATTCACTGTGAACCAACTCTAGAATACGCAAGGGAATGATACGCACAAATCTGAAGACGGTGGCTACCTCTAGAGAAGGAGGGGCAGGTACTCGGAGCGCCTCCAGTATCTGCAATTTTATCTCTTAAAATAAAAAAGGATCTGAAGCAAATTTGGCAAAATAATTACATTTGCAAATCTGATCGTGGGTTGGTTAGATTCCCCCTTTGTATCGTATATGAGAAATATTCCAGAAATTAAAAAGAAAAAAAAAAGGGAAGTTAGGCAAAGGTAAGAAAATTGATCAAATGAACAGAAAGAAATAATAGCAAAACGCAGCCTTCGAGCGCAGAGCACGAGCCTTTGAGCAAGAAGCAGCGTAGGAGGTGGATCTTTAACCGATCCGAGAGGTTTCTTTCCCTGTGTGTCCTTGTAACAAACCCCATTTCCCTTAGGATAAAATGCCCATTTCTTGCAATAAAAAAAAAAAAAATGTCCTAACTAGAGCTGTGACTATGAGAAAACTGCTGCCAAGGGAGGAGTAAAAAATCCGCACGATGTCTACTGAGTGCCCTCGCCAGGATGTTGGGCAGAATCGAGAGAGGGAATTTATGCGAACGCCATCAAACGCTAGACGAACCCGTTACGTAGTATATACCAAGGACGCCCAGGCACAGCGACAACGCATTTGCCCAACTGGCGTGTACGTGTGTGTATTCTGCAAAAGGAGTCTTTGCAACTGAAGGGCTCAGGGCATCTACGGCGCTTCTGGAAAAAGCACTCTGCACCGTCACCAGCCAAAATTCACCTACGTTTTGGCTCCATTTCTGGCCCTGGACTCCCCCCCCCCCCAATTCCATCCCCAGAAAAAGCTGGCTGCACAAGCCACACTCGACGTCGTCAACACTCCCGCCGCCGTCTCCCCCTTCCCACCCTCGTCGGGGGCGGGCGGAGGGAGGGAGGGAGGGAGGGAGGGAGGATGCTCCCGGGAGGAGGGAGGGGGGAGCGCTGGGTTGGTTTTCCCACCCACCCCCACCTCCCACCTCCAGGTCCCCTCCCTGGGAGGCAAGCCGCCCCCGGGCCTCGACTGCGGTGGTCACCAACACCGGGGGCGCAGACGGGAGGCACACGAGCGTTCAGGAACGCGCACGGGGGAAGGGAGACCCTGGTTCAGGGCCCAGGCACGGGGGTGGGGGATGCTCTAGGACGGGGTCAGGACTGCAGAAGGCGCAGTCCCCGGAAGGGGGAGGGGGCGGGGCGGGGACACGCAGAGGGCGCCCCCCCCCCAACGAGCTCGAGGCGCCCCCGCCGCGACCCAGAACGGGCGCGACACAAAAGAAGCCACACGCAGGCGCGTGCCCGCAGCCCGGCCCCGGCCCCCGCGGCCTGCAGGGGGGTCGCCCTCCCGACGAGTGCGCGGGCGGCGGGGCAGGGGGACGCGCGCACAAAGGGGCCACTCCCACCCTCACCCCGGGGCGGCGGCGGGGGGGGGTCCGAGCTCGCCGGAGGGGACCGTGAGACAAAGGGGACACACCCCCCGGGTCCGACAGGAGCGGCCACACCCCCCAGCGCCCCCGCACCCCGACCCACGCAGACACACCGCGGGCACCACAGCGAGCGACACCCACACTCACCACACACCCACGGAGGGGGTGTGCAGGGCCCCTCTCCCCGGGCATCTCGGCTGCAGCGCGACAAGGTGACACATCCGGGAGCCCCGCCGCGCGCCAGATGTGCACTCACCGGGGCCCGCCGCCCGCGAGCCTCGGACGCGGGCCGCCGCCGACGCCGCCGCCTCGGGCCCTCCACGTCAGCGGGCGGGCGGGCCGGAGCGGGCGGCGGCGCGGGCGGCAGGCGCGTCACGTGGGCAGCGCGCAGGCGCAGGCGCAGGCGCAGGCGCGCCGCCCCGCCCCCTCCGCGGCCGCGAGCCCGGCGATCCGGCGGACGAGGGTCGCGCTGCGCCTGCGCCTGCGCCGGGGTCGGGGGAGGGGGCGCCGCGGCCGCCCGGCCTTTCCTTCGGCTTTCCCCTCTCGCCCCCGCGGAGGCTCCTCGGAAGGCGCCTGCGCAGGGGACTGGGCGCGGAGGCGGCCGAGCTGTCGGGAGGGGCTTGCGTGGGCGCTTCCAACACCTCAGGTCGAGGGCCTGCCCCCCCCCACGTCTCTACCCTAGAATGAGAAACGGAAGCTCCCCCGGGGGGGCAGGACCGGTCCCCGCCCTGCTGTGACCTCTCTGCTGGGAGGCGAAGCCTGCGGGGCGGGAGCGGCGCGCGGCCCTCCCCTCCTCTCCCCTCCCCGACCTTCCCCTCCCCTCCTCTTCTCTCCTCCGCTCTCCCCTCCCCTCCTACCCTCTCCCCTCCCATCACCTCCTCCCCCCTCCCCTCCCGTCACCTCCTCTCCCCTCCTCTGCTCTCCTGTCCACTCCCCTCCTCTTCCCTCTCCTCCCCTTCTCTGCTCTCCTGTCCCCTCCCCTCCCGTCCCCTCCTCTGCTCTCCTGTCCCCCTCCCCTCCCGTCCCCTCCTCTCCCCTCCTGTTCCCTCCTCTACCCTCCCTTTCTCTCTCCTCCCCTCCTCTCCTGTTCCCTCTTCTGCTCTCCCCTCCCCTCCTCTCCCCTCTCCCATCCCCTCCCCTCCTCTCCCCTCCCTTTCTCTCTCCTCTCCTCCCCTCCCTTTCTCTCTCCTCTCCTCCTCTCCCTTCCCATCCCCTCCCCTCCTCTCCCTTCCCATCCCCTCCCCTCCTCTCCCCTCCCCATCCCCTCCCCTCCTCTCCCCTCCCCTCTGCCGCAGGGAGCGCGCGCCCGCCCAGTGTGGGGGGAGCGTGCGCGTGCACGGCCAGTCCGTGCTGGAGGTGTGCGTGCAGGGGGCTGCTTTAGGCTGGGGGGTGGGGGCGGGAAGCTGCGGAGGCTGTGCCCCTAGCAAAGCGATGAGGCTGCAACAGACCAATGTGAGGAGGGGGGAGTAAATCATTGATGATGGTTGTGTTTCCTTCCCACAGATTGTCTAAAGCCACAGGGAAAATGGTGGAAAATTCACCGTCGCCATTGCCAGAAAGAGCGATTTATGGCTTTGTTCTTTTCTTAAGCTCCCAATTTGGCTTCAGTAAGTACTTCCCTGATGGATGGCCAGTGCCTTTTTGTTCTTGTGTTCAACGGCAAGGATATTACTGCATTTGTTCTTAGAATGTGCACGTGATGACCTGTGATTCTTTTCTACTCCTCTGTCTCTTTTTTAAGAAAACCTGAAGGGAATTTGCACTTGGTGTTATTGATATGTCCGACACTAGCGTAAATAATCTCAATAAATATTTATACAGCACCAGACAGGATCGCAAAGTAGGTAATACCCGGTCCCTGTGGTCATAGTTTTCTGGACAAGACCAGTAAATCTACAATTAACAGTGTGAAAAGAGCCAAGGGAACCCAGTAGAGAGACCTGAAATCAGACTGGGAAATCAGGGTGAGGTTTCTCCCCAGCAATAAGAAGAAAGGTGTGGGAAGGTTTTGAATGACAGGTTTAGAGTGAGTAAGTTGGTGCAGGTGCAGCTTATGGGAGCCAGGAAGTGAAGAGAATTATAGGGCTGGAGAAGCTATGTGCACTTTACTTTGCTAGATCTGGCTTAGTTCTTGGAAAATCCTATTTTCCAATAAGGAAAACTGATGCTTACTGAGACAGTAATGTGCCCAGGTTCGCACAGCAGGCCCAAGGTCTCTCCTCTAAAGGATGTAGGAATTATAAGGAAAACAGGAGAAAGATTGAGTGTCCCCATCCAACTTTTTGGAATTTTGTGGAATACGAGGGAGGTGAGGGACTGTAGTATTTCTGAACTCTGACTTCATCAGTACAGCCAGCCATGCTGTTGGCAAGGGTAGTGTATGGACTAAAGAAGTTGTGACTTGAGTTCAAATCCTGACTCCTCCAGGGACTAGCTGTGTCACCCGGGACCATTTGTCTAAGCTCTTCAACCTTCAGATTCTTCATCTTAAAAGGGTGGTGATAAAATTCTGTAGGTTGCCGTTTAGTTTCATTGATTGTTTCCTTCCCTATAGAAGTAGAAGCTTTTCATCTTGATGACATCCCAATAGTTTATTTTGGCTTTTGTTTCCCTTGCCTCCGGAGACATACCTAGTAAGAAGTTGTTATGGCCCGCAACCAAAAATTAATGCTACAAATTCTTGAGTGCTTACTACTTGCCACTGTTATAGGCAAAGGAGGAGCAAAATATTCAAAAATTTCCTGCTCTCAGAGGGTTTTCATTCTAGTAGGGGGAGATAGCCAATGAACAAATTAAATAAGTAATACAAATAGGATGTCAGACGATAACATGTACCATGGGGAAAAATTAAGAAAGGAGGATAAGAAATGGGAGGAGGTTGCTGTTTTAAATACAGCAGTCTGGAAATGCCTCACTAAGAGATAAGATTTCAGCACAGACATGAAAAGTGGGAGTTAGCCATGGGGCAATCTGGGGAAAGAGTCACCCAGACAGCGAATAGCCAGTACAGAAGCCTTTAGAAGAGCATGCCTGTGGGTTCACGGAACAGGTGCAGGTCAGTGAGGTTGAAGCCTGAGAAAGTGAGGCAAAAGTAATAGGATAGAGAAGTCAGAGGCCATACCTGGCAATTATGATAAAACTAGGTAGTGGGTGCAGTAGGACTACACAATTCTCTGTACATTTAAATATTTACTGAATTAAAAACAAGGCAATTTTCTCAGGCTGCTCAGGCCACTATAACAAAATGTCATAGACTGGGAGGCTTAAACAGTAGACATTTATTTTTCAAGGTTCTGGAAGCTAGGAAGTACAAGATCAGGGTACCAGCAGGTTGGGTTCTTGGTGAAGGCCCTCTTCCTGGCTTGCAGACAGCCACCTTCTTGCTGTGTCCTTACAGAGTGGAGGGAGAGTGAACAGAAGCCCTGGTCTCTTATTTTCCTTTAACGGCACTAATCCCATTATGGGACACCACCCTCGTGATTTTGGGAAGTAGTTAGGTTTAGGGATTGGAGCTTCAATGTATGAATTTGGGGAACATGAACACATCCAGTCCCTAACAGTAATTACGGATTTTGATGATAACATTGAAGGAAATAAAGGGAAATGATAGGGAGTAAAGAGAGTGTGGTGGATGGGACACAATTGGAATAGCAAGTGAGGGGGAACACCTCATTTAAGAAGGTGATAGTTGACTAAGACATGATGGAAGAGAAGGAGCCATCCATTAAAAGAGTGAAAGGAAGAACATTCCAGGCAGACAGTCTCAATGGCCTTGAGACATTGTCTGGAGCTGGTGCATGGGGCACCAAGACTGGACATTGGAGAGGTGGGCAGGACATTTAAGTTCTTGCAAGCCCTGGCAAGGAGTTTGGATTTTATTCTAAAGGTATCTAATTTATTTTAAGAGTTTGAGCAGACAAGCAGTCTGGTCGGATTTATATTTCTGGAAGATCACTTATTGCTGTGTAGAGGAGTGCTCAGGTACTCTGTGTCCTCAGGCTTGATTTTTTTTTTTTTTTTTGAAAGAGAGAACAGAGAATCTTAAGCAGGCTCCTCACCCAGCATGAAGCTGATCCCACCATCCTGAGGTCACGACCCGAGCCAAAATCAAGAGTCAGATGCTTAACCAGCTAAGCCACGCAGGTGCCCCATGGCTTGAAGTTTCTAGACATCCACTCTAAAAACCTAGGAGTTGTTCTTCACGTACACTTTTTCTTCTCGTAACTCATCCGCTTCTGCCATATCTGGTGGGGCTTCTTACTGCCTCTGCTCTTCCACAGATCCATCCTGCACACAATCATCACAGCTCTCGGGATGCCTGGGTGGCTCAGTGGTTTACCATCTGCTTTCAGCTCAGGTCATGGTCCCCGGGGTCCCGGGATTGAGTCCCATGTCGGGCTCCCTGCATGGGGCCTGCTTCTCCCTCTGCCTGTGTCTCTGCCTCTCATGAATAAATAAAATCTTAAAAAAAAATTATTACAGCGCTCTCTCTGGATCATGGCAGGAAACACCATTTTCTCCTGTTTACTTTCTTCCTCATCAGTAGACCCCAACCATATACCTTTTTAATCTGGCTGATCCCCTGACTCCTCTGCTTAAAACCCCTGGTTGGGGTATGAATAGTCATTTCTCTTTGTAGTTTTTATATCTTTAAAGTTTAAAGCAGACAAAATATCCAGTTCACTCCATTGCTTACAGCATAAAGTCCAAGTTCCTTGTACAATATATTTCATGATCTGGGACCTGTTCACATTCCCATCTTTATTTCTCAGCACTCAGAGCCTTACACTTTATGCCGCATTCACTCTAAATGGCTTAAAGTTTCCCCAAGATGCATCATACTCCTCCTCACTTGCGTGTTTTTACTAATGCTCTTGCTATGCCTGAAAGTATAGTATGAACACACTGCTTAGGTTCACATTCCAGTGCAGTAACTTTTAGCTGGGAGATCTGAAGCAAGTTGCTGAAATTCCCTGTGCCTTGATTTTTTTCATTAATGGATTAGGGATAATAATACCGTGCACCCTAGAGAGTTTGGAAAGGGTCAAATGAGCTAAGGCATGGGAAGTTCTTACCATCACATTTGACTCATTTCTGTCCTACACACTAGTTTGTGAGAATTGGGACTCTCTTATTTCTATATAGCCTTGACTTTTACATAGTGCCTGGCATAGAGTAGATGTTGAATAAATGTTCATTCAGTCAATTAAGTAAAGTCAGTCACTTCCATTTATGATTTTAGGTTATGCTTCCCTACTCTTTGTATTTCATTCATCTTAAAAGCTATCACAAGCTGCAACCCTGTCCCATGCCACCTTTTCTCTCTACTATCTAATCACACCAATTCCCTCACCAGATCCCTTGTGTTCTCTCTGTGGATCATGGCAGGGATCACCGTTTTCATGTATTTCCTTCCTTCCTTATCTTCAGGCCCCAGATGTATACATTTTTAACCTGGCTAATCCCCTACTGATTATTTAGGCCCTGGTTTAGTCATTTCCTCCAGGAAACCATTAACATCACCTCTATCAGCACTAGTGTGTGAGCTAGGTCTTTTTTTTTTTTTTTTAAGATTTTATTTATTTATTTATTCATGAGAGACACACACAAAGAGAGGCAGAGACACCGGCAGAGGGAGAAGCAGGCTCCATGCAGGGAGCCCGACGTGGGACTCGATCCCGGGTCTCCAGGATCCCACCCTGGGCTGAAGGCGGCACTAAACCGCTGAGCCACCCAAGCTGCTCGGCTAAGGTCCTTCTTATGTGCTCTTTTATCACCGTTTATTACGCATTAGCACTTACCACAATGTGGTGAAAATACCAATTTACTCGTCTCTATTCCCTCCCCTAGATTTTAAGCTCAGGAAGGGCAGAGCCATGTCTTTTGGGTTCAGCGTTGTCTCTAATGCTCCCGATGTAGAATATGACTCCTTCAACATCATTGATATGGATAGTTTGAAATTTGTCTCTGCCCCTTACCTTGGGCAGATGCCGTGACATTTCTGAGATTTCATTTCATCTGTAAAAATGGCAAAAATGGCATACATATCCTAGGATTGTTTTAAGGATTGAATTAAATAATGCGTGTGAAATGCTTTGAAGTGTGCTTAGCCCACAGTGAGTGCTTGGGGGTTAGCTGTTGTTTTTACGTATTTACACCAATAAAAGGTGTCACAAAGACTGGGCTTGAGGGAAATAAGATTATATTCTGTAAGATGAGGTGGATTGGAACAACGGTAGATTATTTATTTATTTATTTATTTATTTATTTATTTATAGCCAATTGCTAGGTGCTACAAGTAACACAACAATTGCTATGACGTGATTTCTGCCCTTAAATTGCTTAACATACAATGTGAGAGTTAAGACATGTTTTAAAAGAAAGACTAATGGGGGACACCTGGTGACTCAGTGGTTGAGCGTCTGCCTTTGGCTCAGGGCATGATCCTGGAGTCCTGGGATTGAGTCCCACATCGGGCTCCCTACATAGAGCCTGCCTCTCCCTCTGCCTGTGTCTCTGCCTCTCTCTCTCTCTCTCTCTCTCTCTCTCTCTGTCTCTCTGTCTCTCTGTCTCTCTGTCTCTCATGAATAAATAAATAAAATCTTTAAAAAAGAAAGAAAAGACTAATGGGAAACTGAGTTGTTTAATGGGCGCAGAGTTTTGGATTTGCAAGATGGTGATATTTTAGGCGTCCGTTTCACAGCAAGGCAAAACATACCACTTTATCACAGATATTATAAGAATGATGTAAGTAAGGAGCTAGGAGACTGAAAGGAAAGAAAATTCATTTCTGAGGTTATCAGGAAACCTTCAAAAAGGTTTTTGGTTTTTGTTAAAGATTCATTTATTTTAGAGAAAGAGCAAGAGAGCATGTGTGAGTGAGAGGGCCAGAGGGAGAGGAAGAGAGAGAATCATGAGTAGACTCTGGTGAGCACAGAATCTGATGGGGGCTCCATCCCACAACCCTGAGATCATGACCTGAACCAAAATCAAGAATTAGATGCTTAACTGACTGAGCCACCAGGCACCCCAGGAGCTTACTGTTTTATCTGAACCTTGATAAATTAGATGCCTGCCTTACTGACTTCTCTTTATTCTTGTGTTTGTTCCTTTCTGCAGTACTATATCTCGTGTGGGCTTTTATTCCTGAATCTTGGCTAAACTCCTTAGGCTTAACCTATTGGCCTCAAAAGTAAGTTTAATGTTTTTCTTAAATAAATATATATTAATCCTGTTTTTAAGGATCATAATTTTTCCTTATGACTACCCTAATTTTAAATATTTATTCTTTTAAGATCCACAAATAGCCGTATAGAAGTGTAAAGCTTTCAAAGGTCATTATCTATACACCTCTAATTCAAGATAGTGAGGTGAACACACATCATTTTCTCCATTTCCTCCCAACATCTTGCTAAGATAACACTATAGAAGGAAAATATTTAAGATATAAACCTACAGGAACACATAATGGGATAGCAGATAAGTATCAAAAGAATTCAAGGAAATGGATTGCAGACAGGTGAGAGGTAACTGACTGAGTTCCCACTTTTTCCATGGTGCTGTGGTAGAGAATGATATAGGACTGCAGCTTTTCATTACAGACTTTGTAGAACAATTTGACTATTTTATATACATGTATTACCTTAAAAAAATCAAATTTAAAAAGCATTTTAACTTGGTGATGGACTCTTGAGAATGATGACTTTTTAGACAGTTACCTACTTTAATATTCTTTTGCAGATATTGGGCAGTTGCATTGCCTGTCTACCTCCTCATTATTATATTAATTGGTTATGTACTCTTATTTGGAATAAACATGATGAGTACCTCTCCACTCAACTCCATTCATACAATCACAGGTAAATAAATGAATATCAAAGGGAGCTGCTGGGGAGGGGGCCGGGGAGGGAAGAGCAAGGTATTAGCAGTTTTATCAAGAAAAGCAACCAAGAATAGACTGCAGTAGGTAATACACATCACCACAGTAAAAAGAACCCAGGAGAAATAAATACAAAGTTATACCAGAGGAAATGTTTATGTGGCAGAAATAAATTCTGATGAATATGCTATTTACAGCAGCAGTCACCAGGTATATTTTTCCATAAAGACCACAAGTATATATGTTCCTTAGCAACTGTGCCTGAGAAAAATATTTCATCCTAAATGGGCAGTGTTGATCAAAGAATAGCAAATAGGTCCATGCAGACCTTATGCAATAGAAGGATACGAGAGTGTGCATGTTTCTCAGGATCTTTGTATACACCTGACCCCAATGATGGTAGATAGAAAAGCCACAGTGTGTTTTTGGAGGGTTTTTTTTTTTTAATTCCCCTAAGTCTAAAGATTAAAATAAATAACTGACCTTGCTTAGATTCTAGGAAGTAAAGGGGGTTTTTTTTGGAAGTGAAATGTTTCTAAGTTGCTTGGTGTGGTTTTGTTTTTTTTCTTTTTTTTTTTTTTTAACTTTTCAAAACCTTTTTTTCATCAGCCTATACAATGTATTTTGAAAACCAGTTATAGTATTTTTAGACTTCTTTCTGGTAAGCTAGTGTATTCCCTGCATTCTCGCCTAGAATTACAGCAAATAGACAATTTGTGCAAAGAGGGGACATTGTTAAGTTTGCACAAATGTACCAAATGATTTAATAATGTGGGGGTATTGGGTTAAATATATTTTCTAAGCCTGGGTATAATTCTGTCCCTATGAGAAATGTGCAGATGGGACTTTATTTTTTTTTTTAAGATTTATTTATTTATTTATGATAGAGAAAGAGAGAGAGAGAGAGAGGCAGAGACACAGGAGGAGGGAGAAGCAGGCTCCATGCCGGGAGCCTGACGTGGGACTCCATCCCGAGACTCCAGGATCCCGCCCTGGGCCAAAGGCAGGCACTAAACCGCTGAGCCACCCAGGGATCCCCACAGATGGGACTTTAATCATCATTGTGTAGATGAATGAAATATTAATTTCTCAAACTAGTTAGAGATGCAGAAAGTACTTTCCTGATTTTCATTCTAATTGGGACATTTCTTCTAAAGAGAGAATTTAAGTAGCCTTTTAATTATGTTCAACATGGTATTTGTTATTATGCAGATGTTAGCCTAGTAAACTATGTGGTGGATCTCCATAAGGCACAGAAAGAATAGAAGAACTTGCTTGGGTAAACAGAACTTTTTGTCCTCTTCTTACAGATAACTATGCTAAAAATCAACAGCAGAAGAAATATCAAGAAGAGGCCATCCCAGCATTAAGGGATATTCCTATTAGTGAAGTAAACCAGATGTTCTTCCTTGCAACCAAAGAACATTATGCCAAAAACTAAATTGTATGTAGACTCACACTACACGCATTTAAGTTTTTGATGTAATGATTTTAACCATAATTATTTTGATTCTTACACACCATATTGAAATGTTAAAAACGGGATCCCTGGGTGGCGCAGCGGTTTAGTGCCTGCCTTTGGCCCAGGGCGCGATCCTGGAGACCCGGGATCGAATCCCACGTTGGGCTCCTGGTGCATGGAGCCTGCTTCTCCCTCTGCCTATGTCTCTGCTTCTCTCTCTCTCTCTCTCTCTCTCTCTCTCTCTCTCCTCTCTCTCTCTCTCTATCATAAATAAATAAAAATTTTAAAAAAAAGTAAATTGCTTCTTTTAAACCAATTTTTAAAATATTAGTTATTAATGAACAGAATAAATAAAATACTGCATTACCATATAGCAGACTTTTTAAAAAATAAATATCAGTAAAAGCAAGAAGTCCCTCCAGAGAAGCGTTCATGTTGCAATTTTTAAATGGCAATTATGTCCTTCCTACTGTTTTTTCTTAAAGGCCTAGAATTCAAACTCTTAGATTTGGGAGAAGGGTACGTTTAATTTGTGTGTTCTTGCCATCAGATTTGCGTCTCAGAATCATTTGTTGAGTACTTAGCACATACCAGGTATTTTTCTAATTGTAGCAATGTTAAGATTCTTTCTGAAAGTGCTTACGTATTTTTTTTTGTTTTGTTTTTGTTTTTTAAAGATTTTATTTGTTTATTCATGAAAGACACAGGGAGAGAGGCAGAGACACAGGCAGAGGGAGAAGCAGGCTCCATGCAATGAACCCTGTGTGGGACTCGACCTCAGAACCCTGGGATCACTACCTGAGCCAAACATGAATGAATATCACACACATATGTTAGGGGGAAAAAATAGTCATAAAAGAATATATACTGTATGATTCCATTTATATGAAACTCGAAAGCAGGAGAAACTAACCTTTGGTGATAAATACACAATAGCAGTATTTACCAGGAAAGGCATGAGGGAACCTGCTGAGAGGTTAGTCTTGATCTGGGTTGTAGTTACTTGCCTATAACAGAAGCATAGCATCAATATCATGTAACTAGTGCTTTTTAACATTGAATTATATTTGGCATACAATATTATATTAATTTCAGGTGTATAAGGTAGCAGTTTGATATTTTTATGCATTACAAAAATGTTCACCACAACAGGATTAGTTCTCATCCGTCACCATGTAAAGGTATTACAGTATTATTGACTGTGACAGAGAGCAGCTGTTTCTTTGGAAGAATGAATAGTTAGCAGAGCAGTCCTCCCACCTTTGTGAGACTCTTGCCCAGTTCAGAATCATCCTTTTGTATTCCCCTCAGGCCAGTGATAGGCCTAAGAAGGTTTTGAAAGGGGTCAGAAAAGGCCCTTAATTAACTCCAGTATCCCACCCACCTCAAGCCTCCTATTAACTTTTCATTGTTTCCCAACGACATTGTTTTTATAGCTCACAAGAGATTATGTCCATGTTTCTCAAATTATGGGATTCGATTCTTTCCAGGGCCTTGGTCAGTTTAGTGCAACGATTCTCACTATTTTTAAAAAAATCTCAGGACTCCTTTGTACTCAGAGTGTTTCCAAAGAGCTTTCATATATGTGGATATACGTAGACTAAAATAGGAATTTTAAAAATACTTGTTTGTAAATAATAAACCCATTACATTTTGATATATTTAAATAACATTTTATGAAAAATAACTATATTTCCTAAAATTTAGCTAGGCGAGTAGCATTATTTTACAATTTTGCAAATCTCTTTAAATGTCTGCCTTAATGGAAGACAGCTGGGTTCTCCTATCTGCTTCTGTATTCAATCCATTCCAATAGCGCATGTCACAAAGCCTCTGGAAAACCACTGCACGTTCGTGAGAGAATGAGAGCGGAAAAGAGAAATAGCACCTTAATGGTTTTATGAAATTGGTTTTGACCTCACAGACCCCCTGAAACAGAGTCTCCAGACTTCGCTTTGAGAACCGCCGCTTAGTGGGCCTCAACTAGAGAAAGAAGGAGTGAGTGAGTGATGAGAGTGTGTGTGTGTGTGTGTGTGTGTATGTATGAACTAGCGTAGGATACAGTATTGTACTTGGTACGGATAAATATCTTGATTGAAGACCTGGCCACGTCAGATCCTTTCTAGTCCACCCCTTACTCCAGCTACTGATGCCCTTTGATCAGGTCAGCACAGGTGCCACTCAGCAGTGCACCCTGGAGAAAGGCGGCTCAACACCCAAAGGACCCCATGGAGCTCTCTGTGGCAGGCATCCATCCCCCATCAAAGCAGTTGTGAGCTTCATTTTCGTCAGCTCCGGAAGGTCTTGGGAGACTGAGCTGCAGTCACCATGGCAACGGTGACCTCAGCAATGCATGCCTGTATTGGCTCTTCAGTTTTGCTCCCTTGCTGCCCACTCCTCCCCAGTGTCACTTCCCAAATAAACTGCCCACACACAAGCTTTTGTCATAGGCTCTGCTTTCATGGGAAACCCAGCTGAGATGTTTTTATTTTGTAAAAAACTGCTTCAGTTACAGGGCCAGGATATGTAATGCATTTCCCTGCTGCATATTGTAATTAAGAAAAATGTTTGAAAAAAACACTGTTTTACAATAAGCCCAAGTAATAGTATAAAATACCCCCAAAATGTATGCAGTATAAACATTTTCCAGTCTTAAGAAAACCCCCTCCAGTAATTAGATTCTCAATAAGAATTTCATTATGGAAGTCCAAATATGAAACCACCTTAATGATAAGCCAAGAGAATTCAAATCCAAAATCCTTCCCACCCTAATTTCTTGATTTTCCCTGTTTGAGCAGGATCTCAGTCAGGAGCCTAGGTTTTCCCCAGAAGCTGATGCCTAGGGTCTCATTTGAATAGGTGTCACTTCTTCAGCAAACTGATCCAACCCCAAACTTCTATGTCCCACTTTCTCAGGGAGTCAGTGGGACAACCAATATATAATACCAGCCCCATACCCACAGAACTTAGAAAACCTGAATAAATCCAGGGCTGGCACAGTTGTCCCAAACCCAGTACATTGGACAATAGAGATCCCCCTCCTAGCCAGTCACTACAGTGCAGCCTGGATGGGATGTGGGGAAGGGGAGGCGGAAAAGAAGGGGCTCTTCTTGATTTGTCTTCCCAAGGTGCAGGTCAGGCTGTGGCAGTTGTCAAGATCTTCTCATTTAGCGTAAAACTCCGTTTGGTTAATTGTGGTACTACTTTGGAACAGGCAGAAATTTACTTATCCCTAGGAGCACCTGGGTGGCTCAATCAGTTAAGCATCTGACTCTTGATTTCGATTCAGGTTATGAGATGGAGCCTTGCAATAGGCTCCGCTGGGCATGGGTGGGGGCTGCTTAAGATTCTCCATCCCCCTCCCCTGCTCATTCTTGCTCGCTCAATCGCCCTCTCAAAAGAAATTTACTCATCCTTTTCTAATTGTTCTAGACACAACCAAAGTTCATTTTTCAAAAAACACTATTTTTTTTTTTTTTTCAAAAAATAGCCACCAAATCAGAATGGAGCCACATAGAGCCAGTGGATATCTCAGTGGTCACCTGTGTGGACTTATGACCAACAACCAACTCTTCTCTGCTGGAAATACAATAGAGATCTCAGGAACCAAAGGAGCCACGGAGTTCGAAGTGATGACCTTATTGAAAATCAGTGAAAATTCTTGAGCAGAGGCATTTGTGGGCTGAGATTTTATATCTTTCACATGGGCCAGGAGAAAAACTCTCTCCAATAATTTAATACCTGTCTCAGGCTATTTCTGCAAATCCAGTGTTGAAGCTCTGCTTGTATAGGTCACAGTCATAGAAAGCCATATGGCCAGAGCAGGATGACGCCAGCCAGAGCCTCAGAGTGACTCAAATGTCACTCTCCAATCTCACCATGGTTGGCCAGGCTGGCTCACTTGCGTTATAAAGCCTGTTTACATGGCCCCTGCGTATTACAAACAGCTGTGAGTCAGTCTGCACCAGCTGCTGCGGCGGCTTCAAGAGGCCCCATCCTGCCCTCTGACACTGGTTTCCAGGACCCCCTCTTTTGACTGTTCTCAATGAACCACGGGGTGGCATGCGCTGGAGTAAGCATAGCCACCCCTCACCACTATCCCATGAAGGACAAGCACCCAACAGGAATTAAAGTTCAGTGTCCACTTTATCATTGATGGGGCCAGATGGTCAAGTGCTGCATAAAAATGAAGCCAAAACCAAACTTTCTTCCTTAAGTCAGATGTGAGGAGGGCTGGGCCTGCAGCTCTAGACTTGTCCCAGCCATCTGCATGCACCAGAGACCATGGAGGGCTGCCACCTGGGTGGTCCTGGCAAATAGCAGACATCCCACTAGTTGCCATTTCTCACCCATCTTCTCACCCATTGGATAAGTCACACCCCCTCCCCGTTGAGTGTTAAGGAGTGTGGGATAGAGTGCAGGAGTGTGTTCCCTAATCCTTCCCCAGGAAGGCAGAATGGTTTTAGTCACTGAGGCAGAAATATGAGGAGAAAGACCATGGTTTCCTACACAGGACATTTAGGTTGTCTCCTGTTTTCCCCTATTATAAACAACTTCTTTGTGGATAAGCTTTGTGAAGTTGTGTCCTTGGGCTAGGTTCTTGATGTTGGATTTGTTACAGGGTCAAAGGGCTTGAACATTTTTAAGATACTTAATATGGGATCCCTGGGTGGCGCAGCGGTTTGGTGCCTGCCTTTGGCCCGGGGCACGATCCTGCAGACCCGGGATCGAATCCCACATCGGGCTCCCGGTGCATGGAGCCTGCTTCTCCCTCTGCCTGTGTCTCTGCCTCTCTCTCTCTCTCTGTGACTATCATAAAAAAATAAAAAAATAAAATTAAGATACTTAATATATAATAGACTGATCTCCAAAAAGGTGGTATCTATAAACACGATCCCTGCAGTTCACTAACATTAATCTGGTGTGATGGTTAATTTTATGCATCAACTTGACTGGGCTAAAAGAAGCCCAGGCAACTGGTAAAACAGTATTTCTGAATGAGTCTGTGAAAGTGTTTCCAGAAGAGATTAGCATTTGAATCAGACTGGGTAAATTAGACCTACCCTCTCCAGTGTGGGTGGGCATCCAATCCTTTGAGGACCCAGAATAGAACTAAAAAGTGGAGGAAGGGTGGATTCTCTCTCTCTCTTGAGCTGGGACATCCGTCTTCTCTCCTTGGACCTCAGAACTCCTGGTTCTCAGACCTTCAGATTTGGACTGAATTATACAACAGGCTTTCCTGGTTCTCCAGCTCATGGATGGCAGATGGTGGCTTATGGCAGGCCCCATAATTACATAAGCCAACTCTTCTGTATAAGCAAATCTCTTCTGTATCTATGTGTATTGCTGTTGGTTCTGTTTCTCTGGAAAGCCATGACTAACACTGGCCATGAAGTGCTCCTCGCTTCTGGAGTATATGCAATGCCACCATGTTCCACTTTTCCAAATCTTACTAAGTATGTTTTGATTTCTCACTGTCCACTGTTGATAGGAATTTCATAATCATTCATTCAGGGATGAGGGGGAGGGGGCCTTCCTCACTCTTCCTTGGGCTGTGTATGCTTATGCTAGCCAAGAACAAGCATTTCATCTGTCATGCTTGTTAGCTCTCTGCCACTGTGCCTTTCCCAGACCTCTTGCCACACCTCCTCCTTGCTCTGATCACAGACTGCCTTGGGCTCGTGAGGCTCATGCTCGGGGTCCACAGACCGCCTGCTGACCACACCTACTCAAGGCCCCCCTCTCCCAGACCTCTGTCCCTCTGTCCCTGTCTCGGGACACCCAGGCATCAGTGCTGGGGTGGGCACCCAACCCAACAGACGGGCTTTGGCATCCCCTGGTGTTCCATCTCTCAGCCTTCTCTGAAGTGGTTCCCCACTTTCAATGAGGTACATGATGACCTGGAATAAAGCTCGCTTTCCCTTGCAGCAGGACACTGTGACCTCAGTTTTTTTTCTGGGCAGTACATTGGACGGAAGGGGAAGGAAGGACACTTTTGTAAAGCGTCTTTCAAGGAAGAGTCATGCCCTGCTTTGGCCCTCCTCATTTCGCTCGCTGCCTGGGTGTAGATTTAATGAGTGGACATCAAGGTGCCCCTTAGACTGTGAAGTGACCTTAAGAATAGAAACCACACAGCAGCAGAGCAAAAAGATTGTAAGAGCCCAAATCCTGACATCCTACCGGCCCTGGATGGCTTACCTCTGGACTTGGCCAGAGAAATGTCCTTCTATCTTGCTTCAGCCACCGTATTTTGGGTTGTCCAATCATAGCCAAATCTAAGCCTAACAATAAAATACAGTTCTCTACAGCGTTCAGGCACAAAGCCATCATCTTTGTCCTGCTGATTGCCAGAACGGTCGTGGATGTCTAATTTCAACCTTGAAGTGGCAAAAATCACCTGAGGAGCTGTTAAAATGCAGGTTCCCAGCTCTAGTAAGTCTGGAAGGTCCTGGAATCTGCCCTATTAACAAACCTCCTTGGAGATTCTGCTGGAAATAGGCCATGGACTGCATATTGATAGTGGGCCTTGGAAACCACAAGCCCAGGCAAAGTCTCCGTCATCTGCACAGAAAGTTCCATTTACTGTCCTTCCTCCAGAGACACATGCACATCACCCCCCTGAAAGAAACGTGGACTCTCTGCCAGCTTCTCCTTGCTGGTGTGGGAAGAAGGGAAAACACTGTTATGTTTCTCTTGGTGAATCTATAGCAGCAAAAAATGAGCAAGCTGCTGCAGTGTGACTCAGTAAGCACCGCTTATCTCACTTCTACTAATATGGTAAGTAAAGGAATGGTATGCAGCTTTAATTTGCACATTCAAATATCAGTAAGGTTCAATGTTTTATACAAATAGTGAATAAATATACACTAATATGGCCAACTTCCAAGAAGTACAGTAAAAAGACAAGGGCTTTGGGATCAATGAGTCCTGAGTCCAAATCCCAGCTCTACTACTTACTGCCAGTGTGACTTTGGGCAGGTTACTTGACCTCTCTGACCTTTGGTTTCTTCATCTGTCAACACCCAATTTCTAGAATGTAGGGAATCATGTTTGGCACACAATAGGCCCTTAAATTATGACCAACATCATTATATCTCATACTTTTTCCTCATGGGGACCACTGCCTGGAATCCATGCTGCCTTTCCACCAGTTCTTGTTATCACTGTGTTAGCTTCTTGGGGCTGCCATAACAGACTGCCTCAAACTTCGCAGCTTAAATCAACAGAAACATCTCTCACTGTTCTGGAGGTCAAGAGTCTGAAAGCGGGTTTACTGGGCCAAAATCAAGGTGTCAGCAGGGCTGAGCTCCCTCCTGAGGCTCAGCAGGGGTATCTGTCCTTTGCCTCATCCAGACTCAGGTGGCTGCTGGCATTCCTTGGTTTACAACCATAGTATTCCAGTCTCTGCCTCGGTGGTCACATGGTGTTGTGGACTGAATGTCTGTGTCCCCCACAGATTCATAGGTTGAAATCCTAACCCCTAACCACCAATATGGAGGTGTGGCCTTTGGGTGGGGATTAGGTCACATGGGTGGGGCCTTCATAAATGGGATTAGTGCCTCTACTGAAGAGACCCCAGGGAGCTCCCTCTCTCCTTCTGCCATGTGAGGACACAGTGAGAAGATGATCATTTCTGAACCAGGAAGAGGGTTCTCACCAGACCCAGAATCTGTAAGCCCCTTGATCTTGGACTCCCAGCTTCCAGAACAGTGAGGAATACATGTTTGTTGTTTTTAAGCTGCCCAGCCTGTGGTATTTTGTTATAGCAGCCTGAACAAACGACACATGACGTTCCCTTCTGTGCGTATCAAATCATCCCCTTTTAAGGACACTCGTGATTGCATTTAAGGCCCACCTAGATAATCAAGGATTGGCTCCCCATGTCGAGATCCTTAACTTCTCTCCTCCCAACTGCCACCTGCACCACCATCATGGACATAAGCCATGTGCAAGGTTAGCAAGGCGCTGGGCAGGACTGGTTCTCAGGGATGGAGCACACAGGTGTGCATGGAATTCATAAATGACCCAAACCGCTCCATCATCTGCACCAAGAAAGGCCCAGCGCATGAGGGCAACATGCCCACCCCATCAGCGTCAGAGCAAGCAACCTAGAGACTGTGCTGAGCTTGCTACTGGGTCCTGGGTGTCTGGGTCGACTACTGGCCCACAGGGCTTGTCTGCCACTCTTAATAAGGTGTTTATATTGCCAAATAAAACAATCCTTAACTTTGTCACATTTTCAAAGATGTCACCTTAGAGGGTGACGTTTACAGAGTCCAGGGCCTGGGACCTGATGATGTCTTTGTGGTCATTATTCAGGCTACTCCAATATCAAGTATGGCTTAAAATCCATATCAAGAAACAGAAGAAGTATTCCCTCAAGTCTGAGGATTAAAACTCATGGGCTGGGATCCCTGGGTGGCGCAGCAGTTTGGCGCCTGCCTTTGGCCCAGGGCGCAATCCTGGAGACCCGGGATCGAATCCCACATTGGGCTCCTGGTGCATGGAGCCTGCTTCTCCCTCTGCCTGTGTCTCTGCCTCTCTCTCTCTCTCTCTCTCTCTCTCTGTGTGTGACTATCATAAATAAATAAATTTTTAAAAATTAAAAAAAAAAACTCATGGGCTAAGGATGGCACAGCATGAAGAAAGCCCTGTGCCCATGATGGCCAGGTTGTGCCACTGAATAGCCCAAATCTGGAGGCCGCCAATGCCAGAAGTGAACTGTGTGGGATAACCATCCCTCCTGTGAAACAGTGAGAGGGACTAACGTGCTTCTACACAGCATTACTCTTCTCTCTCCTCTGCTGTCTCTGTCTCTGAGTCCTCACTTCACCTCCTGTGTGGTGTGCGAGGCCTTATAAAGGGTGCCCCCAACCCCTGCAGCCCAAAGCTCAGCTTTCTCACATGCTAGAGGGATATACACCTACCTTGAGATCATCCTGAGGGTTGAATCAGGCAAAGTGGACTAAACCCCTAGGATCTAATCCTTAGATCCCAGCCCACAGTTGTCGCTGCTGCTCCCCATCCATACCCCAGAGTGTGTCCATGTCTCTCTGAATGTCCTCTCTGCTACACACATGAAGACACACACATGCGCTGTTTTTACTTTTCGTCCTGGGAACTTGTATGATTCATCCTGGGTCCCAGGTTCCTAGCACAGAAGAGCAAAGTATACGGTTGTTGAATGAAAAAGGGGAAGTTCAGAGGCTCCTCTCTGGAATCATCAGAAGCATTACAATTAAGTACTTTTGAAGGTGCAATGAGGGAGATGTAAACTTTTTTCATGTTTTAAGGAGTCAAATCATTTAAGGTCCTAAATACTTAGAATTATCAGTGTGGAGATCTTGGTAACAACCTTGAGTAACCAGAAAGCCAGCATTATTTGTGTTCTCCTTTCAAACTTCCATGTCTTTTAAGATTTTTTTTCCCCTTGAATTTACTAAAGTTTCTGAAACCAGTCTGAAAGCTACTTCAGACCAAATTCTCTGTCCTCATTGAACTAGAAGATTAAATTTAATGTGTGTGAAAGATAGATGAACTGCTGCAGGACGAAAGGCAATTAGATATAATGGCCTCTGACCGCAAAGGCCCACAAATTAAAGAATTGTCAACCCAGGACAGAGATTCTATCAGTGACGAATCTGTCATTTTACTTGACTACTGATCCAGTACAATTATGGGAAAACTAAGAGAAATGACCTGAGTGTTCAGACAGACTGGGGCCATTTGTTTCTTAAGTGAAATTTCCAGGCACCTAGCTCCACCCCGTGCCTTTCCATCACTGCTGAGTGGCAGTTGGCAGAGAGAGATGACCTTTACTTAACCTTGAGAATAACTCTACCCCTTTCTGGCCAGAGTAAGGAATGTATGTCAAGGCCTATTGACAATCCATTTGCTGGAGTTATTGAATGTTTGGTCTAAGTGGATGATATCTTTGCCTTTCTGAACTTCATTTTACAAAATAAATATGTCTCCTAGGCCATCTTGGAAGTTAGGGCCACACACCTTGGAGAGATGCCTAACAAATTTAAGAGGTCACTTTCATCTGTTTTGTTTTGGTTTCTGGGTTTTTGTGTTTTTTTTTTTTTTTTTTTTTTTTTTTTTACTCAAACATTCATTGGAATGAGTATAGAGAAATAACCAACTTTCCTCTGCCTCTTTCTAATGGGAAGACAATCTACTTTCATTCCTTGAAGTATTTAAAAAATGTTTATTGCTGTCAGCAACCCAATAGGTAAGTGGTTCCAAAACAAATGCTAAATGGAGTACTGCTTCTTGACTTAACTCCTTCCTACCCAAAATACCTGTGTAATGATTTGTTCAAAGATCTGAAGTAAACGAAATCAGATCAGATATCCAATCCCTCAAAGAAAATGGGTTCAGGGAAGTCAAATCCCCAAACTTGCCCTCCTTCTCACCTCTCTAACCCATCCTTATCAGAAGCTGCTTGTCACCAATAAGATTAGTGGTAGGTAGTGAATTGGGCTAGATCAGATTTTTCATGTTGGATTAATCATGAAAATGCCACGAACAAAATAACTTCTGTGATTGAAAGGTACTGAAGAGCCCATTAACTGCACAGTGTTTGGATCAACAAACTGTATCAGAAATACTCTTGATTAAAGTCCATAAGATTTGGCTAAGGTAGTTTCATGATTGTAGAATTTAAGATCTACATGAGTAATGAATATGGAATGGTATCTAGTGACTGATGCTTTAAATATTTGTGTTGTTTTTTAATCAGTATCACTTATTTTAAAAGTAATATGCATGCATTGTAGAGAATTTTTTTAAACTATAGAAAAGAAAAAAAATGAAAATCACCATAACCCCTCACTCAAAGATAATTATTCTTAATAGTCTTGTGTAAGCTCTCCTAAGGACATGTGCGTTTAACAAAAAAACAAAAACACTATAAATATAACTTTGCATGCTTCGTTTTTCAGATAAAATTATATAGTGAGTGGTTAACAATTGCATAATATTGTGGCATTACGGATGCACCATAATTTCACAGATTTTCTACTATTGGATTTTAAGGATAAGTCCTGAGTTTTATTTGTATAAATGTCACCATAACAAATATCCCTGTATGAAAATCTTTGGCCTTATCTCTAATTATAACCCTAAGAAATATTTACAGAAGGATAAAGGATATGAAACTTCTAAAAGCACTCATTACCTATCGCCAAATTGCC